CATCAACCCTCGCCATCACCACTCTCCGTCTCTCCTCCCCGTGTCTCCCGGCTGCCCCACACCCACCACCACCAACCCTCTCTCTCCCAGAATTTCTCCCCACCCCCCCAAGTGTCTCCCCCACCACCACCAGCACCCCGCGTCTCCCTCCCAGAGCCATTGTTCCCCTTGTGTAGGGCTCAAGCCCCGCGTCTCGCCTCTCTTACGCACAGCTGGCAAACAGGCCCCGAGAAGACCTCGCCAGCGATCTGGTGGTGGTGGTGGTGATGATGCTGCTGCTTCTTCTCAATGGGCAGTGGTGCACAAACAACGGCAACCACGACGCTTCGTCAGTAACACCGTGGGCCCTAAAGGGGCCACATTTTAATTCGGCGACGTTTCAGGCAATGACCCTCCTTCGTAGCAAATCGTTCATTTTGCACACATCGGCATCATCAGCCACGGTCAGTCCGCTGTTGGATGAAGGCCACACAGCACGCCGTGTCGGCTATGGGGTTGTTTGGCCGTGTGTGGGGAGCGGTGGTGTAGTGGTTAGCGCGCTGGGCTTCGAACTTGACGACCCGAGTTCTATTTTCGATCACGGCCAACACTAGCTGTTCTGGGCCTCACCTAGGTTGACTCAGCCTCAAATGATTATCTGCTGCGATGTTTCAACATCGCCACTGGGGAGACAAAGGCGGCCGGGCGTGGTGCTGGCTACCCCCCTCTCGTTTGCGTTCCGACCTTCATAAATGCTCGCTAACAGCACTTGCCCCACCAGTCTGTTAAAGCTATACGGGGATCTTTGTTTTTGCTTTGTTTTTGTGTGTACATAAGTACACATGTTGACATGTACACATGCATATCAACATGTATACACGCTCATACATTCACACACACATATTTACGCATACACTCGCATATGTATGTATGCTCACAAAACACGTACATTCACGTACATAGGCAGCTGTATACATACACACACAAGAGATTAACCAGCTCGTACAGCATTGCTGTTGGCCAAACAATCGACAGGCAGAACCCCCTTGTTGAAAAATAATAATCAACAGACTCAGTGTGGCATTCCTGGGCACGTAATCTATTAATTGTTTGCACATATTACCTTTTATGTATATGCATTGTTGCCACATGTCATCTTATGGGTGAGATGTATTGTTTTGCAATGCTGCGTTGGCTGTGGTGCGCATGTACACACGCGACAACGAAAAATACTCAACAATGATTTCAACTCAAGAGCACGTAGACAAGTAGGACCGGTGCCTGCAACGTGGGCTATTGTATTGCTTGCACCCTTTTAGGGCCGCGTTATCGACAAATGATTTAAGTTTTTGGTCGTGTAGCCTTGTACAGGGTGACCACAAGTCTCCGTTCTCTGCGGCGCATTGTGGTGGTTCTCCGAAATTCGGGAATTACACTGGTCAACAGCAAAAAAAAGTTTGTTTTCTGGCCTGGACTTTTGCAGCTGTTTTAGACTAATTTCAGGGTGCTGATTCCAAATCTGATCTCAGATTTGCTCTGTCACATCTCATGTTTATGCTATCGGCATAACCCATTTTCATTGATTTTACCTGAAATTAACTCTGTCATTTATGATTGCAAGTCGTTGCGAGTCAGTGACTGCTTTAGTGTTAAAATATCGTGCTGTATTTTTAGAATAGTGTGTTTATAATATAATTCTATGTAGATATCCACATTTATTTAATATTTTTCTTCTGCAGTTTTTATTGAAAATGCAACATTTGATATCTAAAAAACCTGATGTGATAGACACACACTGATGCCAGATTTGGAATCAGCACCCCAAAATTGCCTTAAAACCGTTGGAATACCTTATGCCAGAAAAAAGTGTGTTGACCAGTGTTATTTGAATGGGGGGGGGGGGGGAAGGTTCAGTGTGCGATGTGGATCGAGAGACGATATAATCTCTGGTGTGGCCGCCACGAAGCCCACACCTGACAACAACAACAATAACAGCAACGCAATCATCACGACGGCGAGATGTTAACTACCTCGCCCGCTATACAGGAAGTCGTGGGTTCAATCCCCATTCTGACGCCTGCTGTATATTTGTCGTCTGCGTGTCTCTTTCTCTCTCTCTCTCCCCGTGGTCGTGCGCATTTAAAGTGTTTGGCCGCTATACATCTCCACGTGATGAGCAACTTCGTAGATATGTCCTTTGCGGCCAGGTCGCTTCTGAACAAAGAGATACATCGCTCAGCGGGCCTTACCTGGCGACATAACAAAACTAATTTATAGTTCGATTTAAAGGTTTCGTGACTGCAGGGATTCATCTTCTTGGTTCTTTCGGTAAAGTCACGTAGAATGGAAATAATAAAATAATAAAATAAAACATAACAAAATAATTTTGTTATGTTTTTAAAATAATAAAATATTACAAAAAAACAACACATTTTTTTGTTATGTTTTATTTTTATTATTTTATTATTTCCATTCTACGTGACTTTACCGAAAGAACCAAGAAAATAGTTTATAGTTCACTTTATTGCATAAACTACCTGACGATGAGGACCGACACATATTGACGAATTTAAAACAGCCTCGCGCAACTGCTAGTGCGATTACGCAGCCACGATCCGCTCGAAAAGTTCCGTCGGGAACTGCCGGGGTCGGAATCCATTCGTGGGCTGAGAGTTAAGGGCAGCACACGCAGCTGCTCGGAGTCACATTGTGTTGTAGGTGTCCCGTTCAAAGGGACTTTGTGTCTACCCTGTGTGTGTTTAGATTAATATGGGGCCAAGTGCTGTTAGCGTCTGGACTGGATGCGTAATCCATGCGCGTGCAAGATTATTCTCGTTTTTATTTGCGGATTGAGCGTCCTAATAATTAACGGTGGGGGGAGGGCGAATGTACTGAAGTCTCATAGGAGACGAGGCGGGGGGTGGTTAAAAGGATCGTTGTTGAGAGGCTGTGAGTCTCTCTGCGGGCCCGTATCTCTGCAAGTCCGCCGGTGTCTTTGTGAGTCTGTCTCTGTGAGTATGTCCCTGTGAGTCCGTGTCTCTGTGAGTGTGTCCCTGTGAGTGTGTGTCTCTGTGAATCGGTGTCTCTGTGGGTCCGTGTCTCTGTGAGTGTGTCTCTGTGAGTCTGTGTCTCTGTGAATCGGTGTCTCTGTGGGTCCGTGTGCCTGTGAGTGTGTCTCTGCGAGTCCGTGTCTCTGTGAGTATGTGTCTCTGTGAGTCTGTGTCTCTGTGAATCAGTGTCTCTGTGAGACCGTGTCCCTGTGACTGTGAGTATGTGTCTCTGTGGGTCCGTGTCTCTGTGAGTATGTGTCTCTGTGAGTCTGTGTCTCTTTGAATCGGTGTCTCTGTGGGTCCGTGTGCCTGTGAGTGTGTCTATGTGAGTCCGTGTCTCTGTGAGTGTGTCTCTGTGAGTCTGTGTCTCTGTGAATCGGTGTCTCTGTGAGACCGTGTCCCTGTGAGTATGTGTCTCTGTGGGTCTGTCTCTCTATGAGTGTGTCCCTGTGGGTCCGTGTCTCTGCCGGTGAGTCCGTGTGTGTGAGCTCCACCATGTCAGGTTCATTTCATTTGATCAGGAGAGAACTCCAGAGATCGGGCTAAAAGTTTCTCATTTGTAACAGCGACCTAGGGCATGAGATCTTCTACCATTAGGCGACAAGGATTCAAGAGGTTTGACCCTCCACCCCATACCACCACCACCACCACTTCGTGTCCCGTGCTCGCCCGTCATATGTGCTCGCTAACAGCTCTTTCCCCGGCAGACCCGCGTAGCCTATCCGGGGGCTCTTTGTCTTTGCCCCCAGTCTTAGCCGCAGTGCTCAGCGACCACCACCACCCCACCGCCACCCCCAGCGTCGCATTGCATTCCGTGAGCTGTCTGCCTCTGGTTTGACTTTGTGTCCACTGCGTTGTCACCGTGTGACACAGTCCGTGCAGATGTCGAGTTAACACGACGCTGGAGTGCCGCCGTGGGGGTCCTGCAGAGCGCATCTCGCCGTCCTGAACGAGGCACGGTAACAAAAATCGTGCATCGATCATCGCCGGCAGCGCATTTACACTGCCGCCCTTAGAAAGATAAAAAAAACATCTCGTGGACATTGTGTCAATTTGAAGGTCGGGGCGTAAAACTACTCGAACGACAAGTCATCATCGTGTGCCGGGGCTCCTTTACCTTTGTCCCGCCGTTAAAGTCGCGTGCACAACTCTCGCGAGTTCAAGCACCGTATGCACCACCCCTTAAAGAACACGTGGCGCGCACCTTGTCCCCTCCGACGTATCAAAGTGCACTCTGCCGGTACAAGTCATCGTATATACCACTGCCTCTTTAAATGAACCCCCGCGACAGTGTTGAACATTGCGTGTATCGCGTGCAACTGCACCCCCCTTTAAACACCTCACGGCGCACGGGGCCCCTTTAAACCGCAATGTCGCAGCGTATACACTGCCCCTTTGTGAAGATCTCTGTGCGGGGGGGGGGTGTTCGTGGTGGGGGGTGGTGGTGGGTGGTGGGGGAGGGTGGGTTGGTGGTGGTCTTTTCTTAAAGCACAGCTGCGTCATTCATTCATTCACCTGACAGCCGCCCCTGGGCTTGCCCAGGCGACTCAGTCAGCTGTGCACAGACGAACAAAAACGCTCCCGCACACACATACGCGTGCCATCTACACGTAGCAAGCACATCGCGCACACACGTGTGCGTGCGTGCGTGTATACACACACATATGTGCCTGTGCTCATATTACCGGCCACGCCACCAATCCACTGGAGCGCCGTGCCAGCCTTCATAGGCGCTCGCGAAGAGCATCGCGCTCCCAACAAAGTCTGTTGCGACGACGACTGCGCGCAGACGGAGAGAGAGAGAAAGCCTCTTGTCTGGGCGCGTCTTTGCTGTCACAGCCGAACGGCAGTGTCTAGACACAGCTCCTTCCCTCCAGGCCGCACCGGTGCTACCGAACAGACACAGCGAGCCCTTTGCCACGACGATCATGGCACCAACGCAGCCTTAAATGTGTCGCGCGCCCCCCCCAGATCGCAGACGCCGCGCGCCCGGGATGTGCTGACTCATCCCCGGAGGAGGGACTGTCGGTGGTGAGACGCTGGATCACCCTGGCCGTGGTGAGCGACGTCGTCCCGCGGTGAGCTGAATCACCTGCAGGGGACTCCTGTGGTTCCGAGTTAATCTGCTGGGCCATCTGCTGAGCTGCGCCTTTATTGTCTGCTGAGCTGAATCGTCATCTGGTGAGCTGAATCGTCATCTGGTGAGCTGAATCGTCATCTGGTGAGCTGAGTCGTCATCTGGTGAGCTGAATCGTCATCTGGTGAGCTGAATCGTCATCTGGTGAGCCGAATTCAGCATCTGGTGAGCGAGGCTGCCTACGAGGTATCCTCAGGGCCATCTGCTGGAGCTGCAATCGCCTGGTGGAGCTGCTGATCACCACCACCGCTGCTACCCAGCCACCGCTACAACTCGGCCACCAAAGCTACCCAGCCACCGCTACAACTCAACCACCAGGAACCCCCCCCCCGCCCCTACCCAGGGGGGTGCCATGTCGCGCGAGACCTGCTGCGAGGAGATGGAGTGCGGCATCTGCTACGGGGAGTACTCGCGGCGCGGGCGCTCGGTGCCCAAGCGTCTGCCCGCGTGTGGCCACTCGTTCTGCGGAGCCTGCGTCTTGCTGCTCGCGCGGCCCCAGCAGGGCAAGGGCAGCAGCAGCAGCAGCGCCCTGCCGTGTCCGCTCTGCAGGGCGCTCTCCCTCGTGCCAGCGCAGGTAAGCGGGCGTCCTCCCCGACTCTCGAACACCTTTGTCGCATCTACCATGCGTAGCGCCCAGAGAACGATTGTTTAAGGGCGCTTCGTACATTTTTTGTATTATTATATTATTGCTCATGATTATTTTAGGCCACGGCTTTAACGTCTCACTCGGTATTGTTTTTTCTTTGCGGAACGATGTCAGCCACATAGGCTGGCTTGTTGAGTATGTAGGGGGGGGGGGGTGTTATTGGCGTAAGGCACTACCACTACAGACCAATACTGGCATTCATCTAATAGATTTTTGGGGCGAGGTTCGCGTGAGTAGAATGTGTCGTACACCCTCCTCCACACGACACGGTCAATTAATAGAGTTGTCACGTGATGAACAAACGCTGCCAATGTATATAACTGCATTCAGCAGCAGCATCACCATCGCTGGCTGTGTTGGAGGGTGCAATCCACACACACGCGCTTATACGATTGGATAGTCCCACGTTTTCGCTGTTGCTTACAACTAGCATCATCAAATGACCAGTCAATCAATCAACTATGAATCGCCAGGTTTGTCACAAATCTCACCAGGGTCCCCCAATCCATGATCACCAGACTGTATATTATCGTGCCCTACATTTAATGAACGTCCTTGTAGGACGTTGTTAACCCGAGGCACTGTTCACGCGGCGGATATCACCAAGGCCCGATAGGGGAGGGAGGGGCAGGCGTTGTTGTAAATCCGGGGGGGGGGGGCAGGCGGGGGTGGGGAGGCCCTCTTTATAAATTAAATCCCTCCAGCCTTTGACTGTTAAATCCCACCACTCCGTGCCCAGTGGTGACTCCAACCGCTCCGTTGTTATTCACCTCCAGAGGTATTTTAATCATCGGTGTTGAATCGTTAATAAGCGAACTGTGAAGCCAAATCAAGCCGGTAGTGACACCGCACAGCGATGCCATTGTGTTGATGGCCAACTCACACTGCAGATGACATCTGTGGGGAAAAGAGCTTCACTCTTAACAAAGATTCTGATTCTGACACAACGGGATTCATCACTTTGTGACATTTTAGAGTTTTGTGTTTCGGTCACACTAGGAAGCATGGCTGTGGGGGGGGGGCTTCAACATCCCCAGGTTTCCGTGGTTTTTTCCACGAGCAAAATGTAACTGGTATTGGGCCAAACATCCCATTGGCTCATAATGGTGTTTGGGTGAGATCGCGTCAGTATAAATATACCGTGAACCCGCCACTAGCCGACACAGCCAACCAGTAAGGTTCGTCACGTGAAACAAAACGTGCCAGTTAGTTACTACTTCAGCCCACCAGTGTGTTGGAGTATATCCACAACAAGTACAATTTGAGTATTGCGACGTTTCGCCGGTAATTACATCCGGTAGTAACTCATTTGTCACGTTCTGTTGACGTGACGAACCTTACTAGTTGACTGTCGGGTGTTGGCGGGTTACGACACATTTATACTTACGCGATCTAACCCAAAACCCTTCATTAGCAATAATATCGCTCGCAAAAGCTTACTACCATTTGTCATCCCATTTGCCGCAACAACAAAAAGTACCTGCAAATTACTTATTCTTCTTCTATCGCACGGCTACTGATGTAGATGCAGAGCAACAAACGACAATTTGACATTCAGCTGGGCAAGCCAGACTACCGTGTCAGGAGCAGCGGAGTAATGCATCATCGCCGTGATGTTTCCTCTTCGTATTTGTGGATCGGGGCATTGCGCCGTTACACGTTGTACGGTCTGTTCTGGATGACCACGGTCGCGCATGACTGGAGATAGTTAATTTCCCATGTGTGCATCAGGTACCCGAATCTACTGCCATGGTTTGTGCAGTGGATGCGGTTTAGGGTGAACCGTGAGCTTCGTTGAAGATCAAACCCAGGGTTGTTCTGCGTTGATGCGCTTTGCAAATGACTGCAGCATCGCTCCGCTACTGCAAACAAACAGCCTTGGCAGGACCCTCCTGAAGCATAGTTTTGAGACTCAGCGAGGCTTTTCAGTGCAAGCTCGCGGAACATACAATTAAACGAACACTGTAATGAGACGGCAGAATGTTGGCAATTGTACGTGTCCATGTCTAATCGGAGGTACGGGGCAAGGGGGTGGGGAAGAACAATAAAACTCATCACATCCCACACAACGACGAACAAACTACACGCACGTGTTTAACCATGGCAGTCCAACTGCACGCATTTTAACTGCCATGGTTAAACGCACGCATTTTTACCCAGGTCTCCCTTGAGAGTCACTCCCAGCTGATCTCTGTGGGCTCGTAAGCGGTCACGAAGCACTCTGGGGGGCATCTCGCGTTCATTGCGCGATCAATCAACGATGGAGAGACGGGAAGACAAAGGTCCCCCGTATAGCCTCTCGTCGTTTGTTGGGACAAGTGCTTCTTCGCGAGCGCATGACGGGGGGGGGGGGGTGTGGCCAGTTCCACGCGCCGGCCGCCTTTGTCTTCCCACTGTTGACGTTTACACACCGTGCCCGTTGCTTTATTTAAGGCTGAGTCGACCTAGAGCTCGCGGAGGTCTGGATAAATCCGTCGCAGCTGTTGGCCGTGAATGGGAAATCGAGGTCAGGTTGCCGGGTTCGTCGCGCGGCGCGCTAACCACTGCGCCACCGCTCCATCTCGCACGAGCGAGGAGGAGAAGACCCTGGCAACACAGGGGTCTCACCCCCCCCCCCTTTCCCCTGAAACTCCATGCCTCGGGTCCCCCTCAATTATTCACGGTGCGGCCACGGAACGGAGGGGCAATGGTGGGGGTGGTGCCGATGGTGGTGGTGGTGGTGGCATTGTGCCGGTGGCAATCGTGGTGGTGGTGGTGGTGATGGTATCACACAATAGCCACGTTGTTTCATTGTGTGTAGTGTTGGTAATGTTGTTGGTAGTGGTGGTGGTGGTGTTGGTTATGGTAGTGGCAGCCAGCCCATGGCACCTGGGTCTGTCCCGTGACCTCCTGCCAGCGAGCCTTCGACACTTCACGTGGCCTCAAAGTGCACCTGGCCTGGCACAGGTCCCGTGGTGACGTCACCATCACTTGGTGGCGAGTGGGCCTATTGGTCGTGGCGTGTATTAAAACACCGGCACTGGGGAGACAAAGGCGGCCAGACGTGGTGCTGGCCACAGTGTTCCCCCATAGGTGCGCTGTGTTGGTCTTCATTCGGCGCTAGCTAACAGCACTTGCCCCAACAACCTCTGTAGGCTATGCAGTACAGGGGATCTTTGTCTTTGTGTGTCTATGTTGCTCGTGTGTGTGTGTACAGTGTGTGTCTTAGTGTGTGTAGAGAGCATGGAAAGCACACACGTAATTATCCCTGAATTACTATGGCACTAAAGATGATGATGCTGCTGATGCTACTGATGATGTTAACTCTGATGCTGATAATGCTGCTGGTGCTGCTGCTGATGATGATGATTCCTCCTTCCGCAGGGCCCGGAGTTGCTGTTGGCGCTGCAGGACGACATTTCGCTCACATCGCGAATCGTCAGCCGGCCCGGCGGCGACGAGGAGGAGGATGGGGGGGGTCACGTGACGGGCGAGAGGGACGACGACGGCGGCGACGAGGAGGAGGAGGAGGACGACGAGGAGGATGAGGCTAACGAGGTGGTGGTGACGTCCCAACGCGTGGAGTTGGTGCTGCCGAAAATCAAACTCCTCCCGCTGCGCATGTTCAGGCGCGTGCCTTACAAGAAGCTCTTCTGAGTCGTCATCATCATCAGCAGCAGCAGCTACTGCTGCTGCATCATCGTCATCATCGTCATCAGCAGCATCATCAGCTGCAGTAGTAACCGCATCAAAAGCAGCATAAAAACATTGTCATGGAATGCGCTTTTGTGTCATCATCAGCATCATCATTAGCATCAGCAGCAGTGTCAACAGCAGCAGCAGCAGTCTGAAGAACGACATCATTGTCGCATCATCTTCATCAGCAGCAGCAGCACTGTAACCTCAGCAGCAGCAACAACACCATAATTGGCATCAGCATCATCATTATCAGCAGTACACATGGGGTGATCATCACACTCCTCTGAGTCAGTCGGCAGCATCATCACCATCATCAGCGGCGATGCCACCTCACCGTGACCATCTGCTACCGTGTGCTCTCTGCTCCTCCTGCCCCCTCGTGTCTCCCACCCCTGGGGGGAGGGGTGCGGGGGTGAGGGGGTGGTGGTGGGGGTAGCGAGATAGTTGGGGGGTAAGGTCACAACGTAGGCTTGATGCTGGACATTAGAGCCACCACCAGCACTACCACCGGCTCCACCACAATCACCACCACCATCGCCAACACCACCACCCCTAGTGCCTCTACCACCTCCACCACCACAAATGCCACAATCACCAACGCCACCACTACCGCGTTCACCACAATCACCGCCACCACTGCTATCACCACCACCATCAACAACAACAACACCCGCCATTCGCCACTAAGCGGTGGTGATGTCACCACAGCGCTTGTGCCACGTGAAGGCCACTACCACCATCACAACCACTACCACCAGCATCACCATCCCCTCCACCACCATAACTACCTCCACCACCATCGTCATTCAATCACCGCCACGCTGTTACCACCACCACTGCCACCACCACCACGCCGTGCCTCCTGCAGCGGTACACCGACACCCCCACTCGGGTATTGACAAAGAGTCAGCCTCCTCCTCCTCAACAAAAGCAGACAAAGGGGAACAAGCTTTCACTGCCCGCAGCGGTGAGTCCCGGAGGGATTAGCCCACCAATTAATAGAGGGGTCATCGATTCACAGATGACCGGTAATCGATATCGATGACCGCCTCAAGAAGGGGACCCACAGAGTCGGGTTCGTCACGAAACCCACGCTAACATGGCGCCACGGTGGCGAGATGTTAACTACCTCGCCTGGTACACAGGAGGTCGTCGGTTCCATTCCGACCCTGACGCCTGCTGCTGTATATTTGGAGTTTGCGGTGTCTCTCTCTCTTTCTCCCCGTGGCCGCGTGGATTTGTCTCCGGGTCCTCCGGCTTTTCCCTGCACATTTAGAATCAACATCGCGCGTTTAGAGTATTTGGCTGCAATAACGTTTCCACTGTCAACGCTGTGGGCCTCCGTTGGCGAGAGCACGAACGGAGCGAGGAGGGGTTGGTGGGCACAGCACCCGTCGAGGGGAGGCCCATGGGAGCTCGACACGCGCGTTCGCCAAGTGTTGGTGGGAAAAGCCGGAGGGCCCGGAGAAAAATCCACGGGGAGAGAGATAACAACAACAACAACGATAACAACAACAATGACGACGACGACGACGAGGATGATGATGACGATGTCCCCACTTCAGTTGAAACGCCCCCCCCCCCCTTACGCCTCTCCCCTGCGTCTCGTGCCCAATGCGTGAGAGAACGATCACGTGTCACGTTTAAATTATTATTTGTATATTATTCTAAGTTTACGTAGCGGGGGTGAGTGGTGGCACAGTGGTTGGCGTGCGCTGAAGCTAAAATCTGAAGCGGACTGCCCCCTCCCCTCACCCCCTCCCCATCTTCTTGTGCTTCACCAACCCACACTGACAGAGCGTGGTGAAGTATGGTCAAACAACCCCCCCCCCCACCAAAATGACTGACGTGGTGTGGGGAGGCCTTCATTGAGCAGTGGCTTTAACAAAGGGCTGTACATTCAATTGTTGTTGTGAAGACTCGCAGTCTTGTTTTGCAGTAGTATTAGAACGACAGTATTATTGTTACGATTATCGTTTGCCTTGTAATGTTCAATGCAAGTCGTGTGTTGTTATTATAAATTGGGGGGGGGGGGGGGACATTCTCCCCTCGTTTTGTGTCACGTCTCCGGGACTCTCCGCTCTTGCAAGCAAACCAACACCGACTCCGGCAAGACGCGGGGCGGTGATCGGCACGAGTCCACCTCTCCCGCGCGTCTACAGGTTGCGATGTCCAACGTTCCGCTCCGCACGCTCGTTAGCTTCTTCGGTAACTGAAGTCAGTTCACGCGCTCGCTCAAACTCCCCCCACCCACCCACCCATCCCCCCGTCACTCACTGACTCACTCACCTGACCACTCACTCACCTAACCACTCACTCACCTAACCATTCACCCGCTCAATCACTCCTTCACTCAGTTATCCCCCCTCACTCACTCACCCACTCACCTCACCACTGACTTAATCACTCCCTCACTCAATTACCCCCCTCACTCACTCACTCACCCACTCACCTCACCCACTCACCGAATCACTCCCTCACTCACCCACTCACCTCACCCACTCACCGAATCACTCCCTCACTCAGTCACCCACTCACCTCACCCACTCACCGAATCACTCCCTCACTCAGTCACCCACTCACCTCACCCACTCACCGAATCACTCCCTCACTCAGTCACCCACTCACCTCACCCACTCACCGAATCACTCCCTCACTCAGTCACCCACTCACCTCACCCACTCACCGAATCACTCCCTCACTCACTCACCCACTCATCGAATCACTCCCTCACTCAGTCACCCCCCTCGCCTCACCGAGGGCAAGCTCCACTCGACAAACGAAGCTGCCGTAGAAGCTCACGGCGCATGCGCGCGAGACGTCGGCCACTTGTGACGAACAAGGCGCGTCACAAACCGAGAGCCCACGTGGGGAGCCCACGTGGGCAGCAGTGACGACGATGACGACAACCGCCGCTAATGCGCACGCGGGAAACGAAGTTGGTGCAGCAATGAGGCCTTCCAGAGGCGACCGAATTTCACAACTAAAGCAGCTTCATGTTCTTGGGTATTTCGGTAAAGCCACGTAGATAGGTTCAAAGAAAATAACAAAAAGTTACAAAAAACTATGACGCAGTCACAAAAGCTTTAAGTCAAGATTTAAAGCAGCTTTCTGGGCGACAATCGAAAACGCGGGAAGAAGAAGCACCCAAAAAGTCTTGTTTACATTTATTCATTCATTGTCGCTCAGTTATTTGGGGTTCTCGTATATAGTCTAATAATAAATTAAATACAAACGAACGCACCCTATGTTTCGTTTGTAAAGTTTCGCTCCGTCTCTTAAACAACAACAACAAACTCCTTCCCAGCAGGGTCTTGCCGCAATGCGATGTTGTGGCGAGTTCCTTTCTGATCGAGGGTGTGGGTAGGAACGGGTTCACCATCCCGCCTCCTGTACTGCCACCTCACGGCCAACCGCTTCTCCCGAGATTCCTGTTCACAACGAATATTTCGTGGATGCGAACGGCCGTGCCCGAGAATATTGGGGGGCGGTGGTGCAGCGGTCAGCGCTGACGCTGCGCTACGAACCCGGCGGCCCGAGTTCAAATCCCGCTCACGGCCAACACCGGTGACGATAATCTGAACTGGTCCTGGGCCTCCTCTGGATCGACTCAGCCTCAAATGAGTACCTTGTGCAGTGTTTAAACATCGACACTGGGCAGACAAAGGCGGCCGGGCGTGGTGCTGGCCACCGACCCCTTCCATGTGCCGTGCCGGCCTTCATAGGTGCTCGCTAACAGCACTTGCCCCAATACTCTGTTAAGGCTATTGGGGGGATCTTTGTCTTTGCCCTAGAATGAATGAGCCAGCCGTGTGAGTTCGGGCTTGTGGCGCACACATCCACGTGTGAATCCAGCGCTGTTGTGGCAGCGATTATTATTATATACCGCAATATTTCATTGCAAATTAGAACAACAGTTTTCGCTCACTCGGGAAGAGAGAGACTCAAGCGTGAAGAACGAGGAAGGCAACGATTGCCCTTAGAGGAACTTGGCTCATTGGCTGAGCACATTTTCATGTTTACTGGGTAGCCTGAGCTGTTAGCGAGCACCTGTTAAGGCTTGTGTAACGATGGCGTTGATGATGCTTGGTTAGTAGTCGTGGTGGTGGCATCATCTCAACGGCACGCCGCTCCACTTGTCCCTAACCACAAATACTCATTTGAGGCCGAGTCGACATAGGGGAATCCCAGACCCGGTTCGGTAACGAAGAATGTGCCGCTGCTGTTGCCTGCGTCTCTGCCGTGCTTGAAAACACACGAACCTTCATAACCACAGACATCTCTTAGCTCGGTGGTTTAGCCTTACACGGACCATAAATAAATGGGCAAGTGCTGTTAGCGAGCGCCTATTATTAATGCTCGCGCGCGCGCACACACACACAGGGTATATTATAAACGGTGCAATATTGCAATACCTGTCAGATGTGAATATAAACCGCGCCTGATGAATGTTATGCCTTCTTAATTTCCGGAGAATGCGGTCATTCATGTTCTGCGCATCGTCCAACTGTGAAATGTCGTAAGCACGTGTCACCCGGCTCGCTGCGTGGAGAGAAGTCCGTTTAGCTGCTGTTGTGGTGGTTGTAGTTGTAGTTGTTGCTGTGCTTTGTTGGTTGTTGACGAGGGTTGTTGACGCTGAATAAAATTGTAAAGCTCTTCCAAGCCTCCCCCCAGTGACACCCCCTCACTTCCCAGCCCCCACCTCTCACCACCCCAGCCCCCACCTCTCACAAACCTCCTAGCCCCCACCTCTCACCCCCCCCCCCACAGCCCCCACCTCTCACCCCCCCCACAGCCCCACCCGTCACTACCCCCAGCCCCCACCCCTACAAATAGTCTCCATAACCAAATAGATTAGCGGACTCCGTCTCCTTCACGATATTTATTTATGTATACTGGAGCAGCATTCCGATGAGCAATAAAGCTCTTTTTCAAAGATGTCCTTAACATCTTCTTGGTTCTTTCGGTAAAGTCACGTAGAATGGAAATAATAAAATAATAAAAATAAAACATAATAAAATAATTCTCACGACGTTTCGGCCACAACGCAAGCAGCCGTCCTCATGTGAAGACCAGGTCTGTCGGGGAGACAGCGTCTGAATTATTTTTTATTTTATTATTTCCCTTCTACGTGACTTTACCGAAAGAACCAAGAAGATGAATCCCTGCAGTCACGAAAGCTTTAAATCGAAATGTCCTTAACATATTTCCCTTCCCCCCACAAAATCCTTGGGTGCTCTGCCCACCTCTGTGGGTGCTCCGCCCACCTCTGTGGGTGCTCCGCCCACCTCTGTGGGTGCTCCGCCCACCTCTGTGGGTACTCCGCCCACCTCTGTGGGTGCTCCGCCCACTTCGGTGGTTGCTCCGCCCACCTCGGTGGGTGCTCCGCCCACCTCGGTGGGTGCTCCGCCCACCTCTGTGGATGCTCCGCCCACTTCGGGGGTTGCTCCGCCCACCTCTGTGGGTGCTCCGCCCACTTCGGGGGTTGCTCCGCCCACCTCTGTGGGTGCTCCGCCCACTTCGGGGGTTGCTCCGCCCACCTCTGTGGGTGCTCCGCCCACTTCGGTGGTTGCTCCGCCCACCTCGGTGGGTGCTCCGCCCACCTCTGTGGGTGCTCCGCCCACCTCTGTGGGTGCTCCGCCCACTTCGGGGGTTGCTCCGCCCACCTCTGTGGGTGCTCCGCCCACTTCGGGGGTTGCTCCGCCCACCTCTGTGGGTGCTCCGCCCACCACCACGTGACCCGTCACGTGGCCAGGGCTGACGCGGAAGATGGCCGCGGGAGTTTTGGTCGCTTGGCGGCAGCGTGCAAGGTAAAGTACAGTACATTGGGTAGAGTGCTCTTAAAACAATGTTACACATTAATAGAGGCGGGGGGAGGGTGGTAGGGTCTACGAGAAGTAAGGTGCTGAGTTTGTAGCTCAAGTAAGCGCCAGGTCGTAGACTCGTTCGTGTGAAAGAAGCGGACGCGTATTGCCACGCGGTCCAGAAGATGGGCGTCTTTGAAAGCTTCCATCGACGGAGTGGAACGTTTGAGTTGGTGGTTCGTGAGATTCGGATGTGGGGCGATTCGCAACAGCCGTGTGTGGTGATGTTATAGTGGTTAGAGCAGACCTGTCAACCCAATACGGTTTACCCAGTATTATTGTACAGGGATATTCGAGTTTGCAGGTCCGTACAGCCGTTTCAATACGTGCAAAATATATGTTTGTGTTTCTCCCTTGCGATGGGACTTTGTAGGATGAACGTTGAGATTTATTAGGGCAATAAGGTCTGAATTGGTCTGTAATCAGGTAGGGAACTGATACGGGGTTGAGAGGTATGTCGTTTTTGATAAAGAGAATGCTTTTTTTGCATGTTCACCACAAGTACGTGTGGTTAATGCAGACATGAGTCCTTGCAAAAGGTTTCCATTTGGTGTTTTAACATCTTAACACCCGCTGTATTGCCAGAAAGGGTAAAACCAATTCTAATCTTCTTATCTAGGTATGTAGTTCTGGTAAGACGTATTGGTCTCCCGGCCTATGCACTCACTCCCCTCCGATTCCCGTTTACGACACCGCTGTCTTTTCATATACCTGACGCTTGTACAGTAGTCTTTAAACCTCTACACGTGGGCTTGCCCCACCTTAACGTGGCCCACTCATGTCCTAACAACATGTCCCCCTCCTCTCGTCCTCTTCATTCCCAGTCATCTCTTCTCACTCTGCCCCTCATCCCCAGTGCACGATGCCGTGCTCGGTGCTTAGCCCTCCTTGCACCCCTAAACTGGAATAACCCCCCTCCGTACATTGAGCAACATTTCCCATAAACTCAGCACTGTCCATAAACTCAGCACTGCCCATAGACTCAAGACAGGCCATAGACTCAGCACTGCACCATAGACTCAGCACTGCACCATAGACTCAACACTGCACCATAGATTCAAAACTGCACCATACTCAAGGCAGCCCATAGACTCAGCACTGCACCATAGACTCAGCACTGCACCATAGACTCAGCACTGCACCATAGACTCAGCACTGCACCATAGCCTCAACACTGCACCATAGACTCAGCACTGCCCATAGACTCATCACTGCCCATAGACTCAACACTGCCCATAGACTCAACACGACCCATAGACTCAACACGACCCATAGACTCAACACTGCCCATAGACTCAACACTGCCCATAGACTCAACACTGCCCATAGACTCAGCATTGCCGATAGACTCATCACTGCCCATAGACTCATCACTGTCCATAAACTCAGCACTGCCCATAGACTCAACACTGCCCATAGACTCAACACTGCCCATAGACTCAGCATTGCCGATAGACTCAGCATTGCCCATAGACCCGGCACTGCCCATAGACTCAAGACAGCCCATAGACTCAGCACTGTCCAGACTCAAGACAGCCCATAGACTCAGCACTGCCCATAGACTCAGCACTGCCCATAGACTCAGCATTGCCCATAGACCCGGCACTGCCCATAGACTCAAGACAGCCCATAGACTCAGCACTGCCCATAGACTCAGCACTGCCCATAGACTCAGCACTGCCCATAGACTCAGCACTGCCCATAGACTCAACACTGCCCATAGACTCAACACTGCCCATAGACTCAACACTGCCCATAGACTCAACACTGCCCATAGACTCAACACTGCCCATAGATTTCGATTACAAGCTTTCGTGACTGCAGAAATAATTCTCACGTTTCGGCCACAATGCAAGCAGCCGTCCTCAGGTGCTTGCGTTGTGGCCGAAACGTCGTGAGAATTATTTTATTGTTTTAATTGTATTATTTTATTATTTCCATTCTACGTGACTTTACCGAAAGAACCATGAAGATGACTGCCCATAGACTCAACACTGCCCATAGACTCAAGACAGCCCATAGACTCAACACTCCCCATAGACTCAGCATTTCCGATAGACTCAGCACTGCCCCATAGACTCATCACTGTCCATAAACTCAGCACTGCCAATAGACTCAAGACAGCCCATACACTCAGCACTGCCCATACACTCAGCACTGCCCATAGACTCAACACTGCCAATAGACTCAACGCTGCACCATAGACTCATAGACTCTGCACTGCCCATAGACTCAAGACAGCCCATAGACTCAACACTCCCCATAGACTCAGCATTTCCGATAGACTCAGCACTGCCCATAGACTCATCACTGTCCATAAACTCAGCACTGCCAATAGACTCAAGACAGCCCATAGACTCAGCACTGCCCATAGACTCAGCACTGCCCATAGACTCAACATTGTCCCTGTAAATTAACCTCATTCCATTCCTCTCTTAAAGCCTCACCTCTTCTTCATCGCACATTCTATTCCCTCCCCTCGCCCCTCCACGCCTCCCGTCCCTCCCCCACCCTTTGGTGACCCCTAAGCCCCCTCTATCGCTGTCACTCAGTCCTTGAGTAAAGGCGCTCAATAAATGTAGATTAGATAGACGTGTTATGATCATTTAGAGCTGTTTTAGTGATACGACTCTTCCGTGAAAATGTGGCATTGGGAAAGTGCATTCATGCGATGATTCGTTGTGTTAAGTGGTTTAATGCAAATCAGTGCATTACAATTATTTTTTTTGCATTGATATAAGAATTCAATGGTATTGAGTGAGTTTATTATGAACCATTAGTACAGTAATGAAACAACGCAACACAATGTCTAGGTCGGCGGAGGGATTCGTGGAGACGAACGAGGCCACGGCGCGGCGGTTTTAAAACTTTATTAATTTATAAAATACATGTCTGGGAGTTGCATTTCGCTTTGCTTAGGCACGGGATGTAGCGCAGACCCCCTTCTCGTCTCCCGTCGCGTCGCACCCCCCCCTGCCCAGTCCCACCCCCCCCCACCCAATCCCTTAACTGATGCCCAACAAATAACTTCACAGCCTTTGGGGCAGCACTTCTAAACCGTTTTAGTTTTTTTTGCAATACAGCTTTCCAATGCGCGTTCGGGTAACTTGACGGTTGCGTTGTCGTTCGGCGCGGCGATGTCCGACGTTTAGCTCCACGTACCGAGAGGAGGAGGAGCAGCTTCTTCGGGACCTTGGAATGAAGCAGCTCCCCCCGGGCACGCGGTTGCGAAACGTCGGACGTCGAGCTCTCGAAACGACGACGCGAGCGGCAACAACCCGAGCCACATCGCAACCGCGACGATAAAAAAAAATCCTTCGCGGTTCATATATTTTTTGCAATTTAATATCCGCTTCGAAAAACTAACGTCGGTTACTCGTGTGTCGTGTGCGCGCGTGACAATTCTGTACCATAGCTTCACGCAAGAGAGAGAGAGAGAGACGCTGCCGCCAAAGGTCGCCAGGAGGTTGCGAGCACCTGGCGGGCGCACGGGCTGCTGCAAGTAGAACACAGGTGAGACTTGGCCAGGCGTGGCGGCTCCCCTCTGGCTACTCCATCCCCCCCCCAAAGCATGTGTCGTCAGTGTTGGTTGGTTGATTGGTTGGTAGCCACATTGTTGGTATGTATGTTGAAGTTCTTTTGCACCGTACATAGCCAACCGTGCTAATCGGAGGTGCCCGCAAGGAGAAGGAACTTAAGACACATTGGCCCTGACTGCAAGTGTGGTGTGTGTGTGTGTGGGGGGAGTAGTGGCACGGTGGATAGTGCACTCCGGTATGAACCTGGCAGGCCCGAGTTTGATTGCAACTCATGGCCAAGACCTGTAATGATTATCTGAACTGGTTCTGGGCATCCCTTATGTCGACTCGGCATCAAATGCTGGCCACCCACCCCCTCTTGTGCTGTGCCAGTCTTCATAGGTGTTCGCTAACAGCGCTTGCTTCAACAGTCTGTTAAAAGGTTATACGGGGGGGTCTGTGTGTGTGTGTGTGTGAATGACAGTACTGTACTGTGTGTGTAACTCGGTTTTATGTATATAATATCATGCGAGTACATCCTCGTGTGCTGCTGCCTATGATACTATCAATAAGCTTGGGCGTTGGGCTATTTTTCAAGCTATTCACCTTCGGGTGTGAAATGTCCTCTGGCCCATATACTATTTAACATCTATTTTGACCATGTAGATGGCTGGGTCATGTACTTCACGTTGCCAAAGTAGCTTTTGTTTGGACCGGATGTAAATGAGCATGGTACGTGCTTGACGAGGTGGACTGGTGGTACGTACGGGAGGATGTAGCACTTGTTGGATTTGCCAATGGCTGACACCAGCAGTGTTAAGATGGCCTCTGCTTTGAAGGCTATTGGGAAGCTAGGCAGTGGAGCGACGCTCACAACGAGCAGAGCTGCTAAAATGTAGCAGTTGGCACTATGGGGGGCGCACAGGTGGTGCATCTGTCATCTCAATCAACCCATGGCACCTGGGGTCTGTCCTGAGACCTTCCAGCAGCTGAGCCTTCTCCACTTCTTGTGACCTCAAAGTGCACTCAGCCTGGCACAAGTGCTGTGGTGATGTCGCCGCCACTTAGTGGCGAATGGCAGCTGTTTTGTATTCGTGCGAGTACATGTGTGTGTGTCACACCAATCCTGAGGTGGCTGGCTCTCTTTAAACTGTATGGCTCCTGCCCGGACATGGCTGGCTCTCTTTAAAGCGTGTGTGGCTCCTGCGCTTTCTCTGCTGTGGCGGGTGCGAGAAGGCCTCCTCATGCGTGCACGCTCTCTACCATCACAGCTTGAACGATGCGAATGTGGGGCTCTGCACGACGCAGGCTCTCGACACAAAGAGCGTAAAATACAAAATAACACAAACGTCCGTTTAAAACGCCCGCGAAGGAATTCTAATACTTGCGGCTCCCCCTCACCAGAGCCCAGTGGTTGCGAGATGTCCTTATCACGTTTTAACGAGGCACGATTTCAACTGCCGAGAACCGCTTACGTACAACATATACGAGTTGAACATCATTGATTGCGACGGAGCATGATTGGATTACGGTGTCATGAGCGTTGAATGTTATTGAAATTGGCGAATCACTGCATCGTTACGTGCCGAGCTGCAGCCAATTTTACGTGCCTGGGGAGCATTTCCTCGCTCGCCCGCTCATCATCTCACACCCACTTACCTACTCGCCTACACACTTGTGCCCCAACATCATTTTGTCACCCATCTATCCACTCGTTCATTGACCCAACAGCCCTACTTGCTCACCCACATAGAAATGCAAAAACCCAAACAACAGCGAACAGAAAGTGGCTGCAGCTGATTTGCACCACCGCTAGGTTTGTGTACAGGTGAGGTGTGTTTGTGTGTGCGTGTGTGTGTGGTTCACCACTTTATCTTCTCGTCCAGTCGCCGGGAACTTCACGCGCTCTCCTCTGCGTGGATTCTATTGTCAACGGACCATGTTTCTCTGACCTTTAAACACTAAGTCTGCCGCTACCCGAGACGTGGTGGGAGCTCGCTGTCCCGACTCGACTTTTGGCCGTCGGGGCCAGACTCCACCCTGGGATCCATCGTGGTGTCAACAGTCTGAGGGCCTTCGGAACAAGCCTTCCTGACACCTGCAGCAACACCCGGAGAGGCACAGGCAAGCACATACACGACTGTGTTAGCTCATCGCGAGTCACCTCCCCATCATGCATCGCGTCATGCGTTACCCCGTAGCCTCCGCCACTCACTCGGTGTAGGTGTGCACGGGCGTGTGGGGCAGCGGGCTGAGCGGGTCGGCCGTCGTGTACTTGATGTTCGTGTACTCACGCCCCTTGATTTTACTCCACTGCGAAGCGGCACACACAAACACGCAGACACAACACGGTCAGCGGTCCGTTATTTAACCACCCACAACGCATGGCTTTGCTCGATAGGGAGAATCTTCGCAACCTTCGGTTAGTCGTAGCCAGATGCTCAGTAACAGTGGTCAGTGTGGTGGTGATAGGCAGGTGCAGGTGGTGTGACGGTAGCTGGTGCTGGTGGCTACTGCCCCCACCTGCTCCTCCAGCATGCGCTTCTGCAGCGTTTCGATGTAGTGTTGCACGGCGCGGTACACAAACTTGTACTGCGCCTCCGTCTGCACCATGCCCGAGCGCTGGCTCCGTACCATCTGGATCGTCTTGGGGATGTCGATCTCGCAGTCGAGGCCTCCAGGGCACACACAAAAACAAAGATCCCCCGTGTAGCCTTAAACAGGCTGTTGGAGCAAGTGCTGTAAGCGAGTAGTGCCTACGAATGCCGGCATAGTACATGCGGGGGGGGGGGGCAATACCACACACGCCCCCCCCCCCCCTTGATGAGCTGACCCAGGGGAGGGCCCAGGATCGGTTCAGATATGCGCCACCGATATTGGTTATGAGCGGGAATCGAACTCGGGTCACCGGGTTCACCGTGCAGCGAGCTAACTGCTACACTACCGCTCCCCACACACAGACCGCATGACCGTGGAAGGCATGTGATGCTACCTTTTTGCCTGATGATGCCCAGGAGGATGTCGATGACGATGACGGTTCCTGTTCGCCCAATGCCGGTGCTGCGGGGGGGAGACAGAACCAGCAGCCCCCGCGTCACTCGCCCGCTCCACGCTGCTATCGCCACAATCGACTCAATCAACTCCCCAGCAGTAGCGGTTCAACCGCCGCGGACACAGAGGCACGTCTCCCACGATTATTGTTACGTTTTTTGCGCAGTATTTTTCCCCCAATATCCTGACTGTGCCATTGCAATGCAGGGCGACCCTTCGTGCAACAGCCCCACCCCGCCTCTCCACTCGTTCTCCCCGCGATTCCCCCTTTGCGCGTCTCGTCTCCACGCTGCTACCTGCAGTGCACGACGACGGGCCCGGCGAGGGGCAGCCCCTCCTGCCGCTTGTTGACCTCCTCGAGGAAGCCGAGCACCCCCCCGGGCTCCCCCGGCACGCCGTGGTCCGGCCACGCCAGGTACTGGTACTGCCACACGCGGACGCACGTCCTCTGGCTGTGCCCATTCACGTTAGGGGGGGGCGGGCACGTGGATGACGGTTAGAGTTACATCATCCCTAAGAGGTCGAGTCCCATTAGCCGACCGACTTTCAAAGCAAACCCATTAATTCTTTAAGCGGTTTTGAAAGACTGTAAGCGGTCAAAGGAAAGCAATCAAGTGGAAACGGGGGCAGGACACGTCACGAGAACTGCTGACGAGAGATGAAATTAAATCCGGAGTGGAGTTTGGAAGCCATGGACTGGACACGAGCAACTGGGGGAGAATCAAGTTTCAAGTTGATTTTGGTCAACCAGCTGAGAACACAAGAGACCAGGATAGCCTCATTTGCTAGAGTGCCCGGGGCATTAGTCTGCCCCAGGCAGGGGGTAATGTTTGCTGCTTTGCGCGTAATCCCAGTTGAGTAGTTGGCAGTGTAATTTCCTTATTCAGCAAATTCGGAAGCCGAAGCCAACACTCGACAGCCTGCTCTTGCCAAACGACATCAGGGGATCTTTAACGTCCATCATGGAGCGCAGCAGACGGCGTAGACTATTATTACACCTACAATAATAGTCAGGGCGGACGTTGGATTTGAAACACAAACAACCAGCTGCGAAACACTTTGGCTGGGCCATGTGACACACACCCCCCCACCCCCCAAGTAAAATAGCTTTTGTCCAGCAGTGAGAGGTTACAGACTGACAATAACACCACCGTTTCTATGTTCCCTCCCCAGAAACCATGGATGGATTCATTGCACAGGGTTTGCCAAAATGAAAAAAATTTGTCTATCTTATCACTTAAATCAGAGCTGCTGCTGGCGGGCACACCACGACAGCGGGAGGTCTCGGCTGTGATGGCACAGCGAGCTCTAAAGGAACGCCTGCTGATGTGCGGAGGAACGTGACAACAACAAGCCCTGCACGTAGCGGGCAGGAGACCTTACCGCGTCGGCGCGATACAGGTCCAGCTCCCGCACCACGTAGTCATAGGCCTGGATCTCGTCCACAGAGCGCACGCACAGGCCCCCAAACTCCTGCGCGCCGCCCTTGTCTGGCCAGTAGTGCGCACACTTGTTCTGCAGTGGCAGGGGGGGGACAAAGGTTTGGATTAACGGTCGATGCAGGCGATTGCGGCATCACTTCAGGAGCATCCATTCGGGATTCTCGGTGTTTATAGAGAATCCCTTCCAGTGACCTCTACTCAAAACACTGTAGGAGGTAGCGCTTTCCAAATCTGTTGCATGACTGTCAAAAGTGATATTTAAATTCTCTGAGCTGGAATTTGGCCATGTTAAGCACAGCACCAAATGTAACACGATCCTCTTTTTGTGTGCAGGTTCTGATTGAGAACCCATACAAAACCTCTGAAACCTGGATTCCAACCCAGGACTCTGGGCTGCCGGGCCACCTCCAAGGCTCGTGAAAACTTACGAGGGGGTGGGCGGCGGTAAGGGGGGGGGGTGCCTCACCTTGCCTCTCTCCATCTCCTTGGTCACCATGACGACGATGCGGGAGTCCTCCTGCAGGACCATGCTCCACAGGTCGGCCACTGTGCTCTGCAGGCAGCCCTGCGTGGCGATGTAACGGCGCGGGGCGGTGCTCGGCCCGCGACCGTCAGAAATGTCCGCCTGGGGCAGACGGCAGCAGCTGAAGAGAGCGATTTGAACAATTGCCGCCTTGAGCGAACATCGTGGGAAATGTAATTAGAAGGAAGGCCATGATTGCCAACGTCTTTTGAGAAAAGACGAAGCATAAAGTACCGTATGTACGTATAGTTGAACTTGTTTCGCACCGTTTGTTTAGCCTATCACGCTATTCGGAGGTGCGGGGGAAGGACAAACTAAACAAAAATGCTAAAGAAATTAGTTTTCAATCTAGATTTAAAAGTGCAAAGCTCCAGTGGCGCTATGCACACGTGTATCTGGGTGATGTTTTAATTTTGCCTTTCACTAAGGAGGCCTGCACAAATGTAAATGTACGCGGCGATGATTTGTTAATGCTCTCGTCCGTTTCTCTGAAGGCCCGGTTCACATTGCCATTAACCCTGTTGTAGCAAGCACCCCTCCCCTGACGTATGGGCCAACTTTCTACCGGGGGTCCCCGTAAGGGTGTCGTTTAATAACGAGGTAACACCTTCATCGCCTCTTGTTGTTGCCTTCCAAAGCAAAATGTCTTGTCACAATAAAGGCTCCCACTGTAATATCGCCTCCCGCTGCATTACAGAGATCGTCCAGAATAAACACCTCCTTAGAGACCCAAACATTGCACCTCCTCCTGGCTTTGGTATTCCTCCTCAAAGATATTGGTGTCACCATCAACCGCATCAGAACATGAACAGGCTGATGCGCACAGCTCCTTCATGATTGTAAAATTCAAGGCAAGGCAAGTCACGGTACTACGGTACTGTGATTGTGGCCTTGCTATGGCCCATTTAATAAGACCACTGGTCCTGCAGTCCTTCAACAGAGGAATCGCAAAACGACGCCAATTCTCTCCTGAACCCCTCTCGCCATGGCCAGCGGACCTTGCCAACAATCTCCGGAGCATAGTGCTGCCATACGCAAGAACAGAATATCGCCTGATTGTAAAGACCACCGCCCGTCAGGTCAGCGCGTTCACTATTGGGGTCGGAGGTCATGAGGGACTCACCACAATGAAGTTGGCGTTGATGTAGTCGGAGCCCGGCACGGAGAGGTCCACCTCTCGCAGGATCACCCGCGTGTGGTCAACTACGCACGCACACAAGACAAAGACAAATGTCTCCCATAGCCTTAACAGACTGTTGGGGCAAGTGCTGTTAGTGGGCACCAATGAAGGCCAGCATGGCACACACGAAAGTGCTGTGGGCTAGAACCACGCCCGGCCGCAATTGTCTCCCCACTCCAGGTACTTATTTTAGGCTGAGGCGACCTACGGAAATCCTAGGAACGGTTCAGATAATCATCATTGGTGTTGGCCGTGAGCAGGAATCGAACTCGGGTTCCCAGGTTCGTAGCGAAGTGTGCTAACTGCTACACTCCTGCTCCCCTATACACTCGCACACGCGTGTATACTCACAGGGCAGGATGTTGCGGTAGCGGTTCTTGGCCTTGTTCTCTGGCCGCTGTCCCTCCTTGCGGCTGTACAACAGCTTGCACTCCTGCTGCTGCAGCGTCTGGAGGTCACCATCACAAGGGGGGTCATTGATACAGTACAACCACAGATATTGCTGCGCTGTTGCAGCAGACCACAACACCCCCGATTTATTATGCGTAGCTCAAACCTGCTTAGTTTCCGGGATGTGAGAAGATTGGGGTGCACTCCTGGAGATTCGGTGAAAGGCGAACGATTTCATTATATTTTTACAGATTAAATGATTGCGCGTGCTTGTGCACATAATGAGAAGTGTGTAGTGTAGCGGTTAGCGCGCTGCACTACTGAACCCGGCGACCCGAGGTCGATTCCCGCTCACGGCCACCCGCACCTCCAATTAGCACGGTTGGTGACGTACGGTGCGAAATAAGTTCAACATACAACACGAGTGACGATTATCTGGATATCCCCTAGGTCGACTCAGCCTAGGGGATGTGTAAAACATTGGTACTGGGAGACAAAGGTGGCCTGGCTTGGTGCTGGCCACCCACCCCTTTGTGTACCGTGCCATCCTTAACAGGTACTGCTTGATAAGAGCACTTGCCCCAGCAGTCTGTTAAGGTGACGCGTGGGGATCATTGCGCACGCACAAGCTGCTTCGCCAGGACATTGTTGGATCAACCTGGAACGGCCAGATCTAGACAGAACCTCCTCCACATCCGGCATGGGGGAGGCCTTCATCCAGCAAGTAGAGTGACAGGCAGGGCCTTAGCTGTACGCACTTGTGGGCTGGCAAGTCGACGCGAGGATGGCGCTAGCGGCACTCACCTCGAACTCCTCCCAGAAGCCCTGCTTCTGCTTGTCGGCGTCGGCAGGCGTCTTGCTGAGCTCGCGCACGCGGTGGTCAATGCTGGCCGCGTTGATGCGTGTCGCGTACAGCGGCTGTGCAGGAAAGCGCCACCACATGCACACGTGGGCACACAACGTACCCAAGCACACGCACATACCCACGCACGATCCCGTCATCGCAAGCGTGACCCAGTAATCTCAAAAGCTATTGCAACTAATTATGTAAGTAACCCATTACTCTACCAATTACAGGTTCGATTCATCGGAAAAGAAAAATTGCTCAAAATCTGCATTGGCAAATTCACTAGAACCTGACCAATTGACTACAAACATAGCAATCGATGCTACAGTTGAGAAGAGTGACACATTTGATAGATTGTGACAGCTGTAGACACGATTCTTGAAATGTGAGCTCGCGAGAGACGACGAGAGACAGCGAGAGACACGTCACCCGGCCGGGGTGGACGATCTTCCGACCTGCTTGAGGTGGATGACGGTGCCAGACGTCTCCACCACGGGGTTCTTGCGGAAGTGCTCCACGAGGTCGGCGAGCGACTCAAACTTCTCCTCCACCCCGACGTCGTATTTTCCCTCCTGGTGGACGTCACAAGGGTCACGGGCAGCCCCCACCTCCGGTCAACCGCTCGACCAACAGCACCGCTCGCAACATAACCCTTCTCACCACACACTGCGCCGCTTCCTCTCCTCGCCACGTTGCCTCTCCCCGCACGCTCTCCCCCTATCCCTGCACGCTCTCACCCTCCGCCCACCTGTCACCCAGCCGGCACGCCTTGCCAGCGGTAACATGGGGGGACCTGCCATGGGCAATGCCTCCCGTTTTTACATCGCAACAGATTTTCACTGCGTCGCTATAAGACGCAGGGTATGCGGTTGCCGCGCCGCGGTGTGATCGGGTGGCAGCACGCCGCAATTGGATTCCCAAGTATGCCGATTCCACCTCCCCATACGGCAGTTTAAGCAATGGGCACGTTGCTTAAAAGTTTAATGGAGGATGTCTCACTGCCGTCTGCGAGTACCAGAGCAACAGATATTGCACAAATGCCACGTAGCGTGCAACACATGCGTATTGGGACCAGACAAAGAGAGAGGGGGGGGGGGGGAATTGCAAGCCGTTCATCAGCCCATCATTGCGATCGATCTATGGAGTACAAATGTGGACAGGGCCACGGTGCCGAGACGACACCAAAGCCAGTAATCCTATGGAGGAGCCATCGGTGGTGGCGAACGCCCGTGACACAACGCTTTCGTACGCAAGGGTTGGTGAATCACGCTTGCTGATTTGTGCGAGGCTTCCCTGGATTTAAGAAACATTTTCAAACCATGCCTTCGCTCTTACGTGCGTCCCACCTTGGGACTTAAAAACTAACTCGATCAAAAAGTGAACTCGTCTTAGTTGGTCTCTCACTATCATGATCACAGTATTACGCTTGTTTACCCAAGAAAACCTCACCGAGTCTCAGGACTCTTTAAGCCACTTCGTTGAGCTATCATTCGTTGCCAGGTCGCTTCTGAAAAAGAGGCTATATAGCTCAGTGGGCCTTACCTGCTAAAACAAATACATTTGGTGGTTTCGCGTGTGTGACTGCGTGCGTGTGACCGTGCGCGTGCACGCTCGTGACTCACCAGGCAGCGGATCATCATGTGCGTCACCTTGGGCTTCACCTCGTTGTTCTCCACGCGCTCCTCGCCCGTGCGCACCGACAGCACGAAGTCGCCCGGCTTGCTCTGGCTCTCGCGCACCAGGAAGCTGCCGCCCTTGCCCTTCTCGGCGAGCAGCCGCTCAGCGTCCTTGCCCGAGATGTGGCCGTGGAACCACCTGCCGACCGCGGCACGCACGCACAAGCGGCACGACACACCCGAACGCTCATAACTTGGGCCGCCGTTGCAAGGTACACGGCGAACCATGTGCCATGTTTGTCTCAGCGGCGTTTATCTCACCTGCCGAGTTGAATTAACAGACACTGACCAACATTAAAGAAACCATGCTGGCACAGATGCTATTGCTGGGGGATTCATTTCCCACTTAATTATTTCCGTGCCGCTGTTTCGACTGGAATTAGTTGACACTTGATTAGTACTGTATAGTAGTAGCCACAGCCAAAGCGAGAGGTTTACTGGTGTGTCGCGTGCATTAATTATTTTCCAGGTTACTCATCTGAAAAACCTGGCTAAAGGCCCTGATTGAAGCCCCCCAGGCAATTGGCTTCTGCTCCTTCCTGAAATGTACCCACGAATGTAGGGTCTGCTGTCTTCCTTGTTCCTTCACTCATTCCTATCCCGGGGCCATGTCAACATCCACTCCACATTCCTTCATATCCTGGCTCACCACTTGGGAACCCACGTCTTATCACGCCCCAGTGCCGACATCTTAATAATCATCATTGGATTTATATAAAATCACTCCGTGTGGCGTCAGGCGACCTGGCGATGGACCGTAAGGATCTCTAGGCCCTGCTGGGCATGCGATATTGATATTTGCGATATTTTGTGCAAACACTTCTTAAAAATTACACTAAATTACGACCAAATAAACCGACCTCTTGACGCCGTGACCCCCGCAGCGCTCGTTGGCCAGGTCGGAGCAGTTGAGGGGGTAGCGCAGCTCGATGACGTCGCCGTCGCGCTCCCGCAGCTGGCCCTGGTTCTCCGTGTAGAACTGCACGAGCTCGGCGAGCGTCGCGAACTTCTCGCCCCCGTACAGGTCGTAGTAGTCGCCCGTGTTCTGGATCTTGATGTGCCGCACCTCGTCCCTCTGCCTGCGCACGCCACGCGGTCACAGGGAACGTCAAAGCGCCACGCCGGTGGGGGCGGCGGCCGACGGTTTTACCGCCGGGGAAAACCGGTGAAGTGCTGCTCAGGATGAATCACCAACTTGGTGACAGAATCGATAAGTTGGCAACGCTGTGTCCCGCTCCTCGGCTCCCTCCTGCATCCCAACACTGCCCCAACCCACTCCATATCTCCTAACATCATTACACTATAAAACACATTGACTTAAAGCTTTCGTGACTGCAGGAATTCATATTCTTGGGTCTTTCGGTAAAGTCACGTAGATAGGTAAGACCCAAGAATACTATAAAACACAATTTTTGTTCCTGGGTAATAAGTGTTATTTCATAATTGCTTTCAATGAGAAAACGGGCGAATTTTTGTCTTTTCGTTCACATAAAGTCAGAAAAAAAAACATTAATCAAAATTAACATGTATTTATACTAAAGTCATATAAAAATGACTACAAAAGATTTAGAAGCGAGTAGTTTTTCGAGATTTACGATTATACTGTAAATCTCTTTCACACAGCCCCCAAATGTAGTCTCCCATCATGTTCTCGTTATACTGTCCTTGGTAGCGGCGTTCAAAGTCCACTATATCCTGGTGGAAGCGCTCGCCTTGCTCCTCCGAGTACGCTCCCATGTTCTTGAAATTATTTATATGAGCATCAAGGATATGGACTTTGAGGGACATCCTACAGACCATTCTTTCGTAGTTCTTCACCAGTCTCAACCAGCTCCACATAGTTTTCGACCTTGTGATTGCCCAGGAAGCCACGAACCACTGCGACAAAGCTGTCCCAAGCTGCTTTCTCCTTACTAGTGAGCTTCTTGGGGAATTCATTGCACTCCAGGATCTTCTTTATCTGTGGTCCGACAAAGACACCGGTTTTGACCTTTGCCTCAGACAGCTTAGGGAAGAAGTCTTGAAGGTACTTGAAGGCTGCCGACTCCTTATCTACAGCTCTGACAAATTATTTCATAAGGCCCAATTTGATGTGCAGTGGTGGCATCAGCGCCTTCCGGAGGTCCACCAGTGGCTCCTACTTGACGTTGTTACTACCCACAGAGAACTCGGTCTGCTGTGGCTAGTCCCGCCTGTGGTAGTGCGCCTTGGTGTCCCTGCTGTCCCAAAGGCAAAGATAGGGAAACTTAGTAAAACTGCCTTGGAGACCCATCAGGAATATCATTTTTAAGTTTCCGATGACCTGCCAGCCGTACTCATCATACTTTCAAGGCGTTCAGCAAGGTCTCGATGCTGTTGTAATCCTCTTTGAGGTGCACCGAGTGAGCCAGGGGAAGAGACGGGTACTTGTTACCATTATGGAGCAGCATGGCTTTGAGGCTCCTGGATGGGCTGTCAATGAAGAGGCGCCACTCATTCTGGTTACAGACAATTCCGATTGCCTCGAACCGACTGGTCACATTGCGGCAGAAGCAGAGCCCATCTTGACGGGTGAAGAAGCTGCAAAAAGGTTGGTGACGCTTCCTCTGATCTGCGACTTGCACACTTTCATCCAACAAGTTCCACTGCTTGAGCCTAGACATCAAAAGCTCGGCAATGGACTTGGTGAGACCAAGATCTCTGAGCAAGTCGTTGAGGTCTTTTTGGTTGGGGTAGTATGGGTTTCTCTCCTCAGCTCCACCTCTGAAATTGTCATCTGAATCGACAACATCTTTCTCCCTCTCTGACTTGCTGCTCTCTTCTAAAGATGGCTGCTCTCTCTCCAGAGGAGTGGGTATGGGGAGCTCATGGCAGTGTGGCACCGAGGCGATGGATGAAGGAAGGTCCGGATACATGATAGCAGGTGCATTCTTGTCAGTCCGACGTTTGGAAGGGTCCACCATGCAGAAGTAGCAGTTGCTCGAGTGGTCAGTGGGTTACCACCAAATTCTTGGGATAGAGAACTTCATGGCTCTCTTTTCCCCTCTGTACCATCCTACAAAAATACATTTACTTCACCCTTGACTAATGTGAAAGAGATTCTCGCAACATTTTTCATATATGATATATCTTTTCAATAACATTGAAAATTGTTAAATATTTTTTAATTATAAACTTTTACAATTTTCACGTTTTTAAAAAAAATTTATAACATAAAATTCCGAGCAACAATTGTCCATCTTACCTTCCAGAGTTTGTTTGCATTGCTCGCAGGTGAAATGAGGTGCCCAGGGTTTGTCTTGATCCCCGACAGGCATGCTGAAATATGCCTTGTAGGCCTCGCACATCTTAGCAGATGCTTCCAGAGTCCTTTTTCGCTCTTGTCTTGATAAATTGGCCGCAGACATAGCAAAATGCGTCTGCCGGATGCTTGCAGCCTCTTGATGCCATCTCAGAAAAATGCAGATATGTATCCACTTAGGCAGCTGGAACTAAACTGAACTGGTGGGCTTAAGGCTCCTGTATTTTTCTACTATTTATATTACTGGAAAGTTCTCGAATGTTCTAGAAGTTACTCCAAGTTTACTTTGCATGACTCTATCTGGAATGTTCTGGAAAATAGGTAAATTTCTAAATATCACTGTCCTTGTCACAAAAGCAAAGTTTGTGGGGAATAATAGCCATTTCCTGTACTTTTGAGGCATAAGCAATTAGGAAATAACACTACTCAGGAACAAAAAAAATTTGTTACACAGTGTTATCAGCCATGATCAATCCACTGAATTACAGGCCTATGATGCAACAATCCACCCAGCAACAGCTTTGCTCACTGTAGCCAATCATCCAGCCAAGAGGATCCGGCCTTGACGCTGGCCTTCAACAGCTCCTGGCCTTGGTCTCACCTTGGCCTTGTGGCCTTCATCCTTGACCTGGGTTTTGGACTTGTAGGTCCTGTGGCCTTGAATCCAAGACTGGTCTCATCATCATCATCATCACTTCATATATAGACTGCATCTCCCATGCATTACATCTCGAGACAACTAGCAGCAGGTCACCCCCCAGTGGCAGCTGTGAGGCCCAAGGTGAAACCAGCACCTGCCCAAAAGTGGGCATTAGTCTGCCAATAGGCAGAGAAATTTGACAAATTCGGACCTTATTGACGGCATACGTGGCCTGCTCTTTGAATAACATCAAATGATGTGTACCTTTGATCAATAAAGCAACGGTATTAACTGGGGCTGCCGCTAGACTTGAACCGCGAACCTCATGCAACGAACGGCAAAACGTGCTCCTGCTTGGAACGTGTCACTGTTCCCGAACTGAGGTCACGTCTCTACGTCCACACAGTGGGTGGACGGGACGCAAAGGTCAGTTGAGCCTCTCACCGCACGGACAGGGTGAAGTCGCCCGGGTTGCTGGAGCTGGGCCGCACCAGGAAGGAGCCGCACACTCCCCGCGTCATCAGCAGCTGCTCGGCCTGCAGCCCCGTGATGTGCGGGTGGAACCATCTGTAAGGGCGGGCGGTGGCGCAGGTGAGGATGCAGGTGTGGGTGAGGGAGTGGTGAGATTATATAATCAAAAGGTAAGGGCGAGGATACAGCTAAGCAGACATGGTGAGCCTGGATGTGAGGCCACCGGGGTTTTGCCAGGTGTTGTAGGTGTGGGGCTGCGAGGTGTGGCCAGGAGATACGAATGATGAGCGGCCACCCCCCCCCCTCGTTGACACCGATGGAATTCGTGGCCAAACGTGCGGATTGTAGCAGGAGGCATCTGTGCAGGGATTAAGTGTTGCCTCCTTTGTACACGTGGATTTTTCTCTGGGTACTCCCATACTCCCACACTTAAAAACAATTGTTAATGGAGTTGGCCTTCTCACTCGTCTGTGGTTTCCGGCGCCCTGGATCGTTCTCTCTCTGAACGTAAACTGCACGTGTTACAAATAATAGATTACGAGAATAGCACCATAACCACCACCACCACTTCGGCCTCCATCATAGTGACCTCTATTGGCCAGTCGCAGCCCTGAAATCAGGTCAAGGTCAGAATGTGAGGCGAGATCTGGTGAAATCAGGTGAGAGTGGAAAGATGTGAGATCAGTTCGTTCAAGGCCATGTCGGATGAGGTGAGGTCAGCTGACCCTCTAAGCTGCGGTCAACGTGCATTGCGAAGATTTCGCCTCAAGCGCACTCCACTTTTGTCACTGAAAATGACTCAACAGCACTGACCAGCGTGGTGAAGTATGGTCAAACAATCTCCACGACCGACACGGAGTGGGATCGATCTTCATCCAGCGGTGGCATGCGTTACCGTGCAACTGAAAGGGAAATAACCCCTAATTCACGTGACGGTCCCTTGATTAAATAACACTGTAACACGATTTTTTTTGTTCCTGGGTATTAAGTGTTATTTTCTAATTGCTTATGCCTCAAAAGTATAGAAAATGGATATTATTCCCCACGAACTTTTATTTTGTGACCAGGACTTTACGTGAAGGAATGACACAAATGCACACGTTTTCTCATTCAAAATAGGTACATTTCAAAATATCACTGTCCTGGTCACAAAAGCAAAGTTTGTGGGGAATAATAGCAATTTTCTATACTTTTCTAGCATAAGCCATTAGGAAATAACACTACACAGGGACAAAAAAATATTTTTTAGTTACAGTGTAATAAATTATGTTAAACAAACGTGTATCCCTTGTGTTCATCCAATGCTTGAGGGCCTCCCCACGCCGTGGGGGGGGGGGGGTATAACCATACTTCACCACGCCGGTCAGCCGCGAGTTTAACAAAGGTGATGGGGAGGAAGGGGACCATACACGTGGGAGCATACAGTACAACAATTGACTGTTCCAACAGTGCCCTCTGCTGAACAGGTAGCCCCCCCTAACATCCCAACAAACAGCTGCTCCCTATGACGAGATCGGACCAGAATCTGGCGAATTCCGATCTGGGTTTACCGAGGGCACAATCCCCCTGGGTTTGGGCCCCTTGTATGGCACCGAGGGATAAAGGGGATTAAGGGGGGCCCATGGGTAGAGGGATGAGTGGGGGGACCTGGACCCCAGGGATAGATGGGATAGCAGAGGAGGTCGACGGAGAGGGATAAGCTGGAGGGATAAGAGGGGGGCCCAAGATTCAAATCACCGAGGGGGTTCGGCGCTGGACCCATCGAGTCGTGAGAGATCAGCGAAGGGACCGGTGGTCGCAGGGATGTCGGCTCCATCGGGATAAGGGATGAAAGGGAAGAGGAGACCCCGTGGTGGGTCCCGTTGGGTGCAGGGATCGGAGGCCCTGGCGACGATCGAGAGAGATGAAGACGAAGTAGGGCGGAGGGTACGGGATTGAGAGATTGGGAGATTAGAGACGAGGGGGGCCAGGATGAGAGGGATAGAGATAAGGCCCCCCCCCCCCCCCCGCCGCGTTGGAGGGTTGAGGGGGTTTGAGGGATGAGGAGGAGCCCCCCTCGTGCTGTAGGACCGAGGGGAGGGAGGCTTCGGGACGAGGAGGCCCCGTAGCGGGCCACTGCAGCTCACCTTTGGGAGGTCATTGCTCGACTCGCTGAGGGCCCAGACCGAGGGCGGCCCGGGGCAGGGGAGGCCGCGGGGCCCCGAGGGGGGGGAGGGGTAGGGGACAGGGCGAGGGGGCCAGGGGAGGCCACGGGGCAGGGCCCGGGGCCCGTGGTCCGGCACTGCGGGTCGGGGCCCGGGGAGGCGCGGAGCCTGCGATGGGACTCGGCGCTTCCGGAGGCGGAGCCGGCTCCGTGCTGCCCCCTAGCGGCACGGGGAGGGGCGTGGGAGGGGTGGGGGGCATGGGAGGGGTGGTGGAGGGGGGAGGGGGGCATTGGTGAGGGGCATGGGAGGGGTGGGGGGGGAGGGGGTGGGAGGGGTGGGGGGCATGGGAGGGGTGGTGGAGGGGGGAGGGGGGCATTGGTGAGGGGCATGGGAGGGGTGGGGGGGTGGTGAAGGGCATGGGAGGGGTGGGGGGGCATTGGTGAGGGGCATGGGAGGGATGGGAGGTAATTGGTGAGGGGCATGGTTGGGGTAGGGGGCATTGGTGAGGGGCATGGTCAAAATAATGGTGGGGGGAGGGGGGCATTGGTGAGGGGCATGGGCCATGGGGCATGTTACTGGTCACGGGGCATGGCGCGCATGGGTAGGTCACTGATGGGCATGAATGTGGCATGGCGCATGGGCAGGGCACGGAGTATATTCAATGCATCAACAGGCTACAGGGCATGCACGGGGCATGGCCCGTTGCCAGGGTATGGAGTATCGGCAGGGCACGGATTGCCCATGGGGAATGGACATGGTCGAGGAAAGGGGCACGGGGCATGGTGGTTAGCACACGGACAGGGGGCGTAGGACATGCATGGGGCACAGTCAGTACACGTGGCGTGGGGGCATGGGGAATGGTCGGAACCATGGGGCATGAGGCGCGGGGCAGGTTGGATGGTGGATACGGTCAGAGCGTGGGGATAACGGCAGTGGGCATGGTCAGGACCAGACGACATCGTGTTTGAACCACCGTAAGCGTGGGGTGCAAGTTACATTGGTGGCCAAGAGATGGCAGCACATAAATTGATTGTTGAATAAATAAATAAATGGGCAGAGGTTTGAGTTATCACCTGGCTCACATCGAGAACACGTGGATTGTGTCTGGGCTTTCCGGTTTCCCTCCCACAAAAACTAAATGTGTATATTATTTTCCACGAAGTATAGCATTCCAACCCCCTACCAGTTAATCAGGTATATATGTTTGACTCTACCTCTCTGGCTATGTTACTGGACATCTGTGAAAATAGCGTTATAACTCGCCGGATTCCTCCAGTATATTCTGATTCTGACGTGCTGTGAGGCAGAGCCATTGCCAGAACATTGCCTCGTACAATATATTATAATTTTTTGAAAGTTCACGGCGAATGTGTTGAATTGCTTTGTTTTGTTGTGGTCGTTTACCACTGCCAACGCAACAGCAGCATCAGCAAATAATTGTTGATATGTCTAAATGTCAGATTCATTTCCACCCCCCCAACCTTTAATTACAGCAAAAAAATCAGTAGCAAAGAAAAATCCCAAATGGAAATCCAGTGAACGAGACAGAGACGCGCAGACATGTGTTTTATTTAAAAAAAAATCACACAGTGCAGGACTACTTCCCACGACTCACCTTAGCGGGGAATCAACACCATTACCACAAGATTCACACGAAGTGGCGATAAGCGTGAACATCAACAAAAACATCAAGCAACAACAACAACATTGTCAGCAGACACAACAAGCGCGGCTGGGAGCAATGCAAAACATTTGGCTCCTCCCTCTCTCAAGAGGTTTTCTGCAAGAAACTCAATTCATCACTTGGGTAATGACGGGAATGCAAAATATTATCGAGTTAATACGATTACCTTTGTATCTATATATAGCAGCGTTCATTTACGCGACTGTATCACTGCTTCGCGAGCCGCGACACACAGAGGCGGCGCATGCATTGCGATGTTTGCAGCCAATTAACGAGGGTTTATGCAAATGGTCTAATACATTGCCTCCTGCCTTAATGTAGACTTTCCTTTCGTTAACAATGTTGGTTTCTCATATTTTGCTCTTATAAGATTATTTCACTAATATCCCTTCAAATGTAAGTGCTTATGGCATGATTTAAAAAAAAATGCATGATTGTACAGGATCATTTGTCAATTCACTGCAACCTAGATTTCAGGTCGCCCCTACAAGCCACGCGGTGGTTATTTGACCACATACTTCACATCACCAGTACGTTGCGGGTTGGTGAAGCGTGGGAGCGTATACGTCGAGTACAACAATGCACCTTGCTCCTCGATATGTCGGGCACGCATCTGGATCAGAGATATTCTGTGCGCGTCTCTCGGGGGGGCTACGCAAAACAATGCACGTGAGCTGTGGTGGTCTCGTGAGGTTTCGCTACACGAGGTCACAAAGCAGTTTAGCTCTGCATGGGCGCACGAGAAATCCATTCGTAATTGGTTTCTTTTGGGTTCGATCGTGACGCTATGTCAGTTTTTAACTACAGTACAACCCTCCACCATCTATCAATAGAGCCACTCAAATCAAATTGTTACGTCACATGGGCAAATGCGCCACAACTGATTTGGTTTATGAGCAAAACTGGAACGCTTGAAGGTCCAAGCAAAATGTAGGCAATTTGTATTTGTACGAATAAAATGCATATAACACTAGCAATCCAGCTACATCGGCAGTTAACATGGACAAAATTGTACCTTGGGTACATTTTTGCCTTTGAAATGAAGACCACGCTGGCTTTTATAAAGCCCGCAACTAATTAAACGAAGCTCTCCAGGTTATACTGAACTTTCTCAGTTCGATGTCCGACGTTTTGCTTCTGCAGGAATCAGCAAAATATCGAACGTCACGCTGAAGGCACACCCGGCACAACCCGGCAACACAGCAGCACATCCACGGAAACCGACGCATTCGTTCAATCATATAAAAAACAAATAACTTATTTTAACCAGGAACGCCAGACTGATTACCAACTACTCTTTTTCAAGAGCGTCTTGCTCCATTGGGCATTTATTTTAAGATGTGTTCAGCCAATTAATGGTGAGTTTTGTTTATTATGCACGTGGAAGGAAACTCGAGCACCCAGAAAAAACCCACGCGTGGAAGAGAGGGCAACTCAATCCCTGTACAGATGGAAACAGATGCAGATTAGTCAACTTGCTCTACTGCCTTCTCCCAAAGGGTAAGCCACTTAGTTGAGCTTTCATTTGTGGCCAAGTCGCTTCTGAAAGAGAGCTATCTAGCTCAGTGAGCCTTACCTGGTAAGATGAAAATAGTTTATTATACTTTAGTTTCAAAACAGTTATACTGCATTTATTTCAATAATATATTTATTTGAATTTGGCTATAACATTATACATATTTGATATTTAATTGCACTTTTTATTATAAAAATTACGAAAAATATTACATGGTATTAACAATATCTAACACTGTAATAATTATTAGAAATATGTTGTGATTATCTGATATATTAACATTTTTACTTTCACAAGCGTATTTCATTATTACCATCACTTAACGTGCATGTTAATTTACTGTTTGTGAACTTTAAAAAAATAAAAAAAAGGAAAAGAAGCAGCCCTGCAATTGCTCGTTCAGGCCACTGCTGGCAGAAGCTCTCGGTAGCCCCTCCAGAGGGAATTTTGGCCTACTCTTCCACGCTGGCCAGACGTATCTAAAGAGGTAGCAGCACCCAACGCTTTACCCTGCTACATGCGATCAGCCAATCGATTGCATTTGAACCCGTTCACACTTCTGGGTGGACTGAGGCGATGGGAGGTGGATTTAATGAACTTACCCCATCCTATCAACTGCCACGCCGGGTGACCACTTCATAAACACACGTGAATTACGTTTAACGTAATCAACGAATTCAATCAGGGGCTGCTCCATTTCCCATTGGCTGTATGGCGAGGAAATTCCCTACCCTTGTCATGAATAATTCACACTCGAGTCAAATTCCACACTGAAATCAAATCACAGTCTTGCAACACGGCATTTTGCAGTGTTGAAAGGAGATCTGAAACCCACCTTGGAAAGCGACCCAGTAAGCATGTCAACGTTGAGCCAACGTTGACATTTGGTTGGAACGGTGGGTCCAACAGTGGCCTAACGTTACATTTTTACTGGGAAGTTGCGAATCAAAATCCACTTTGATGGCCATTCCCGTGAGGGGCAATTCATTATTTCACCCATCCCCATCCTACCAACATCCACCGATTTGCCGAACAGTAGCTGTCAGGGCCAATCGCGTTTGCATGTTTGTAAATATCAGGTAAACATTCCAACGTTGGCCCAGACGTTACATGTTGACTGGGCAGTACATTTTGCGTATCCCAAGTTTTTGGGCAACTCCTTAGGTCAATTCCACCTGGTTTTCTCCAGCGCAAGTCCCTAATAACAATACAACTTACACTAAAGTTGTGTTCATATCTGATTTCCTTCACGAAAGTTATCGTGGGGCTCCGTACATTTCGGACAAACAGAGCTAACGCACAAATGATTACCTCATTCGGGAAGCGTTAGAGTAAAAAAGTAATATACAAAAATTAAAATCGCCCATCTTACGGCTCAAGCGATCTCTCGGCTTCCCATCTCGCCCGGAGGCAAACCCGACGTGAGACAGCGAGAGACCGAGCGACAGACTTGGCACAATGTTCCAAGACTGAAATTGTCATCACTCATGGGACAAGTCTTGTCGGGGGGGGGGGGGTGAAAGGTCAGTCCGTGGGGTCAACTGGTGACTGGTTCAGTAGGTGAGGGGTCAAAAGTTAGAGAAATAAGTTGGAGGGGTCAGTAGGTGAGGGGTCAAAAGTTAGAGGAATAAGTCGGAGGGGTCAGTAGGTGAGGGGTCAAAAGTTAGAGGAATAAGTCGGAGGGGTCAGTAGGTGAGGGGTCACTCGATGAGGGGTGAGCCGGTATCACGTGCTCCTGTCAGCACAAGGTTATGCTGAACTTGTCAGGCTTTATGTTCTCATAGATGGGAATGGATTTCAGCCTGAATTCACACAAAAGACAAACATACACACACACACACAGAATCAAGGTCAACCCAGCCTCCTGCTACCTCTGATCCCCTAATCCCTCATTCTCCCCCCTGATCCTCTTGCACCCGTCTGCTCCCCTGATTCCTCTTACGCAGGAGCGCAGCAACCACTGGTGGGTGTTGTTGTGGGTGGCTAAGAGACACCCATAACGATACGGACAAAAATCCACGGTCAGTTTCGAGTCGGCGGATTCTCTCCCCATCGACAAGGCAGGCACCAACTCTGATTGTGCTGACCGACAGACGCTCTCAGCGACAAAGCGGCAGGCTCAGTGCCGAGTCAGTGGCACGAATCGATCCACCTAGAATTATTACACCGTTACTAGCGTGCATGAATGAGTAATTCTAGATTTGAAGCTTGCGTGACTGCAAGGATTCATATTCTTAGGTTTTTTTCGGTAAAGTCACGTAGGTAAAAAATTTAAATTAATAAAAGTAAAATAAAAATCACGACGTTTCAGAGGCAACACAAGCTTCCGTCTTCAGGTGGAACCGTCACAGCACGATTGCTGTATCAAGTGAGAGAAATTCCAAGAAAACAGTCCTTGTATATATACTGGTTGAGGGTGGGAGGAGCCAAGGTAGGCCCTGGATATTATAATTGTGAGGTTCGGTGCAGCTGAAGTACGCTGTTAGGAATTAGCCTTTGTTGTGTAAACTAGGTGCGGCTGATATTTTTATTTTACTTTTATTAATTTTAATTTTTTTCCTACGTGACTTTACCGAAAAAACCTAAGAATATGAATGAGTAAATGAGGCTCTCACTTTTTCTCCTCCATTTGCTCAGTGCCGCCTCCCTCCAGCTTCTGATTCTGTGGAGAAGGCAGCAGTGGGAGACAGTCATAGGGTCTCCTGCCGACGCAATCACTCGGCCACCACTCACGGGGTGGTCTCTTCTTCCTCTGCTGCTCATAACAATAAGTTAGACTTTTCAATGTGCACAATGTTTCGTTCAGTCTCAATAGACAGCACGATTCAGAGACGTGGGAAACCGCAGACAAGCAAGGAGGTAGCAAGAATCGCCACCAACAATTGCCCAAGCTCTGTGATCCTACGACGGGATGTTTGGCCAACTCCATTCACGTGTTCATACACCCATAGAAAACCCACGCATTGCGAAGTTGGATAACACTCAATCCCCCTACAGATGAAAATTAGTCCCACTTGCTGTACTGCCATCGTCCGCCGGCCAAAAGCCAGGAGATGGCAACCTCGCTCGTGGCTACATCGAATATCATCGCGCGTCACAAGACGTGTTACAACGCGTGAGTGTATCGATTGGAATCTAAATCGATTCAGAGACATCCTATTAATGATTCTGAAAACTAAAAACGGACGATACAATAATAATAACAATGCAATTTATAACGCACGCAAATTTGCAGGACATAACGGCCGCAACTCAGAGGCGCGGAGCCAAGCTCAGAGTCGCTCGAAAGCACGTGGTTATAGAGGTGAGCTTTTAAATGTCTCATGAAGGAGGCGATTGAGGTGATGCTGCGAATGTGCAGAGGGATAGCGCTCCAGACTGTTGGGGCTGCCACCGAGAAGCGGCGCATAGACGTGACCATGATGCCTCCATGTGCCGTGCGACTTGCCACCATGTCCTGCACGAACACCTCCAGGCACTTGTACACGAACGCATACTGCGCCTCAGTCTGCACCATCCCCGACCTCTGACTCCGCATGTCCTGGATCGTCTTAGGGATGTCCAGTTCACAATCCAGCCCTGTGGGAGCGGGGGGGGGGGGGGTACAGGGGGAGTGTGGATGGGGGGCACAGGAAGGGCAAAGAAATACAGCTTGCATTTTAGGGGGTGCTCGATATTGGGCCTATCGTCCAGTTAAATTGGTCAAGGTGTGATTTCCAGCATCATGGTGCGAAACAAAGGATCGTTATTTGAAGGGCTCGTGACTCGATTGACTGGATTATCAGGATCATGGCCCAGTTCAATGAACTTGATCCGGAGTCGATTTAAAGGATTAATACTTGATTGAACGGATCATGGCTCATTTAATTGGACCATGGCTTGATTAACAGGATCACGAGTTCATTGAATGGAACAGGGCTCGATTATCTAAATCTCTGATCAATAAATTAATCATGGATCAATTTAATATGACCATGGCTCATGGTTGAATTAATTCGATCGTGCCTCAATTGATAGGATGAAGACTCAATTGAACAAGGGGATCTGTTGAAGGGAGCACTGAGATGACAGAGTGGGAGATGCCTCTATTACAAACCAGCCCATGGCTCTATTAAGCAGATAATTAGAATATGTAACGTAATAATACGTAACGTAATAATAACAATAATAAAACGGCATTGCGCCTCCCCACCCTGCTGCTTGATCTGCTCCTTGAGGGCGTCGATGACGATGAGGGTCCCCGTTCTTCCGATGCCCGCACTGGGAGGAGAGAAACGGCGTCCCCGCTAACGTTAGAATTCGGTGGAGACACGTTTCGATGGTCGCGGCCAGCCAGAAACGAGCGGGCGAGAGGAAGGGGCGAGCACTGCCCCTGCCCAAGTCGAGCGCTTGCTTCCTCCAGCAGACGGGCACAGTGAGGGCACGGTGAGGGCACGGTGAGGGCACGGTGAGGGCACGGTGAGGGCACGGTGAGGGCACGGTGAGGGCACGGTGAGGGCACGGTGAGGGCACGGTGAGGGCACAATGAGGGCACGGTGAGGGCACGGTGAGGGCACGGTGAGGGCACAGTGAGGGCACAGTGAGGGCACAATGAGGGCACAATCAGCCCACGCGGCTCCCCCCAGGATGACCGGTCTGGTGGAGAGCCAGCACTGGTGCAGTAATCATCACATCAATCATCCATCATCATCATCATCATCCATCATCATCATCATCATCAAAATCATCAATCATAATCCATCATCATCATCATCCATCAATAATCATAATCATCAATCATCATCAATCAATTATCATCAATCATCATCAATAATCATCATCATCAATCATAATCATCAATCATCATCAATCATCCATCGTAATCATCATAATTATCAATCATAATCATCATAATCATCATCATAATCATCATCAATCATCATAATCATCATCACCACCGCATGTTGTAGTTTTTGTATTACAATTATCAATTAGTCCCTCACAGAGGGACGCAAGATGCCCACATAGAAACCCTTACACTCGCACAGAGCCACATCGACTCACACAGAGAGCCAAGCACCGGTGCAGTGCAATAATCACCACCATCATCACCATTGCCACGACATGTTATTGTCCTTTGTCATTATCAATTAGCCACCTGCAGTGCACGATCATGGGGCCGCAATCCGGCACGGCACTCTGAACCTTGTTGACCTCGTCCAGGAATCGCAGCACCAGCCGGGGGTCCTCAGGGATGCCGTGATCTGGCCAGGCCTTGAACTGGAACTGGTAAACCTCGTGGCCCTGGCCGGGCTGCGTGGACACAGGCGGGACACAGGGGACACAGGCGGGACACAGGCACCACCGCCGGTGACAATCTCGACTCGGCATCGCGACTGAGTGGCGCCTCATCGGCACGGCCACAGAGGCCGGGCCCCGCTCGTCAATACCGGCAAATGTGAATAAGCCATAACGACACTCGCCTGGCTCATTATAACATGCAGCAATCACGCGTCTCATTGCGGAGAATATGAATAACGAAATAAAATAAATAAGCAAGTCAATACGCACCGGTCGACACATCTGTCTCTTCACGTAAAGAATAAGTTATATTTTACATAACCCATTGGGTGCACGGCATTCTGGGAGTGGGTTTTTCTCTTCCAACGGCACTGGTTTATTACAAATAAAAATACTCTTTGGTTCTTTCGGTAAAGTCACGTAGGTATAAAATAAAATAAATCACGGCGTTTCGATTGCAACACAAGCAATCATCATCAGACGAGGGGCAAGGGGGGAGAGAGAGGGGGGGGGGGTATAAATAAAAACTCTGGACCGGCCTAGACATTTCGTGTCTCATCAGCAAGTTCAGGCTTTTAACTTGAATAAATGCTTGTGAACTGCCATAATGTTACAGGCAAGGATTCTCTCTTCACGATATGGGGACCTAATTAGAGTCAGGCTTACTTACAGAATGTAGAATCATAACAAGGTTTCTCTTGGGTTAGATTGCCTAAATATAAATGTGCCGTTAAACCCGCCACGACCCGACACAGACAATTAGTAAGGTTTGTCACGTAACAAAACGTGCCAATTAGTTACGATTTCAGTACACCGGTGAGTTGGAGAATAAACCCACAACATTTACAATTCAAGTACGAAATTCATTTGTATTTACGTGATCTAACCCCAAAAAAAACCTTTATTTTTATGGATAATATTGGTCGCGAAAGTCGACGCGTTAAACAGAATGTAAATTGCATACAGCCCCCAGCCCCCCTCCAACCTCCTACCCCCCAACCCCCCACCCACAGAGGCTTCCGTGCCCAGCCGCATGATTAATCACCGGCCACCACTGTTGGATTTAATGAAAGTTCCCTCTCCATCGCGCGTCTGAGATCAGCTGCATTCACGCGATTGGACACTGAAATGTTCCGACTTGTGTTGACATTTTCAAAGGTGCCCTGGAAAAACGTTATAACCCACAAAATCTCATTACCTAGAGAGTAAACAAATGATTTGGTGCAGCTACTAGCTGCTGCTGCTGCGTTGGCAGTGGTGCATAAGCACAAATAACAAACAGAAACCTCAACACATTCATCAGTAATAACTGTGTGCATCCTTATCGGGGAAAAAAATACAAAAGGTGACGTTTTAGGCAACGGCCCTTCTTCATAGCGCAGTAGAGAGTAGACTTGTGATAGCTTTCATTCTCCACAACGCAAATTATATTATAATTTTGAGTGATGTATTACATCATTTTCCATCAAACCAGTGCCCATATCTAACATCTGGCAAAAAAAATTGCACTGGCTCATTAAAACATGACTGTCGATGAGGCACCGAATGTCAAAACCGGCCCAGAGTTCGCTTGTGTTGAAGCAATGCCGCTGAAATCATGCACTCCCAGAAGGCCGCGCGTGTGGCTGATGGAATGTGTAAATAATTTTTTTCACTGTTGCAGGGACAGATATGTGACGACGGTGGCGGCGTACTATATTTATTTAGACTCGTGATTTAACCGATCGCCGAGGTATTTGTTCGGCCATCGCCAGCTCCTTGAACGGAATTCACACCGAGTCTTCGTACGGGGGCGAGACAGAGAGAGAGAGGGAGGAGAGGGAGGAGGGGGGCGAGTCCGCGGTATGCGCGCGTGCGTGGACTCACGTGGCCGACCACGGTGACATGCAGCACCCGCACGGTGAAGTCGCTGCTCAACCGCTCCTCGTCGCACCTCACGATCACGCGGCCAAACTGGCGGTGGGAGCCCACCTCCGGCCAGTAGCGGAAGCACTTGTTCTGCGCGGGACAGGGCCGGCGTGGGGACGGCGACAGAGGGACGAAGAGGGTGAGAAAGGGAGAGAAGCACGGAGCGCGGAGGAGAGCCCTTGTCCACCTTGGCTCTTTCTGACCAAAAACACGGCATCCTCCTCCCCCTGCAAATGTTTTCACGCGGTGAGCCGGCATCAAATTCCGCCCTCCCCTAAGCTCTGCAGTCCTCTACGTATTGAGGTGTTATCAGCCAATTGAGTCGTCGCTGATACATGTGGAAGGAAACCGGAGCACCCAGAAAAGAAACCCACACATGTGAGCGGGTAACACTCTATCCCGTACAGAAGGCACAATCTCCGTTCGCACTTTGCTGTGCCGCGTTCTCCTGGTGAGCCAGGGGATGGCTCCTCCTTAACGTCCACGGAAAGAGAGTTTCGCAACATTTGCGCGGTGATCCACCAAACCTCGCTGCCTCCACGGTGCTAGATGACCAGCTGTGTGGGTTGGGTGGGCTGGGTGGATTTGCCGAGGTCGGGGTCGTTTGAGTGTCAAGGTCGTGCCACAGCAAAGTCGACGAAATTGACCTCGGCCATCAACAAGTGATCTCGGTGGTAGCTCTGTGATATCCATTTCCATGGGCCTCATCTCTAAGACAGGGGTAGCTTGCACTGCTCTGCCGTGGTACCAAATGGATCCTTTCGTCTCGAGACGCGGCGCCAATAGAGCAAGCGCGACAAAATCGTGGGAGGAGAACAGCGGCGCGGAAAACAAACCCCGGTCCGGTTGCCGTGGCGACCGAGGGGGGCAGCACCTCACCTTGCCTCTCTCCACCTCCTGTGTTGCCATGACGATGATGTGGGAACGCTCCTGGAGGACCATACTCCACAGGTCGGCCACGGTGGTCTGCAGGCAGCCCTGCGTGGCGATGTAACGGCACTGGGGTACCGTGTCACCCGTCTTCACCTTCGCCCCCGGGGGAGTGAGGTGGGGGTGGCGGAGTGGGGCGCAGGGAGGAGGGTGGCAAGGGAAGGGAAGATGAGAATGGAAACGTGAAATGAGATGTCGGACGTTGCACGCACGGCGGAGCGGATCAGTGTGGTCGTGCGTGGGAACGAAAGGCGATAATCGTCGATGAAACAATGATGATCGTAGAGTCCAGATTCGAGCAGCTGCGGCATTAGAACTGTCTACTACTAATACTGCGAGCCCGATCCCTTGCACTAACCCCATCAGCGCCAACACTAACTGCAACCCTATCACTAGCACAAACCACATCAGCCTTAACACTCACTGCAACCCTATCACTGGGAATAACACTAACACTGGGAATAACACTAACACTGACTCTAACCATATCTCTACGCATGTCACGAGCTCCTATCCCTATGACTTTCCCGATGACTATCCTTATAGCTAGCCCTAACCCTCACACAAGTCCCAACCCAATCCCAATCGCTAATGCTAGCCCAGTTCATATCGCTGACCCCAATCCCGGGGGAAGACCCCTGCCAGACCCCTGTTCCTGTCTCCCTGACTCACCACGATGTAATTTGCGTTGATGTAGTCTTGGTCTCCTTTCAGCACCACGCGTGTATTGTCGACTAAAGGCATCCGACATGCACACACACAAAGGCAAATATCACCCACATAGCCTTCAACAGACTGTTGGGGCAAGTGCTGTTAGAGGGCGCCCGGTACGGCGCACGAGGGGTTGGTGTGGCCAGAACAACGCCCAGCCGCCTTTGTCTTCCAGATGCCGATGTTTGCACACCGCACCAGGTACTCATCTTAGGCCGAAATTGACACAAACAGACATGATATTATAATATTCTTGGTTCTTTCGGTAAAGTCACGTAGAAGGGAAATAATAAAATAATATTGATATAAATGTTTTTTTATTATTTTCCTTCTATGTGACTTTACCGAAAGAACCAAGAATATGAATCCCTGCAGTCACGAAAGCTTTAAATCAAGATTTATGATATTATAATGTTGCTCATAATATTACTGCAGATTATGTAGTTAGTGATGGTGTTGATGTTGATCATTGATGTTGATCATTTAGCTTCTGACAATGTTGCTATAGGTATAGCTCATGGCGAAATTGCCTGTGAAAATGTTTCCCGTGATAACGTCGTGATGGATGACGTTGCTTGTGACAATAAAAGTGATGACACTGCTCGTGACAATGTTGCCAGGAGCGATATTACGTGATATTGACAAAGGTCAGTGTATATCTTGCGAGCAACGATGCCGCTCGTGAAAAAGTCTCTAGTGATGATACTTCCAGTGGCAGTGTTGCAGTAGACAAAGTTGCTAGAATTGATGTTGCACGCACATGGCAGGATGTTCTTGAAGCGGTTCTTTCCCTTGTTGCATGGGTCTTTCCCTGCGTTTCTGGTCAACTCCACATGTTCATTGAGCTGCAAGGTCTGATGGGAGTCACCAGGGGTCACAGGGTCACCAAGGGAACATCAAAGGGTCAGTGGGGTTCACGGTAGTCAGTGGGAATGGAACCAAAATGATTGTTTGTTCAGGTGAGTGCACTGTTCACAAACACGCATCATCACCCTCATCGCTATCATTACCATCAAACTCATCATCACTACCAAAGTCAATATTATCATTATCATCACAATCGATGTCATCACCATCATTTTCGCTATCATTAACACCATAATTTTCACCACAAACATCATTATTGCTATCACAAACGTCATCATCGCCGTGATCACTATAATAATCATCATCATAAACATTATCATCATCATTCTTGGAGGTCATGAGATCTGACCGATGGCTGTGGCCATAGTTGGTTGGGAAGGCGGTGCTCGGGGTCTCACCTCATACTCCAGGCCGAAGCCGTTGGTGTAGGAGGACGACCGCCTTCCCACAGATCCATAGGGCCTCCTACGGTGATATTGCGAGCCCCCGTGCCTGCTCCGCTCGAGCTCCTGCACGCGAGCGGGGAGCTCAGCGGCCAGCAGGCTTGACGTGCAGAGGGGCTGTCAGGTGTGGGCGGGGGGACAGCGAGACGCGAGATGCTGGGAGACCAGAAGATTAGAAACACCAGGAGGTCCAAGCCGTCTTGGCCTCCATGTGCAGAGCGGCTGTGGTGCATGGGAGGGGGGAAGGGAGTTTGTGAGTCGGGGGCAGAGAGAGAGCCAGGGACATCAAGAGCTGGGAAGAATGGCAGAGAGCGAGACTGGGAGACCAGGGAACTAAGAGGCCATGAGGTCAAGAGAGCAGGACATCAGGAGAAGACCTTTCTGAGGATGAACTCATGGTCGGGGTGGCTTTTGGTGTGCGCCGTGATGGGGTGGCTGCGGTAGAAATCCACCAGCTGCTCAAGAGAATCGAAGTCCTTTCCGTCCCCGATGCTGTAGCGCTCCTCCTGCACCCAGGTACACAGTGTGGATGTGACCACTCCCGTGCGACGGGCGACTGCTCCTCACCGCTACGTCGCATGCCTATCGACCCAACACAGCAGCGATTCATCACCCTCGTCACACCTGTAATTCAGCACTGTAGAGGCAGCGAGGATTGGTGGATCGCACACATTTTGTGAAACTCCCTTCCCAAGGTGCCATACCCCGGCTCGCCAGGAGAAGGCAGTGCAGCAAGTGGACTAATCGCGATCTGTGTCCATCTCTACGGGGATAGCGTGTTGCCCCCTTTTGCACGTGGTTTTGCTCACACACGTATAATATATCCTCGTCGTTAATTGGCTGAAAACATCTTAAAATAAAAACCCAATGCAGGACCCTGCAGAACAAGTGTCCCACGACTCATTAATGTGGATCTTCTGGATAAATAAATAAATAATTTATTGTAATATCCAAAATAGTTTTTTTTTTGGTTAGATCGCGTAAATGTGTGTCGTTAAAACCCGCCACCACCCGGCACAGCCAACTAGTAAAGGTTGTCACGTAAACAGAACGTGCCAATTCGTCACTAGTACAGCACACCGGTGTGTTGGAAGGCCAAGCCACAACATTTACAATCTGAGTACGACGTAATATGATTTATTATTGATTCGATTCGTCATCACGACTCAGCTTGAAAACTCTCTTCTCGAACTATCCACCTCTGGATTGCCAGTCCGAGTTATGAACGGGTCCGCCGCTGCAGAGATAATGACCACTATAAGTAATATTTTTAAAAACTAAAAAAAACACGCTTTAATGAAATGTACCGTACTAGTAATGGAAGAACTCCACGACTCCAGGAAGTGGCCCCGAAGCTTGACATAACGTAAGGGACCGTGGTCATTTACAGCCAACGTCAGTTTACCGTGGACAATTATAGCCAAGCCGAAACATAACATATAAAAAAAATTGTTTTAAAATATGTTTTCTTATGATAGAATATAGTATTGTTATTAGTATGACATAAGTATACCAAGTTTGCAGTCGATACCACATTGGGAAGTGAGTTAAAATCGAGTTACAAGATTTGAGGACACGACAACGACAACAGACAGAGTGAGTTAATAAAAAGCGTGTAAAAAAGGCAAAACGGAGAGAAATTCAGATTCATTCTCACGTCCCGAACTCGCTGCCCCGCTCACCACCTTGCCATTACCGCTGCACAGGCAGTGTGCTTCCCATCACGAACTGCCAACCCCCCCCCCCCCAATCACCTTTATTTGCACTTGGACGTGGATGATCACGGGCAGCCCTCCTTTGCCATCGACGCCGTCCTGGGATCGCACGGTGAGCGCGAGCTGCCCGGGTTTGCTCATGCTCTCGCGCGCCAGGAAGGAGCCGGCGGAGACGCGGGGCGCCAGCAGCAGTTTCTCGGCCTCCGTGGCGCGCAGCATGCCGTGGAACCAGCGGTTGGACGTCGGCTCCCGGCACGGCAGTGGCTTATTGAGCAAAATCTGTGCACGACGTGGAGGAAGGGGCGCAGAAGAAAGAACGGGAGGAAGAGGAATCCCTTGAGTTAGATAAGGGGCCGTCCATAAATGACGTCACGCGATTTTGGACGATTTTTTACCCCCCCCCCCCTCGTCACACGGCGTCACAAAAAGTCAGACCCCCCCCCTCAAATATGACGTCACAAAGCTCTGCTCCCCCCAAAAAAGATAAAACATGCTTCAAATCGCTTTAAACTATTATCTTTGTAGTGCGTATTTAATGTGGCGCTGCACTTTGATGTTGTAGGAGAAAACATTTATTAAAACGTATATTTATTTAAGTAGAACGTGTTGTCTATATTTAAAGTTGCGCATTTTGATGTGACGTCACATTTCTCAAACCCCCTCCCTCCTCGTCACACCTCACAAATGTCTGACCCCCCCCCCCCCCCAGGTGCGTGGCGTCATTTATGGACGGCCCCTAAGCTTTAATCTACAGCAAAGCTATTTTTATATTACCAGGTAAGGTCCACTGAGCTATGTAGCTCTTTTTCAGAAGCAACCTGCCCACAAATGATAGCTCAACGAAATTGGCTTATCATCATGTGTAAATGTATAGCAGCCAAATACTCTAAACGCGTGACATTGTTTCTAGATTCGGAGGGAAAACCCCAAGGACCCAGACAAAAATCCACACGACCACGGTAGAGAAACATGCAAACTCCAAATAAACAGACGACAAGGTCGGGATCGAAGTCAGTTATGACGTCGTCCCCCATGTCACGTTCCCCATATCCCTGTCCCATGCTCACATTTCCTCTTCCACCCCATGCCCTCATGTCCATGGCCCGTGACTCTTCCGCCCTCCATCCCATGCCCCTCCTGCCCTCCCACCCCATGCCCCTACATCTCTGTGCTTCCACGCTCTCCCATCCTATGCCCCCCACACCTCCCCACCCCACGCCCCTGCGGCCCTTTATACTCCCAGCCCACGTTGTTACTCCCCCGTGGCCTACCGGGTCGCCCCCCTCCTTGAGGACCAGGAGGCCCTGGTTCTCGGTGTAGAACTGCACGAGTTCGTCGAGCACCGCAAACTTCTCGCCACCGAACAGGTCGAAGACGTCGCCCGTGTGCTGGATCTTGATGTGATGCACCTGGTCCCCCTGCCTGCGTACGGTGCAAAAGAAGTTCAACGTACAAATGGCGGCGAGAGGTACTCATTTCAGGCCGAGTCAACCGAGGCCCATAACTGGCTCAGAGATAACCGTCACTGTTTTTGGCCGTGAGCAGGAATCGAACTCGGGTGGACGGGTTCGTAGGGCAGCGTAGCGCTAACTGCTGCGCCACCGCTCCCCACTGAACCACAAAGATCCCCCATGTAGCCTTCGCAGACTTTGGCGGAAAGTTGCTGTGAGCGAGCACCAATGAAGGCCGGCACGGCACACGAGGGGGTGGGTGGCCAGCACCACTCCCTGCCACCTTTGTCTCCCTAGTGGTGAAATTTCCACATCGCAGCAGATACTCATTTGGGGCCGAGTCGACCTCGGGGAGGCCCAGGACCGGTTCAGACGATCGTCACCGATGTTGGCCGTGAGCGGGAATAGAACTCCGGTCCCCGGGTTTGTAGCGCATCGCGCTAACCGCTGCACGACCGCTGTCCACATGGACACGCACGCAAGACACACACACACAAACCACCTGACACAGAGGACGTAGTCATCATAATTGGTGGAGCTGCGTCGCACCAAGAAGCTGCCCTCGTCCCCGAAGGTCATGAGGAGCTCCCCCGCCTTGGGCCCATCCAGCTCCTGGTGAAACCACCTGCAGCAGGGGACCCAGACGGCACACATGTAATGATTGTAGTATCACTACTGTGTACACAAGCACCAGTAGGGGAACGTCATCCGTAGCAGCAGTTGTAGCTGCTGCAGCAGAAGCAGCAAACTGCTTCCCAGCAGCTGCTGGACAAAAAGAGCTTCATAAGTTAATCGGATTAGTCCAGTCTAGATAAGTAGCAGACATTAAACTCTCATGGGTTGAAAATGTAGTCGTCCTGCTGTCTGTGAGCAGCACACCCTGCTGCGTTGGTAAATCTATGTGTGTTCAGAACAACCTGCACGCGTTCTGCTGTTGCAAATGAGCCGAACTTGAGTTACTGGCTCGTATTGTGAAGTATCGTCAAACAAGCCCCACGAGCAACGCAAACATGGGGAGGCCTTCGTCCAATTATTGTTTGTTGCGGTTGAACCCAAATCAAGAGCCGAATGGCTCACAGGATAAATCCTAATAATTGAAACTGAAACTAGCTGTATATTGTGTACTGTTTTTACTATTTATTGCATAAGTTCCCTATAAGCCTGTGGGTCTCTGTGTAAGTCTACGCAAGTATATCGATTTCATTGAGTCTATGGGCAATCACAAAAAAATCTACGGATATGTGTAGGCCTATGACTCACTATGTAAGACCATTGACCTCAATGTAAGTCTATGGGGCTACGTAACTCCGTGCGTGGGTCTCTATGTAAGTCTACAGGTCTCGGTGTCACACCTCCGATTAGCACGGTTGGCTACGTACGGCGCGAATGAAGTTCATCGTACATACGTACGCAACGAGCTATCTCTTTAGGTGTTTCGAGTCGACGTGTTGGTGTGTAGTACATCTGTAAGCTCCCGCATAAGTCTGTGAGTCTCTATGTATATCCGTTGGCGCGTTTCCAAGCGAATCACGTAACAAATGAAGCAGCGCTCACTTGGTGAACCGGCTTGGCAGCTTGCGTTTTATTATTTTTCTTGACTGTTTGGTTACAGCCGTCGCTCGACAGATTGATATTATCTCGTGCAAACAGATTTGTTATTGCCCCGCCGGCAGCGATGGTGTCAATGGCTCTCGGGGATTGGGTATCACACGGAGGTGGTGGCTTTCAAGGGACGAGGGGTGCAGACATGTCCGGCGGGACCGTAACACCAGGCACGGGTGTGATTCAGCCGAACAGAGCGAGAGAGCTGAGAATGAGAACACTTCTCTCGCACGGAGAGCCAGATGGGTGGACATTTCTTTCTGTTTACACATTTGCTAAGCACAGGTCCAAAGGCCACTCCCCACCCACCCCCACCAAAACAAAGGAAGTCCAAGTAAGTGGCCAGGAATAAACACAGCCGTCGAAGTTGTAATAAAGATAAGAGATAGCACGTGTGTTCATTCGAGCCAGGTTTACATGACCTTGGGAAACGTTACAATGAGAGAGAGAGGCGTGATTCTAAAGTCCGAGCGATGTGGGGGGAAGAGGAGGAGAGAGACGTGGTTGTGAGCTGCGGTGTGGCTGTTTAACACAATCCGAGACATTTGAAGTTGCTATTTTATTAGAGGGGACTTGTGCGCGTTTTCTTCGGTGTGGCGTGCAAACGTGTTGTTTTGTTGCCATTGCCCTAGTTTGCATTTGGTGTTGTAACGTCGGCAGGAAATGATGTACTTGTGATCTTTGTACTGGCATACTTTATTTTTGTGTGACTTACTTACCTGTTCTTACTCTGCTTTGCACTCCTATAGTGTCGTATTGTTTGTTGTTGTAACTTGCTGGACCACCCCTCCTGGACATTTGTAAAAAAATAAAAAACTTCATAGCTCATTGTATTTCCTCCGGGATAAATAAAAAATATTCTGATTCAGGAAAAATAGCCCAGCAGCTCGAGATGGTTTACTATAGAGATCCATAGTTTTGCTTGCACGGCCGCAATCACAACACCGTGGCTTGCCTTTAACGTTCCATCCTAGACGGAGATGGATGCGTGTGTAGTGTAGTACAGACGGACTCTTCAATGTCTTTTGCAGCACACACTTTTATTCGTCTTATGAACACAGTCCCTATGCACTGAGAGGTATACGGTCCCCTCACCCGTTACACTCAGAACATACAAGCCTCCGCAGCCTACAGGCTACTTAATATCCCGCTCTTTCAGTGTCCTCTGACTGGACCTAGGGGATGTCTCCCCGACCACTGGTTACACTGAACCCTAGCCCTTATAAGGGCTGGAGAGCTTGGTCCAGGGTCCTAGGCTTCTTCCGCCGTCTTGGGTCTTCGTGTAGCCGAACTCTCCCAGAGCTCTGAGCACCAGTGGCGGCTCGTCAATAGAGGGCGCAGGGGCGCCGCCCCCATCAATATTCAAGAAATATAGATATACAAAATTTATATAAAAATACATAAATAAAATATTTTTTTCATACGATGTGCCGGCTGGTAGTAAGAAAAGCATCAGCATTTAATAAAAACTGGCTTTAATCGGTCAACTATTTTCTATGTTTTTCAATGTGTTTCATGCGGGGCGCCGGACAAATGGATGTCTATGTGAGACTTAAAATTTTCGGACAGCATGTGACCTGAAGCTGGTCTCTAATTGGTTTCTTGAAGATTCTCCTCGGGGCGCAAGTCGTTGCGTCCCTGGCCAATCAGAATTGGATACATGTTATTTTATCCAATCTGATTGGTTCTCGTCACCTGTCATTCAAATTTACGCTCTGGGCCACAACTGCGAGTGCGCCGGCGACACCACTTTGACACTTGCTAGGCTAATCAAATTTTTTGTGTAAACAATGGCAGCAGTTCATCCAAATTCTGTAATTTATTTACAAAAAAATCCTTTCACAAGGCTTTCGCTGGAAGAAATAAAAAAGATAAAGGATCTCGGACCGGACCAACCCGATTTACAAATCCAGCAGCAGGCCAGTGACAGAGGACGAAGCTACACACGAAGCTTCACCCGCGCTTGTTATGAGAAACGGAGGTGGGTGGCTGGATGTGATGTTAGCAATTCTCTTTTTTGTTTTCCCTGTCTTTTATTTCAAAGTGTCGGCACTGAAGTTTTGTGGACAACGACGGGGGTAAGAGACCTCAAACATCTCTCTGACAAATGCAAACGTCATGAAAGTAGCCGCAGCCATATTGATAATAGCATGAAACTAACGTTTTTATGTTCAAGTAGGAAACATGCTTTTTGGTACTTTGGTCTGAAATGTATATAAAAGAGAAACATTTATGTTCAAGTAGGAAACATGCTTTTTGGTACTTCTTTTGGTCTGAAATGTAAATAAAGATCATCAAAATTTATATTCAAGTAGTCAAAATGGTTTTTGGTACTGCTTTATATTTATTTGCCCCCCTCAATAAAATAAAAAAATGCGCCCCCCCAAAAATAAATATCACCAGCCGCCACTGCTGAGCACTCTGGCTTTATACTTGTTCGTGGCCGGGTTGTCCAATCCCCGGCCACCTTGTGGAACCCTGTGATTGGTCGTTCCCAATCTGCTTTAGGATCCCAATTCACCCTATCTGACCCTGACCGTAAGGTCGCGCGGGAAAACCTTGTTTACGGTCAGCTCTCACAGCTTGTGAGACCCTGACCGTTAGTTTGAGCGGGAAAACCTTGTTAACGATTTGCTCTCCCAGTTTGTGAACATCGAGTAGGTAACTCTACTACACGTGCATGGGCCTGCTGTTGATGTCCTGATGCGGTTGATGGGTGACTTTAGTGTCTTCGAGGAAGAGGAGGACTGTCAAAGCAATGAGGCGTACGATGATGGTTGGATTCTCAAATGAGGTTGTTATTTGTATCATTCCAAACGTCCGCGTTGTTTCCACTTTTGTTCGCCAGCAGCGGTATAGTTCTCACGCATTTGGGGGGAGTTTGTGGGACGGTGACAGCAGCAGCAGCAGCGTGATCCGAGAAGAGGGTGGTGGTGGTGCGGGCGAAGAGGTGCTGTTGTCGAGATCTCGTTTGACGGGTGTGGCTTGTAATCGGCAACCAGAAATATGTCATTGTACATTCACTCGCCGATGGCTTGTGACCCCAAGTGGAAGGTGGAATCTGTGGCGGAAGTCTGCGACAGGCAAATATTGTGAGGCTCGTGGCGTCACGGCAGAGGAAACACCCTGGGGGGAGCCAACAGGAGCCAACAGGTCCCACCGACGACCAAAACATAATGACCAAGATCCTGAGCAGATGACCAGGGTGTAGAAGGCCTTCTCGCAGCGCAGGGATCGTCAGGTTCACCCCAATGTGAACCCTCTTTGCCATATGGTCCAACTTCCGTTGTTTTTGTAACGCGAGTCGCCTTAATCAAAGTTATGCCCACAGTTTAGACGTGGGACGTTGGTACAAAGTTGACCCCAACGGTTCTCCAACCAACGTTGCCATAACGTTGGGCATGAATCACCAGGGCGGTGGGTCCACCTCGGCTTGAATTTTACACCAAGTCCCTCTGCGAGCGAGCAAGTGCAGGGATGTGTGCCCCACCAATGTTTTAAGTCCACATTGCACTGTTACAGAGTATTGTATGGACTGGGGGCCTGGTATAGAGTGGGGCCTGGGAAAGATGAATGGGCTCTAGATTGGATGGAGTTGTGGCCTGCTTGGAATAAAACCTGGTGGTGGAGTCGGAGATTTGGTGGAATGGCAGCTGGATTCATAATGATCAATCACGTCCAGGCGGGTGGCTCCACGTGTTTTCTTACCACGATATGATTGCGATACAGTCAACACAGTCCAAGCTACAGGCCACATCTTCTTGGTTCTTTCGGTAAAGTCACGTAGAATGGAAACAATAAAATAAAAAATAAAAAAACATAATAAAATAATTCTCACGACGTTTCGGCCACAACGCAAGCAGCCGTCCTCAGGAATTATTTTATTATGTTTTATTTTTATTATTTTATTGTTTCCATTCTACGTGACTTTACCGAAATAACCAAGAAGATGAATCCCTGCAGTCACGAAAGCTTTAAATCGAAATCTACAGGCTACACTTGCAGTACACAAGGGCCACACGACAGTCTACACTTATACAATGCAAGCTAGTCAGACCACAGTCGATACTCACAGTTCAAACTAGTCTACCATGACTGTCTAAACTCGACACTGACAAGCGATGCAGTCCACACACAGGAGTTCAAACCCACACGGACCCCTCATTCCACACCCCTGTACTTCTTATCCCTTACTCCCTGTTACCGTGTCCCCTTGATCCCTTACCCCCTGTCGAGGGGGTACCGGGCTCCTCCATCTTGCTTTGCTAAACCAACAATCCCTTCTTCCCAATCATCAGCGCGGCTGAACAAGGCACAGCAATGCCCACCCGAACTGATCTGGACATGTGAAACAATAGTTAAAACTCATCAGATTCCTCCAGCATAAATACATTATTATTATCTCATTGTATCCGATACAATACTACAGTATTTAATAGAATCCGATCCCATCATATTCGATCTAATGAAATCTGATCGTGTTCGATCCACTCGAGTCACAGACCCCAGGGATCGTACTCACTGTCGCGCCATCGCGGTTAGACGAGACGAGGTGCGGCTTGCAGGTGAGGAGACGGGTGAGGTGAGAGAGACAGGTGAGAGGGAGAGAGAAAGGGAGGTGAGAGGGAGAGAGACAGGTGAGAGGGAGACACAGGTGAGAGGGAGAGAGAAAGGGAGGTGAGTGAGAGGGAGAGAGACAGGTGAGAGGGAGACACAGGTGAGTGGGAGAGAGAAAGGGAGGTGAGTGAGAGGGAGAGACTGGTGAGAGATGGGTGTGAGAGAGGTGAGGTGAGAGACGAGGGGGAGACAGGTGAGAGGGAGAGGCGAGTGAGGTGAGGGGGAGAGATGGGTGAGGTGAGAGACAGGTGAGAGGGAGAGGCAGGTGAGGTGAGAGGGAGGTGAGAGAGAGAGGGAGGTGAGGTGAGAGGCAGGTGAGAGGGAGACACAGGTAAAATGAGAGAGGGAGGTGAGACAGGTGAGAGATGGGTGAGCGACGGAGTCGAGGTGAGAAACAGGTGAGATGAGAGAGGGAGGTGAGTGAGAGGGAGACACAGGTGAGATGAGAGACAGGTGATAGAGAGAGGTGATAGAGAGACAGGTGAGAGACGGAGTCGCGTTGGGCGAGGAGGCGTCGCCCCTAACGGAAGGTTGAGAGCGAGCGGGAGACGCCCAAGCGCTCTCTGGCTTCCGGGTGCCAGGCTAGGTGCACCGGCCCATCACCTGTTCGTGCCCGCGCTCCTCCCCCCCTCACGGGGAAGTGGGCGGACTGCATTTGCTGCGAGCTCGTTTGAACAGGCGAGGTTGGAATGTGTGCGTGTGCGTGCCTCCCCTAGGTCGACTCAGCCTCAAATTAGCCCCCCTGGTGCGGTGTGCAGTCAACATCGCTACTGGGGAGACAAAGGCGGCCGGGCGTGGTTTGCTGGCCAGCCACCCCCTCTCTTGCGCCGTGCCGGCCTTCATAGGTGCTACTCGCCAACAGCACTTGCCCCTGCAGTCTGTGAAGGCTACACGGGGGGAACCTTTGTCTTTGTGTTCCTTGTGTCGACGCGCGTCTTAACCACGTGGTCAACGTCGGCCCAACGTTGCCCACGTTTACTAAACCACGTGCTGTTTATAGAGTACAGTCCACAGTGTGTGTAGGGTACAGTCCACAATGTGTGTAGGGTACAGTCCACAATGTGTGTAGGGTACAGTCCACCATGTGTGTAGGGTGCAGTCCACAACATGTGCAGGGTACAGTCCACAATGTGTGTAGGGTACAGTCCACAATGCGTGTAGGGTACAGTCCACAATGTGCGTGGGGTACAGTCCACAATGTGTGAAGGGTACAGCCTACAATGTGTGTAGGGTACAGTCCACAATGTGTGTTGGGTCCAGTCCACAATGTGTATAGAGTACAGTCCACAATGTGTGTAGGGTACAGTCTACAATGAGTGTGGGGTACAGTCCACAATGTGTGTTGTGTACAGTCCACAATGTGTGCTTGGTGCAGTTCACAATGTGTGTGGGGTACAGTCCACAATGTGTGTATATATAAATCCTCGTTGTACACGGCGACGCTGGCTTAACGCGCGAAACGTCGGACATCCGAGCAAACTGTGTCACGGAAAGCAGCGACCTCGCCATAGACGATTGCGCAACCCTCCTTCGACCGAGTTTGACCCCCACAGCCGTAGGGTCCGCGGTCATTTGCCAGCAAGCGCCGTTGCTGGCAAACTTTTGGTCGCTTGTGTACGCCGAGTTGTTTGACGCGGTGCCTAACATGGTTGTTTGGTAAACGTTGCATAAGGGGCCGTCCGTAAATGACGTCACGTACCTAGGGGGTGAGGGGGGGGTCAGACATTTGTGACGATGTGTGACGGGGGGGGTGAGAAATGTGACGTCACATCAAAATGTGCAACTTTAAATAAATATAGACAACACGTTCTACCTAATTAAATAGACTTTTTCATAAATGTTTTCTCCTACAACATCAGAGTGCAGCGCAACATTAAATACGCACTACAATGACAATAGTTTAAAGCGATTTGAAGCATGTTTTATTTGGGGGGGGGGGGGGCAGAGCTTTGTGACGTCATATTTGAGGGGGGGGCTGACTGTGTGACGCCGTGTGATGAGGGGGGGGGGGGTCAAAAATCGTCCAAAATCGCGTGACGTCATTTATGGACGGCCCCTAAGACGACAAATGCCGTTTGTCCGCGAGGTTATTATTCTGTCGTACACCTTATTAAAGTTCAACTACAAAAACTGTTTTCTTTTGATCAAGTAATGCCCTCTGGAGCGACACGGACCTTTTTAAATCCTTTATATTAAGTTCACTTGCTTGCTTGCGCGCTTACGACCGTGCAAATCTTTCGGTCGTTTTTTTAACCCACTTCCCGTGATCCAATCGAGCTGACATTTTGCACACAGACTCGTTGTGCGAGACAATTATTTTTCGTGAAATTTTTTTTCCTAAATTTTACACTTTTTAGGGAAAGAAAAAAATGTAATTACCAATTGCTTAATGCTGCCAGACAATCATCTGACCCATAGGTGGCAGCCATCTCAAGCCAGAGGACGAGAGGACTCTAGCCGCCACGCATATAAAGGATTTAGAGTGAAAAACTTTGTTTTTACGGGTTAATTTTTTAAATCCTTTATATTACGTTCGCTTGCTTGCTTAGGACCGTGCACATCTTTCGGTCGTTTTTTAACCCACTTCCCGTGATCCAATCGAGCTGACATTTTGCACACAGGCTCGTTGTGCGTGACAATGCATTTTCGTGAAAAAAAAATTCCAAAATTTTACACTGTTTAGGGGGAAATAAATAAATATTTAATTCCCTATTGTTTAATGCTGCCAGACAATCATCTGACCCATAGGTGGCAGCCATCTCAAGCCAGAGGACGAGAGGACTATAGCCGCCCCGATGCCACGCATATAAAGGATTTATAGTGAAAAACTTTGTTTTTACGGGTTTACTTGTTATTTTTTAAAGAAGCGACCTGTCCATACAAATGACAGCTCAACGAAGTGGCGGCTCTATCATCACGTGGACATTGATGGCAGACAAACTCTAAACTCGTGATGTTGATTCTTAATGTCGGGGGAAAGACCGGAGAAAATTCCTCGCGACCACTGGGGGAGAGAGAGAGAGGCACGCAAACTCCACATATACAGCAGGCGTCAGGGTCGGGATCGAACCCACGACCTCCTGTATACCAGGCGAGGTAGTTATCATCTCACCACGGAGAGAGAGGCACGCAAACTCCATATATACAGCAGGCGTCAGGGTCGGGATCGAGCCCACGACCTCCTGTATATCAGGCGAGATAGTTAACATCTCACCACGGAGAGAGAGAAACACACAAACTCACATATCCAGCAGGCATCAGGGTCGGGATTGAGCCCACGACCTCCTGTATACCAGGCGAGGTAGTTAACATCTCGCCACCGAAGCTCCCCTTAAACAGACGCATGTCTTTCTGTCTGTTATCGCCTTGATAATTACTCCGAGTGATTAGAAGGATCAGTGACAAGTGATATCCCACTCAAATAAGCCACATTGATGCATTGGTGCTCCATCCCCTGTCCACAGCCCAGCAGAGCCAGTGGTGAACTTTCCACATTCCTGTGACGGGGAGCGAGTCTGTGGAGATCCCCACGAAGTGGTACTGATTGTTTTTTTATCAACCCGATAGGAATGATGATGGGCTAAGTCAAACTCCCGCCCCAACCAATTGCCCCATGTCAAGGATGACTGCTGCAATTACATTACAGTTTTTGTTTTACCTCGTATTCTTGTTTCTTTCGGTAAAGTCACGTAGAAGGGAAATAATAAAATAATAAAAATACAACAATGAAACCCGATAGGAATGATGCTGGGCTAAGTTTTACCTGGCTCAACAAATTCGACGATAATTGTTGAGGTTTTCTTTGTTCTTTTTCTTGTTATTTGTCTCCAAGTGCCAACGCAGTCTCACCAAATAATAATAATAATAATGCCACCGCAATATTCATTGTGTATTTTGGGGGATTCCCGTTACAAATCAAAAGATCCCCCCCCCCCCCCCCCGTGTAGCCTGTAACATGCTGGTGGGGCTAGAGTGCTGTTAGCGAGCACCCAGCGAGATCGGCACGGCACACGAGGGGTTGAGGTGGCCGCCTTTATCTCCCCGACGCCGCCTGACTCGTGTGAGGCCGAGTCGACCTAGGGGAGGTCCAGCAGCAGGGGCTCGCCTGGTTGGTAAGAGTTGTGCGTCAACCACTGCACCACCGCTACTGTGGGCAACAACACCACGACCTCAGTGCCGCATTCAGCTGGTGCGGGACCTGTAGCATATGTTGTAAAGGGGCCCCAAATAATATATATATATTTTTTAAAAGTAAATATTAAAACACCCACATTTTTTACTTGCATAGTAAAGTAATTGTATTTTTTCATTTGCTATACAGCCAGATAATACGACAAATCGCTAACCTTAAACACCCGGTCGTTCGTAAAAGTCCAAGACAATATAGTACTATAGTACTATATTAAAAGAGGAAGTCCATAATCACTGAGCGAAATTAATAGCTTGAAAGCATTTAGCGCGGGGCCCTTGAAAGTGCGGAGCCCGAAACATTTATAGATACTTTTGCAACTAGGATAATCCGGCATTGCCACCACCCCCTCCGCCTCCACCACCACCACCACATTCTCTTGAGTAATCGCACCTTGCACACACTGTAAGTCCGCGTGGGAGACAGAGCATTAAGAACACGCGTGCGTCAATTCGAGTCTTTATTCCACCACGAGAGGATGCTTAAACACCGCGCCTCGCCACGTCTCCTCCTCCTCCGCCGCATCGCCCACAACACATTTGTCAAACAGGGATTTGTCGCCCACCGACACGTGCAACAGCATCGCTGCACCGTCCTACACTCGAGCACACAGGCAGGTCCACGGAATGACGCGTATCCACAGGTCACACACTCCCACAAACCCACCAGATATCACAAATTCCCACAGATATCACAAATTCAACACGCACAAACCCACAGATATCACACACTCCCACAATAACAACCGCCATTCACCACTAATTGGGGGTGACGTCACCACGGCGCTCGTGCCAGGCTATGTGCACCTTGAGGCCACGTGAAGTGTCGAACGCCCGCTGGCAGGAGGTCACGGGGCAGACCCAGGTGCCACGGGTCGACTGAGATGACTGGCTGATGCACCACCTGTGCCCCCTACTGTGCCAACTTGCTGTGCTTTAGCTATCCGGCGCTCCGTTCGTTGTTGTGAGCGTCGCTCCTCCGCCCTCCGTTGTTGTTGGGGGCGACTGCCTCCAACTGCCCAGTAGCGTCCTTCACGAGCCTCCTCCACAGAGGCCGATCTTGACACCGCTGGTACCAGTCATCGGCAAGTCAACTCCCACACACACACAAACCCACAGCTACCACATACATCACACACTCCCACACACACAAACCCACAGATATCACACAATCAGACACAAACACCCACACAGACCACGCATTCCCACACACAAACCCAAATCAGATGAAAGACACTCGCGCACAGGACACAGCCCTGCACAGACACAAAAAACTACACAAATCATGCGCAGAGACGGCCCCACGGCCAAAACACACCGCCGCACAGAGATCTCACACACACGGACGCACTCGCACTTACAACACAGTAACGCCTTACATCGGCAGTCCACGCCCAGCATCGTAGGGACACGGCTCCCACGCGCGCTCCACAACGATCACGTCGAACACGACAACGATCACGGCGGCGCGACGTTGAATGTCAAACGCGGAGACTGACAGTGGCGACACGAGACGGCCGAGAACACACGCGCACACACACCTCGTGGTGCCCTAAAAGGGGGAATTGAAGTTGATTTGTTTTATTTAAACACCACGCAGCCCCACACACAGACTCGGAGATGAAGACAAAAAAAGATCCCCCGTATAGCCTGTAACAGATTGTTGGGGCAAGTGCTGTTAGCGAGCACCTATGAAGGCCAGTAACGGAATACGAGCGAGTGGGGGTTGCCAGCACCACGCTCGACCGCCTTTGTCTCCCCAGTGGCGATGTTTACGCATCGCACCGGGTTCTTCATTTGAGGTCGAGACGACCTGCACAACAAAGACTCATTCACACACATACACATGCAGAATCACACAGAATCACACACACACATGCAGAATCACACGCAGAATCACACACACACACGCAGAATCACACAGAATCACACGCAGAATCACACGCAGAATCACACGCAGAATCACACACGCACACACGCAGAATCACACACGCAGAATCACACACACACACAGAATCACACACACACACGCAGAATCACACGCAGAATCACACACTCGATGCGATTCACACGCATCTCTGCCACATCTTGAATCACGCTGCCCGGGTCGCCACCACATTTTATACAAAATACCTCATTCCCTCCATCCCAGCAGAGGCAACTGGGCCCGTTCATTCATTAATTCATTCACCTTCACATTAAGCTGGGTCGGGATTCGAGTCCAGGTTCAATCTGGAGACTATGTCCACTCGTTCACTCATCCAGGGTCAGGGAAGGCAGAAAAGCAGCAGTGCCTCTGGGTCGGAGACGTCTCACAGCTCACGGGCTTCCACCCGCGCTGGTCTCAGAGAATGGGTTCGAGTCCAAGCTGGAACCGACCCATCCCCACGATACATGCACACCGATGTACACATACAGGTTACAGCTTATTGACACCGGTGCAACACGCCTAATGCACGTGAACATCTTCAAGGCCTCATATGTCTTGATTCTTTCGGTAAAATCACGTAGAAGGGAAATAATAATAAAAATAAAACAATAACATTCTCACGACGTTTCGATTGCAACACAAGCAATCATCATCATCAGGTGTGAAAAACACAATTTTCTTCATGTGGTTTTCACACCTGATGATGATTGCTTGTGTTGCAATGGAAACGTCGTGAGAATTTTACTGTTTTATTTTTCTTATTTTATTATTTCCCTTCTACGTGACTTTACCGAAAGAACCAAGAATATGAATCCCTGCAGTCACGAAAGCTTTAAATCGAAAATTCTTCAGGGCCCTTCACCTGTGCACGACAAACCCGAACACCTTCACAGCCCCTGTGCATCTGGACAGCGGAATGCCCGTACTCCCAGTCGTTACCTGTGCGTGCGAACACCTTGGACACCAACTCTTTACGCGTGTACACCTTTACACATTTGACACATGTAAACCTCCACAACACCGGCACACCATTATACCTGTACACCTGTAAACAATTACACACCTGTGCAGCAGTAAACCCCGACGACATGCGCACCAGCTAACCTATAGCAGGTTCTGCAGCAGCCCCGAATACCCGTGCATCTGTATACATGCACGGTTGCATTGTGTACCTGTACGGCTACATGCACGTTCACCCGTTCACTTGTATTCGTTCCCGGTTCCGGCATGGCCAATCTTCTCCAGTGGCCGTGTGGATGGGTTTCCATGTGTGCACGTTTTTTTAGCCATGCAACTATAATGGTATTAATGCACTGTGCTACCCAGCGTAATATGCGCAAAAGCACGCACGAACACCAACACACATCCATACACAGGCACATCCAACAACAACAACAACAGCGGCCAACATTCACCACGAAGTGGTGATTATGTCACCATGGCGCTTGAGCCAGATTGTAGGTGCCCTTTGAAGCTATCACGTCGAGTGTGGAAGGTTTTCGATTCTAGGAGGCGGCCACGGGGCAGACCCAGGTGCCATGGGTTGACTGGTTGGGATGACAAAGACAAAGGTCCCCCCCCCCCCGTATAGCCTCAACAGACTATTGGGGCAAATGCTGTTAGCGAGCATCTATGAAGGCCGGTACGGCAAACGAGGGGGTTGGTGGCCAGCACCACGCCCAGCCACCTTTGTCTCCCCAGTGGCGATGTTCACACACTGCACCAAATACTAATTTGAGGCTGAATTGCCCAGGACCAGTTCAGATAATCGTTATTGGTGTCGACCGTGAGCGGGAATCGAACCCGGGTTGCTGGGTTTGTAGTGTAGCATGCTAACCGCTATTCCACCGCTCCATATCCACACACACTCACCACACAACCACTCACCAATATACAAGTGCGCAAACACGCGTACGCACCCGCGCTCCGAGACCCACACCAACCCACGTACGTACGGACGTACGCCCGTCACTTCTCGCAACGTCCCCCCATTTCTCGTTCCCCCCGGGCCGGGTCCGTGTCGGGTTCCCGCCTCACTCGAGGCCGAACTCCATGCTGTCGGACAGCTCGGTGCTGCTGCCCGCCCTGCAGACCTTGCTGGGGCTGCCCGAGAAGACCTGCGGAGGTCGCGCCCTGCCCGACGCCCTGCCCGCCACCCCGGGGACTCCACCACCACCACCACCACGCGGGGGGTGGTGGTGGGGGTGGTGGTGCCCGGCTGGGTTGCTCGCACAGTCCAGGGGGTCCGCCAGGGCGACCGGCACCAGGCTGCAGTCGGACAGGGACCTGAACTTCGAGTTCTCGGGGTCGAGCGAGAGTCCGGACGCGGAGGTCGCGGGCGATCGTCCGCCGCCCGTGTCGCAGGACACGTCGGTCATGCTACGGCAGAACGGCGGCGGCGGCTCCTGCTGCTGCCGCCGGAGGAGCGAGCGAGGCGGCGGCGGTGGCGCGTCGTGGGACGCGAAGTCGTCGGCGGAGCTGCACGGCATCACGTCCTCGCCCATGTGCGGGAGGCTGTGCTCCGACTTCCAGCGCATGATGGAGGCGGCGGTGCTCTCCGCCGGGAGCTGCCGGCGCCGCGGGGGCCGCGAGCCGACGGTGCGGCGGCACGGGTCGGCGGCGTCCGTCAGTGATGGAGCGCGACAGGAAGCGTGGCGGTGGTCCGAGTCCAAGCTTCCTCCTCCTCCTCCGTCTCCATCGTCTCCTCCACCCGCTTCATCTCCTCCTTGTCCTCCCGCTCCTCTTCCGCCTCCTGGGGCACCCGCACCGTCCCCCCCGGAGGGCTCCGAGGGGTCGTGGAGGAACGAGAAGCTGAGCCCCGCGCCATAGGAGTCGTCGATGGGCAGGCTCGCCGAGGAGGGCCCCTCCTCGCTCTCCGAGTCGCCCGACGTGGTGAGCACGAGTCGGGGTGGGGCGACGAACGGCATGGACCTGGTGAGGGGGGTGAGAGGGGGTGAGGAGGTGGACCCAACTCACAAATAAAATCATGACGAGATCGTGTCCCCGATTGCACAGATCGCTGTTATACATCTCATACATCTCCAAAGACAAAGATCCCCCAATACAGCCATTAACATGCTGCAAGGGCAAGTACTGTTAGCTAGCACCTTTACAGGCTGGCACGGCGCACAAGGGGGTAGGTGGCCAGCGCTAAGCCCGGCAAACTGTGTCTCCCCAATGCCGATGTTTACAGACATCGCCAAGTACTCTTTACGGCTGAGTTGATCTAGGCGAGCCCCAGGATCCGTTAAAATATTTTGCTGCTGTTTATTGGTTGTGAGCGGGAATCGAACTCAGGCCACTGGGTTTCCAGCTCAGTGCGCTCCCCATAGGGAGCGGTAGTGCAGTCCGCTCACCTCCACACACTCCTAAACTATTTTTTTTATTTTACCAGGTAAGGCCAACTGAGCTATGCAGCTCTTTTTCAGAAATGACCTGGGCCACAATTGATATCTCAACAAAGTGGCTTATCACGTGGAAATTTATAGCAACCAAATACTTTTAAGCGTAGGTTTCTTAATTGTGGTGGGAAACACCAGAGGACCTGGAAAAAAATACACACGACCACGGGGATAGCAGGCCAACTCCAAATAGAGGCATCGTCAGGGTCGGGATCGAACCCACGACCTCCTGCACACCAGGCGAGGGAGTTAACATCTCACCACCGCGGCTCCCCAACACACACCCATCCCATGCATACATCTGCGTACGCATCAATCCATGCGTACGCGTGCGCACACCTGCAAACGCGCACACGTCCGCCCGCAACACACATCTGCCCGCGGAAATCTGCACACACCGCTGGCCCCCTGGTCGTACCGGTCGGGGGTCCCGTGGGGGGGGGCGGTGCTGTGCGCCTGCACGAGGCTGAACACAGGGATGAGGCTCAGGTCCGGCTCGTTGCTCAGACGGCGCCGCTCGCTCTCCTGGGCGCGCACGCTCGCGAGGGAGACCTGGGGCGACCACGACACGCGCCCGCGCGCGACGTCAGTGGAGAATCCACGGACTCACGTAGAGACGCACGGACACGTAGAGACCCACATGCTCCCGTACAGATCCATATGCTCGCGTGGGAACCAACATGCTCCTGGAGAGTCACAGACTCCCGTAGAGACCCACATTCACGCGTAGAGACCCACAGACTCGGGTAGAGACCCACAGACTCGGGTAGAGACCCACATTCACGCGTAGAGACCCACAGACTCGGGTAGAGACCCACAGACTCGGGTAGAGACCCACATTCACGCGTAGAGACCCACATTCACGCGTAGAGACCCACAGACTCGGGTAGAGACCCACAGACTCGGGTAGAGACCCACATTCACGCGTAGAGACCCACAGACTCGGGTAGAGACCCACAGACTCGGGTAGAGACCCACAGGCTCATGTAGAGACCCACAGACTCGGGTAGAGACCCACATTCACGCGTAGAGACCCACAGACTCGGGTAGAGACCCACATTCACGCGTAGAGACCCACAGACTCGGGTAGAGACCCACATTCACGCGTAGAGACCCACAGACTCGGGTAGAGACCCACAGACTCGGGTAGAGACCCACAGGCTCATGTAGAGACCCACAGACTCGGGTAGAGACCCACATTCACGCGTAGAGACCCACAGACTCGGGTAGAGACCCACATTCACGCGTAGAGACCCACAAACTCGGGTAGACACCCACATTCACGCGTAGAGACCCATAGGCTCATGTTGAGACCCACAGACTCATGTAGAAACCGATAGACTCGGGTAGAGACCCACAGGCTCATGTAGAGACCCACAGGCTGGCATAGGAACCCATAGTCTCACATGAACATAGATGCAGTACTCAGATAGAGTCCCCCTAGATTTACATACTGACCCATAGTCTTACGTAGACACTCATGTAGAGACCCCTATATTCACAGAGATGCCCATAGACCCACATAGACCAATAAACTCATACAGAGACACAGATCCATAGACTGGCATAGAGGCCCCTACACTCACATGGAGACCAAAAGACTCGCACAGAGGCGAGGGGCGCTGTGTGGACGTGATAGAAGGCGGGGTGAAAATGCGTAAAGGTGAGCGGAGATTGGGTTCAGTGAGGATGGCGAGTGGAAGTTGAGTGGTGAGAATGGCGAGGACCTGGGCGGCCGAGAGGGCCTCCACCCACTCCTGGGCAGCTGGGACTCCGCTGGCCTGGAAAGCCAAAGCTGCCGACACGGTCCCGTACTCGGTGAGGTACACGATCAGGAAGGAGCCTGCACGCAAACAACGAACATTGTCGTCGTCATCCACAGGGCTAGGTCACATGATGTCGATGATGATGATGATGATAAACGACGATGATGGTGATGTTGAGAATGATAATCCCAGTAAATGTGCAACATTCGACCCAAGTTGGCATGTGGTTCGAACCGTTGTCCCAACGTTCCATGCTCACTGGGTATAATGTTGACAATGGTCTAAGTAGACAAGTAATGGCTATGCTTATCATGATGACGATCATCATGGTTTTGTCGACTGTAATTGACGACCAACGGCGATGATGGTTATTGTGATGGTGATGATGGTTATTGTGATGGTGATGATGACTGTGATGATGATGACGATTGTGATGATGATGATGATGGCGATTGTGATGATGAAGATTGTGATGATGATGATGACGATTGTGATGATGATGATGGCGATTGTGATTATGATGATGATGACGATTGTGATGATGATGATGATGATGGCGATTGTGATGGCGATTATGATGATGACGATTGTGATGATGATGATGGCGATTGTGATGATGATGGCGATTGTGATGATGATGATGATGGCAATTGTGATGATGATGATGATGGCGATTGTGATGATGATGTTGGCGCTTGTGATGACGATGGTCGAACCCGGGTCTCGGAGCTCCCTGCACACGAGTCGGTCCACGGCCATGGGGGGCCGGATGATTCGAGTCTTCTCGCCGCGCCGCGTCCACTTTGACACGAGCAGCAGGTCCGTGAAGAGTACGCAGTGCACGTCCAGCTGGGGGGCGGGGGGGGGGCGGGGGGTCAAGAGGGTTTGAACTCACGGGGTCATGGGAACACGGGGATATGCGGACCTGGGACGCGGGGTTATGGCGATTGAACACGTCGACTTTCGAGACCAATATTAATAAAGGGTTTTTTGGGTTAGATCGCGTAAATATAAATTTGTCGTTAATCCCGCCACCACCCGACACAGCCAATTATTAAGGTTTGTCACGGAAACAAAACGGGACAATTGTATTGCTACTCCAGCACCACCAGTGTTGTTAGAGAGTAAACCCACAACCGTTAACAATAAAAACAAAATTGGGATATTCGAGACACGGGTTGATGTGGCACGAAGGAGGCCAGGGGGACGTGGGGTCACAGAGACATGGGGACATGAGGACACAAAGACGTGGAGTGACACAGGGTCACAGGGACATCGGGACATGAGGACACAAATACGTGGAGGGACACAGGGTCATAGAGACGTGGGGAATTCGGAGGCATGTAGGCAAGGGTCCAGGAGGACACGGGAATATTTTTTATCTTACCAGGTAAGGCCCCACTGAGCTATTGAGCTACTTTTTAGAAGCTACCTGGCCACAAATGATAGGCCAATTAAGAGACTTATCATTTGGAAAATGGATAGCATCCACATACTCTAAACGTGTGTTGATTCTATATGTGGAGAAAAAAAACAGGATCCGGGGAAATATCCATACGACCACGGGGAGTGAGACACGCAAACTCAGAATATACAGGCATCGTCAGGGTCGGGATCGAACCCACAGCCTTCTATGTACCAGGCGAGGCAGATAATATCTCACCACAGTGGCAAATATGGGGACATGGGTATTGCAGACGGCATAATGGGAACAAGGTGGGGCAAAGTGATACAGGGGTACGGAGACGTATATATGTTAAACTTCTTTCACACCGTACGTATCCAACCTTGCTAATGGGAGGTGCGTGGGAAGGAGATGCGGTGACATCTGGGGGTGGGGGGGGAGAAGTGGAATGTGGGGTCACTGGTACTGCAGGGGGCGACGAGGTCATGAAGCCGTGGGAGGCAGGGCATGGAGACTCGGGGAGCTGCGGAGGGCTTTGGCAACCGTGGCTCCGCCGCTTGGACGAGGTTGTGCGAGGAGGAGGTTGAACAACAACGAGCGCTGTGCGGCGTCGTACCCGGTCCCTGCCGTCCCTCATCTTGAGGGGTCCCTCGAGCACGACCTCGCGGTACCGCGACCGCCCCACCCCCGGGATGGGGCCCATGAGGTCCAGGCAGCTGAACTCCAGCAGGATCTGCAGGGGTCACGGAGACACGATGGCGCTCACGAGAATCGTATCGGCAGCGGTGATGGTGGTGGCGATGATGACGATGATGGCGATGATGGCGGTTTCGGTCGTGATAATGGTGAGCGACAGTAATGATGATACTCGTCATGATAATGATGACAGTGGTTGTGATGATAGTGACAATGATGATAATCATGATGGTTGTAGTGTTGTTGCTGCTGCTACTGGTGGTGATTTTTCAGGTTCTGATGATAATGGCAGTCGTGATAATGGAGATGATGATGGTGGTGGTGGTTGTAGTGGTGGTGGTGGTAGGGGTAGCGATGATGGAATACCTGTCAACCCATACGGTTTACTCGTATTCTTGTCCAGGTAAATTGAGTACAAAATTTTTTTAATGTTTCTCCCTTGTGATGGGACTTTAAAGATGAACGCTGAGATTTATAAGGGCACAGGGTGACCAATAAGGTCTGAATCGGTCTGTAATAATGTAGGGCACTGAAAAGGGGCTGACAGGGATGTAGTGGTGATGATGAAAATTATAGTGGTGATGATGAAAATTATAGTGGTGATGAAAAAAATGACGACGGTGATGGCAGTGATGATAATGGTGGTAATGATGGTAATGACGACGGTGATGATGATGATGATGGTTACGGTCCAGAAGGTTGTCCCCTCACCCTGTCCACCTCCTCGGAGCCAGGCTCCACCACCTCGTAGGCCTCGATCCGCGCCGCCACCCCCGCCACGCGCCGCTGCTCCTGCCGCATCTTCAACTCGGCGTTCACCTCGGCGATGAACCCCTCCACGCTCTCCGCCTGCACACACGCCGCTCACCTCGTCACCGCCTCGCTCACCTCGTCACTCTCTGCCTGCACAGAAACGGCTCACTTCGTCGCTGACATCCACGTTTTCCGCCTACACAAACAAACCTCATCACTCACCTCCTCACCAGATCACTCACTCTGGTGTGAGATGCAGGGTGCAGGGTGCTGGGTACAGGGTACAGGGCAGAGGTCGCAAACGGGTTTTGATTCCTTACCCGTACCCCTACCTGGCCGCACCAGGGTCGCAAACGGCTACCCGTACCCGGCCAAGTACGGGTAGCCGGGCATCGGGTAGGGTACGGGTATCGGGTACCCGATTGCGACCTCTGGTACAGGGTGCAGGGTGCAGGGTACAGGGTGCAGGGTACATGGTGGAGGGTGCAGGTTACAAGGTGCAGGGTGCAGGGTGAGGGTACAGGGTGCAGGGTACAGGGTGCAGGGTGCAGGGTGCAGGGTGCAGGGTGCAGGGTGAGGGTACAGGGTGCAGGGTGAGGGTACAGGGTGCAGGGTGCAGGGTGCAGGGTGCAGGGTGCAGGGTGCAGGGTGCAGGGTACAGGGTGCAGGGTGCAGGGTGCAGGGTACAGGGTACAGGGTGCAGGGTGCAGGGTGCAGGGTGAGGGTACAGGGTGCAGGGTGCAGGTTAAAAGGTGCATGGTACAGGGTGCAGGGTGAGGGTACAGGGTGCAGGGTACATGGTACAGGGTGCAGCGTGCAGGGTGCAGGGTTCACCATGGCCAGCAGGGCGGTGCGGTCCCCCTCCGCGTCGGTCTTGTGCAGCATGGCTCGCAGCAGCAGCGGGTACTTGGTGAGGCGCTGGTGAGGGCTCGCCAGCATGTCCAGCAGCTTGAGCCGGCTGCACGGCTTCTGGGACTCGGCCCACTGCGCCCACACACATATACACCCATATACATATACATACACACTCATATACACACACCCATATACACCCATATACACCCATATACACACACCCATATACACCCATATACACCCATATACACACCCATACACACCCATACACACCCATATACACATACACACCCATATACACACACACCCATACACACACATATACACACCCATACACACACATATACACACCCATACACACACATATACACACCCATACCCATACACACACATATACACACTGATACTCATACACACCCATGTGCGTGGTGTGGCGGTCTGTGGTGTGGCGACATGGTTCGTGGTTTTGTAGTGCGTGGCGGTGTGGTGTGTGTGGTGTGGCGGTGTGCGTGGTCTGGCGGTGGGTGTGGTGTGGCGGTGGGTGTGGTGTGGTGGCGTGGTGCGTGGCGGTGCGGTGTGGCGGTGTGCGTGGTGTGACGGTGGGTGTGGTGTGGCGGTGTGCGTGGTGTGGCGGTGTGCGTGGTGAGGCGGTGGGTATGGTGTGGTGGCGTGGTGCGTGGCGGTGTGGTGTGTGTGGTGTGGCGGTGTGCGTGGTGATGCGGTGCGGTGTGCGTGGTGTGGCGGCGTGCCACGTGGTGACGTGTCGCTGACCGTGAGGTAGATGCGGAAGACCTCGTTGTCGCGGATGAGGCTGCGGGTGTAGTCCGTGCTCTGCTGCTCGCTCAGGTAGTACTGCAGGTACGGCTCGAAGCGCTCACGGAACTATGCTCCACGGCACCGCCCCACACACCACGCAGCGCACAACGGTAAAACACAGCACACACCACGATACACACAGCACACACAGGCACACACAGCACACACAGGCACACACCACGATACACACAGTACACACAGGCACACAGCACACACCACGCAGCACACAACGGTAAACACACCATGGTACACGCACCACGACACACGCAGCAAACACCACGATACAGCACATACCACGATACACACACAACGGTACACACAGCACACACCATGATACACACACGGCACACACCACGACACACACACAGCACACACCGATTCACGGCGCGCCATGGTACGCACAGCGCACCACGCAAGGCGCACCACGGGATACACACAGCACACCACACAACGTGCACCATGCCACGGGGCACACACGCAGCAAACAGCACGATACAGCACATACCACGATACACACACAACGGTACACACAGCACACACCATGATACACACACGGCACACACCACGACACACACACAGCACACACCGAATCACGGCGCGCCATGGTACGCACAGCGCACCACGCAAGGCGCACCACGGGATACACACAGCACACCACACAACGTGCACCATGCCACGGGGCACACACGCAGCAAACAGCACGATACAGCACATACCACGATACACACACAACGGTACACACAGCACACACCATGATACACACACGGCACACACCACGACACACACACAGCACACACCGAATCACGGCGCGCCATGGTACGCACAGCGCACCACGCAAGGCGCACCACGGGATACACACAGCACACCACACAACGTGCACCATGCCACGGGGCACACACGCAGCAAACAGCACGATACAGCACATACCACGATACACACACAACGGTACACACAGCACACACCATGATACACACACGACACACACCACGACACACACACAGCACACACCGAATCACGGCGCGCCATGGTACGCACAGCGCACCACGCAAGGCGCACCACGGGATACACACAGCACACCACACAACGTGCACCATGCCACGGGGCACACACGCAGCAAACAGCACGATACAGCACATACCACGATACACACACAACGGTACACACAGCACACACCATGATACACACACGGCACACACCACGACACACACACAGCACACACCGAATCACGGCGCGCCATGGTACGCACAGCGCACCACGCAAGGCGCACCACGGGATACACACAGCACACCACACAACGTGCACCATGCCACGGGGCACACACGCAGCAAACAGCACGATACAGCACATACCACGATACACACACAACGGTACACACAGCACACACCATGATACACACACGGCACACACCACGACACACACACAGCACACACCGAATCACGGCGCGCCATGGTACGCACAGCGCACCACGCAAGGCGCACCACGGGATACACACAGCACACCACACAAGGCGCACCATGCCACGGGGCACACACGCAGCAAACAGCACGATACAGCACATACCACGGTAGACGTCGTCACGGAACGGCCTTCTAAACTCTCCCATGCGAGAGGTTCTACCCACAGTCGGGGCCAGGGCTAGAGTGGTGGGTGGGTTAGAGTGTTGGGTGGGTTAGAGTGTGGGTGGGTTAGAGTGTGGATGGGTTAGAGTGGTGGGTGGGTTAGAGTGTGGGTGGGTTAGAGTGTGGGTGGGTTAGAGTGTGGGTGGGTTAGAGTGGTGGGTGGGTTAGAGTGTGGGGGGGTTAGAGTGTGGATGGGTTAGAGTGGGGGGGGGGGTGGAGTGGTGGGTGGGTTAGAGTGTGGGTGGGTTAGAGTGTGGGTGGGTTAGAGTGGTGGGTGGGTTAGAGTGGTGGGTGGGTTAGAGTGGTGGGTGGGTAGAGTGGTGGGTGGGTTAGAGTGGTGGGTGGGTTAGAGTGTTGGGTGGGTTAGAGTGTGGGTGGGTTAGAGTGTGGGTGGGTGGGTTAGAGTGGTGGGTGGGTTAGAGTGGTGGGTGGGTTAGAGTGTTGGGTGGGTTAGAGTGTGGGTGGGTGGGTTAGAGTGGTGGGTGGGTTAGAGTGTGGGTGGGTTAGAGTGTGGATGGGTTAGAGTGTGGATGGGTTAGAGTGTGGGTGGGTTAGAGTGTGGGTGGGTTAGAGTGGTGGGTGGGTTAGAGTGGTGGGTGGGTTAGAGTGGTGGGTGGGTTAGAGTGGTGGGTGGGTTAGAGTGTTGGGTGGGTTAGAGTGTGGGTGGGTTAGAGTGTGGGTGGGTGGGTTAGAGTGGTGGGTGGGTTAGAGTGGTGGGTGGGTTAGAGTGTTGGGTGGGTTAGAGTGTGGGTGGGCTAGAGTGGTGGGTGGGTTAGAGTGGTGGGTGGGTTAGAGTGGTGGGTGGGTTAGAGTGGTGGGTGGGTTAGAGTGTGGGTGGGTTAGAGTGTGGGTGGGTAGAGTGTGGGTGGGTTAGAGTGTGGATGGGTTAGAGTGGTGGGTGGGTTAGAGTGGTGGGTGGGTTAGAGTGTGGGTGGGTTAGAGTGTGGGTGGGTTAGAGTGGTGGGTGGGTTAGAGTGGTGGGTGGGTTAGAGTGGTGGGTGGGTTAGAGTGGTGGGTGGGTTAGAGTGGTGGGTGGGTTAGAGTGTGGGTGGGTTAGAGTGTGGGTGGGTTAGAGTGTGGGTGGGTGGGTTAGAGTGGTGGGTGGGTTAGAGTGGTGGGTGGGTTAGAGTGTGGGTGGGTTAGAGTGTGGGTGGGTGGGTTAGAGTGGTGGGTGGGTTAGAGTGTGGGTGGGTTAGAGTGTGGATGGTTAGAGTGTGGATGGGTTAGAGTGTGGGTGGGTTAGAGTGTGGGTGGGTTAGAGTGGTGGGTGGGTTAGAGTGGTGGGTGGGTTAGAGTGGTGGGTGGGTTAGAGTGGTGGGTGGGTTAGAGTGTTGGGTGGGTTAGAGTGTGGGTGGGTTAGAGTGTGGGTGGGTGGGTAGAGTGGTGGGTGGGTTAGAGTGGTGGGTGGGTTAGAGGTTGGGTGGGTTAGAGTGGGGTGGGCTAGAGTGGTGGGTGGGTTAGAGGGTGGGTGGGTAGAGTGGTGGGTGGGTTAGAGTGGTGGGTGGTTAGAGTGTGGGTGGGTTAGAGTGTGGGTGGGTTAGAGTGTGGGTGGGTGGGTTAGAGTGGTGGGTGGGTTAGAGTGGTGGGTGGGTTAGAGTGGTGGGTGGGTTAGAGTGGTGGGTGGGTTAGAGTGTGGGTGGGTTAGAGTGTGGATGGGTTAGAGTGTGGGTGGGTTAGAGTGTGGATGGGTTAGAGTGTGGGTGGGTTAGGTGGTGGGTGGGTTAGAGTGTGGGTGGGTGGGTTAGAGTGTGGGTGGGTGGTGGGTTAGAGTGGTGGGTGGGTTAGAGTGTGGGTGGGTTAGAGTGTGGGTGGGTTAGAGTGTGGGTGGGTGGGTAGAGTGGTGGGGGTTAGAGGTGGTGGGTGGGTTAGAGTGTGGGTGGGTTAGAGTGTGGGTGGGTTAGAGTGTGGGTGGGTTAGAGTGTGGGTGGGTTAGAGTGTGGGTGGTTAGAGTGTGGGGGTGGGTTAGAGTGTGGGTGGTTAGAGTGTGGATGGGTTAGAGTGTGGGTGGGTTAGAGTGTGGATGGGTTAGAGTGGTGGGTGGGTTAGAGTGGTGGGGGGGTTAGAGTGTGGGTGGGTTAGAGTGTGGGTGGGTTAGAGTGTGGATGGTTTAGAGTGTGGGTGGGTTAGAGTGTGGGTGGGTTAGAGTGTGGGTGGGTGGGTTAGAGTGTGGGTGGTGGGTTAGAGTGTGGGTGGGTTAGAGTGTGGATGGGTTAGAGTGTGGGTGGGTTAGAGTGTGGATGGGTTAGAGTGTGGGTGGGTTAGAGTGTGGGTGGGTTAGAGTGGTGGGTGGGTTAGAGTGTGGGGGGTGGGTTAGAGTGTGGGTGGGTGGGTTTAGAGTGTGGGTGGGTGGGTTAAAATGTGGGTGGGTGGGTTAGAGTGGTGGGTGGGTTAGAGTGGTGGGTGGGTTAGAGTGTGGATGGGTTAGAGTGTGGATGGGTTAGAGTGTGGGTGGGTGGGTTAGAGTAGTGGGTGGGTTAGAGTGTGGGTGGGTTAGAGTGTGGGTGGGTTAGAGTGGTGGGTGGGTTAGAGTGTGGGTGGGTGGGTTAGAGTGTGGGTGGGTGGGTTAGAGTGGTGGGTGGGTTAGCAGTGGTGGGTGGGTTAGAGTGTGGATGGGTTAGAGTGTGGATGGATTAGAGTGTGGGTGGGTTAGAGTGTGGGTGGGTTAGAGTGGTGGGTGGGTTAGAGTGTGGGTGGGTGGGTTAGAGTGTGGATGGGTTAGAGTGTGGGTAGGTTAGAGTGTGGGGGGTTAGAGTGGTGGGTGGGTTAGAGTGTGGGTGGGTGGGTTAGAGTGTGGGTGGGTGGGTTAGAGTGTGGGTGGGTGGGTTAGAGTGGTGGGTGGTGGGTTAGAGTGGTGGTGGGTGGGTTAGAGTGGTGGGTGGGTTAGAGTGTGGGTGGGTTAGGTGGTGGGTGGGTTAGAGTGTGGGTGGGTGGGTTAGAGTGTGGGTGGGTGGGTTAGAGTGTGGGTGGGTTAGAGTGGTGGGTGGGTTAGAGTGTGGGTGGGGTGGGTTAGAGTGTGTGTGGGTGGGTTAGAGTGGTGGATGGGTTAGAGTGTGGGTGGGTTAGAGTGTGGGTGGGTTAGAGTGGTGGGTGGGTTAGAGTGGTGGGTGGGTTTAGAGTGTGGGTGGGTTAGAGTGTGAGTGGGTTAGAGTGTGGGTGGGTTGGAGTGTGGGTGGGTTAGAGTGTGGGTGGGTTGGAGTGTGGGTGGGCTAGAGTGGTGGGTGGGCTAAAGTGTGGGTGGGTTAGAGTGTGGGTGGGTTTAGAGTGGTGGGTGGGTTAGAGTGGTGGGTGGGTTAGAGTGGGGTGGGTGGGTTAGAGTGTGGGTGGGTTAGAGTGTGGGTGGGTTAGAGTGGTGGTGGGGTTAGAGTGGTAGGTGGGTTAGAGTGGTGGTGTGGGTTAGAGTGGTGGGTGGGTTAGAGTGGTGGGTGGGTTAGAGTGGTGGGTGGGTTAGAGTGTGGGTGGGTTGTAGTGTGAGTGGGTGGGTTAGAGTGTGGGTGGGTGGGTTAGAGTGTGGGTGGGTGGGTTAGAGTGTGGGTGGGTGGGTTAGAGCGTGGGTGGGGTAGAGTGTGGGTGGGTTAGAGTGTGGGTGGGGTAGAGTGTGGGTGGGTGGGTTAGAGTGTGGGTGGGTGGGTTAGAGTGTGGGTGGGTGGATTAGAGTGTGGATGGGTTAGAGTGTGGTGTGAGTTAGAGTGTGGGTGGGTTAGAGTGTGGGTGGGTGGATTAGAGTGTGGGTGGGTGGGTTAGAGTGTGGGTGGGTGGGTTAGAGTGTGGGTGGGTGGGTTAGAGTGTGGGTGGGTTAGAGTGTGGTGGGTTAGAGTGTGGGTGGGTTAGAGTGTGGGTGGGTTAGAGTGTGGTGGGTGGTAGAGTGTGGGTGGGTGGGTTAGAGTGTGGTGGGTGGGTTAGAGTGTGGGTGGGTGGGTTAGAGTGTGGGTGGGTGGGTTAGAGTGTGGGTGGGTGGGTTAGAGTGTGGGTGGGTGGGTTAGAGTGTGGGTGGGTGGGTTAGAGTGTGGGTGGGTGGGTTAGAGTGTGGGTGGGTTAGAGTGTGGGTGGGTGGGCTGGGTTAGAGTGGTGGGTGGCTTCGAGCCTGGAGTTGGCTTGAGGCTGTTAAGAGCCCCGGGGCCTTCGTGTGACAAGGGCGGGGGGGGGGGGCTCACCCCGGTAAAAGCCCCGAGGAGGTCAGCGGGGCGGAGCGGCGCGCGCAACGAGCGCGACCGCTGGAGCGCGGGCGCCAGCTGCTCCCGCCACAGCCCCTTGTGCAGTGCCAGCAGCTGTGGCACGTTCACAAACACACGCTCCACCTGCACCTGCACCACCGGAGGGACGTGGGGGGGGGGGGTCGGTGATTGTGGGCGACGTCACGGGCCGTCACGGAACGTCGCCGACCAGTGCAGCAGACGACTGATCGCGACGGGGCGGCACGGGCTGTGACATCGCGCGTGGTAATAAACCATCACCACGCGAACTCCGCTGGTCACCCTCGCAGCAGCAGCAGCAGCAGCGGCAGCAGCAGCGGCGGTGGCGGATTTTGGCTGCTGGCCATCGAACAAAGGCGGCGGTCACCGTCATCGCGCGCTTTCAGGTGCGCTTCTGCGGCCGTCTGGAACGCTCTTCCTTCCGATATTAGGAAGCCACTGGGGCTGTGAACTTTTAAATCTCGATTGAAAACTCATTTCTTGAGAACTGCTTTTTGTGTTTAGTTTGTTGGCCTTCCCCCGCACCTCCGATTAGCGCTGCTGGCTACATGCGGTGCGAAAGAAGTTCAACACACAAACTTCATAGGCTATCGCCGACCCGTACAGACTCGAACGAGCGTCATGGACGGCATCGTCGTGAGCTCACCTCTCTGAGCAGCCCCGTCTCCTGCAGGTTGAGCAGGCAGCTGATGAAGAGCTGCACCCAGAGACGAGCACAGACACACACGTGTCGGAAACGGAGACGCGATTCACTCGCTCACTCGTTCATCATTTCATTCGTTCGACTCGCTCACTCACGAGAAATCCTCGACAGTAATTCACTCGACACAATTAATTCGCTCGGTCAATCACCCCACGCGTTTATTCACTCGTTCGTTCACTCACCCATTAATCTCATTTGCTCACCCGCGCACTCATTCCTGAACTCATTCACATGTCCATTCATTTATTGAGGAATCGATTAATTCACTCAATCCGCTCATTCAACCATCAGTGGGAATCGGTGAGGATCGGCGGGGATCCGTGGAGAATGGCGAGAATTGGTGAGGATGGGTGAGGATCGGTGGAGAATGGCGACGATTGGTGATGAGTAAGGATTGGTGGAGAATGGCGATGATTGGTGAGGATGGATAAGGATCGGTGGAGAATGGCAAAAATGGGTGAGGATGGGTGGAGAATGGCGATGATTGGTGAGGATGGGTAAGGATCGGTGGAGAATGGCGAGGGTTGGTGAGGATGGGTGAGGATCGGTAGAGAATGGCGAGGATGGGTGAGGATGGGTGGAGAATGGCGATGATTGGTGAGGATGGGTAAGGATCGGTGGAGAATGGCGAGGGTTGGTGAAGATGGGTGAGGATCGGTAGAGAATGGCGAGGATGGGTGAGGATGGGTAAGGATCGGTGGAGAATGGCGAGGATGGGTGAGGCTGGGTGAGGATGGGTGGAAAATGGCGAGGACTGGTGAGGATGGGTGAGGATCGGTGGAGAATGGCGATGATTGGTGAGGATGGGTAAGAATCGGTGGAGAATGGCGAGGATGGGTGAAGATGGGTGAGGATCGGTGGAAAATGGCGACGATTGGTGAGGATGAGTAAGGATCGGTGGAGAATGGCGAGGATGGGTGAGGATGGGTGGAGAATGGCGACGATGGGTGAGGATGGGTAAGAATCGGTGGAGAATGGCGAGGATGGGTGAGGATGGGTGGAGAATGGCGACGATGGGTGAGGATGGGTAAGAATCGGTGGAGAATGGCGAGGATGGGTGAGGATGGGTGGAGAATGGCGACGATGGGCGAGGATGGGTAAGGATCGGTGGAGAATGGCGAGGATTGGTGGAGAATTGTGGGGATCGGTGAGGATCGATGATTGGCGAAGTATCGATGGGAACCAAGGCCACTCACGTCGCACAGGAGCTGCAGGCTACGCATGTAGGACATCTCGGTGCTGAACAGCTCCCACGTGGCCTCCTGCTGCTGGTAGCTCCGGTGGCTCAGGCTCTAAGAGGTGGACAATGTAAGGTGGACATGTTCAACAACACACCATGTTGCCTCGAGTAAATACACATCTTCGTCGGGGGAAACAAAGACGGCCGGGAGCCATTAAGGCGCCACACCGCAAGTACTCGAGTGGTATTTTTTTTTTGAAGATTTGCTGGTTCATCCCAGGATGTTTCTGTTGCGCGTCGTCACTTTAAGATGTTCTCTGTTCATATTTCGTTTATTGCAGTTGCACCCGACTCAAGAGCCGCACGGCTCTCAGGGCTATACCTAATAAATGAAACTTGAAACTTCAAAAACTATTTTTTTAATGTAATTTTTACCAGGTAATAGTCCACTGAGCTAAAAGCTTTTTTTCAGAAGCGACCTGGTCATCACAAATGATAGCTCAACGAAGCGGCTTATCATCACGTGGACATTTATAGCAGCCAAATGCTCTAAAACGCGTGACGTTGATTCTAAATGTGGAGTGAAAACCCGGAGGGCCCGGAGAAAAATCCGCGCGACCACGGGGAGAGAGAGACACGCAAACTCCAAATATACAGCAGCAAGCGTCAGGGTCGCGATCGAACTCGCGACCTCCTGCATACCAGGCGAGATCGTTAACATCTCGACACCACATTGGAGTCAAACCCGTCGGCATGCGACCGGCCGAGAGACTCGGCCCGACAACCCAAACTCACAAGCAGCTCGAGTTCAATGTACATTGAATATCGCAGCCTCTGCCGACAACCCAGAGTCGGAATATCGTAACTAAACTGGCTGAATCCGATGAGCTATTAAGCTCTTTTTCACAGATGTCCACGAGGTGCACGGGGTCAGAACGTTACACCAACAAAGAGGAAAAAAACACGATACGAGTGCAAAGGAAAGGTAAACAAATCACTTTAAAAACAAATACAAATAAAACGAATAAAAAATGTTTATTGGTTCTTTCGGTAAAGCCACGTAGAAGGGAATTAATAATAGAAAAAAAATATATAAAACTATAAAACAATTATTGTTTTATATTTAATATTATTTTATTATTTCCCTTCTACGTGACTTTACCGAAAGAACCAAGAATATGAATCCCTGCAGTCACGAAAGCTTTAAATCAAGAATAAAAAAAAATGTTAATCTCACCACATAAATCCCACTCGGCTATTAGCTTCTTCTTTCAGAAGCGACCTGGCCACAAATCATAGCTCCGCTTATCACGAGGGTTCTGTGGCTCACGGAAACTCGCTGTACGGGACATGGCTGATATGGCGGACTTTTGCGTGTGTGGGGAGGGGGAGCGGTAGCGTAGTGGTTAGCCCCATCGCGCTATCATCCCGGGCTACCCAAGTTCGATTCCGCTCACACAGCCTGAACCTGTCCTGGGTCGCTCCTAGGTTGACTCCAACTTTAATGAGCACCCGGTGCAGAGTGTAAACTCCAGCACTGGGGAGACAAAGGCGGCAGTGCGTGGTGGTGCTGGTCACTCCCCCGCACCCCCCCCCCCCTAGTGTACAGCGCCGGCCTTCATAGGTGCTACTCACCAACAGTACTTGCCCCAACAGTCTGTTGAGGCTATATGGGGGATCTTTGTCTTGTGCGAGTGGACACTGGTGGCGGAGTGGTTAACACACGACCCGAACGAACCCGGGTGAGCAGAGTTCGATTCTTGGCCACAGCTAACATCAGTGGCGAGTGATACCATGGCTAAGGGGCTGTCCATAAATGACGTCACGCGATTTTGGACGATTTTTGACCCCCCCCCTGCCCTTCGTCACACGACGTCACAAAAAGTCAGACCCCCCCCCTCAAATGACGTCACAAAGCTCTGCCCCCCCCCAAAAAAAAATTAAAACATGCTTCAAATCGCTTTAAACTATTGTCATTGTAGTGCGTATTTAATATGGCGCTGCACTCTAATGTTGTAGGAGAAAACATTTATTAAAAAGTCCATTTAATTAAGTAGAACGTGTTTTCTATATTTATTTAAAGTTGCACATTTTGATGTGACACCACATTTATCAAACCCCCCCCCCCTCGTCACACATCGTCACAAATGTCTGACCCCCCCCCCCCAGGTGCGTGACGTCATTTATGGACGGCCCCTAATCAATCTGTGTAAAAAGAGCTTCATAACTTTTCGGATTTATCCAGTGTAAGTCAAGATTCTGATTCAATCCTGGGCCTCGCTCCCAACCCACAACTTTTCACCAACCCACACTGACCAGCGCGGCATGGAGATGTTTTCATCCAGCAGTGGATTGACAAATGGCTGTAATCTATTATTATTATTAAATGCGTTGCTATGATCATTCCTCACCTTCATGGAGCGCTGCCACACGTTGCGATATGAAAGTGGAGTTTGAAGCTAAGATGTGAATTCTGTGAAGGCGTCTCTCCACCCCCCCACCCACCTCTCTCGCCTTTGAAGTTTCGCTCGGCAAAAACACGGCGCGAATAACAACACGGCGGAGCATCGCGAGTTCACCGCCGTGCCCTCCCTGGAACAATGGAAACTCGCGCGATCTGCCAAAAACAATGAACGGGCGAAAGAGGAGGAGGAGGTGGATGGAGGTGGTGGCGGCCGTGCGTACGCGTGTACCATGAACTTCTTTCACACCCTACGCACGTAGCCAACGCTACGGAGGCGCGGGGAAAGGACAACAAACTAAGCACAACGACGAGATTGAATTGAGCTTGTCCATCTAAACCAGGGGTGGTGAACGTTCAGCCCGCGGGCCGTATAAGGCCCGCAAAATCATTTCGGTGTGGCCCTGCCAAGGCAACCGCAGGTGGGACTCGAAATTCACTTAAATCTAGGAGCAAACCTGGAAAAGCAGTTGCGAGTAGCAGCAACATCATCAATACCAGCTAACATCACACGTCTCGCCGTTCCAGCCATCACATTAGGGGCGAGTTAATTAAATGTTTTGACCAAATATAACGGACTAATTTTTAAGTTGATATTTTTGTACGGCCCGCGAATGATGTTATAAATATCCAAATGGCCCTTGGCAGAAAACAATGTTCCCCACCCCTGATCTAGATGATGATTTTAAAGTGCACGTCTGCCAGTGGCTTCCTAATGTCGGAAGGAAGAGCGCGTTCCAGACGGCCGCAGAAGCAGCGGCGCGCATCTGAATGCGCGACGCGGCAACCGACCGTCTTTGTTCGGTAGCCAGCGGCCAAAAGGCTCCGCTGCTCCGAGGGTGGTCGCGGGGTCAGAGCGACGGCGCGCGGCACCGGCGGAGAGGGCCTGGGCTCGCATCCAGGTCTTAGCATCACGTGATTACACCGGGTCCTCGGGTGTGGCGAGTGACTCGCATAGAGACCCATAGACACTCACACAGAGACCCATAGACACTGACATAGAGACCCATAGACACTGACATAGAGACCCATAGACACTCACATAGAGACCCATAGACACTCACATAGAGACCCATAGACACTCACACAGAGACCCATAGACACTCACATAGAGACCCATAGACACTCACCTAGAGACCCATAGACACTCACATAGAGACCCATAGACACTGACATAGAGACCCATAGACATTCACATAGAGACCCATAGACACTCACACAGAGACCCATAGACACTTACACAGAGACCCATAGACACTTACACAGAGACCCATAGACACTCACACAGAGACCCATAGACACTCACACAGAGACCCATAGACACTCACACAGAGACCCATAGACACTTACACAGAGACCCATAGACACTCAGATAGAGACCCATAGACACTCACAGAGACCCATAGACACTCAGATAGAGACCCATAGACACTCACATAGAGACCCATAGACACTCACAGAGACCCATAGACACTCACAGAGACCCATAGACACTCACATAGAGACCCATAGACACTCACAGAGACCTATAGACACTCAGATAGAGACCCATAGACACTCACATAGAGACCCATAGACACTCACATAGAGACCCATAGACATTAACATAGAGACCCATAGACACTCACATAGAGACACATAGACACTCACATAGAGACCCATAGACACTCACATAGAGACCCATAGACACTTACACAGAGACCCATAGACACTCACATAGAGACCCATAGACACTCACATAGAGACCCATAGACACTCACCTAGAGACCCATAGACACTTACACAGAGACCTATAGACACTCACACAAAGACCCATAGACATTCACACAGAGACCTATAGACACTCACACAGAGACCCATAGACACTCACATAGAGACCCAGACACTCACATAGAGACCCATAGACACAGAGACCCATAGACACTCACAGACCGAGTTGTGATTAAACGGGGTACTCGAGGTCTAAGCCAGTTGATGGTCTCTTGGGGGAGCGGCAGGAAAGGACAAATCAACCTCGACAGTGACCTTTGACCCCTCGCGACGTCAGCGCCTCCAGCGGCGAGGGCGCAAACTCGGCCCCGGATCAAACGCACGGGCCAAACACTCCCCCCGGTCGACTCAGGGGAGCGGACGAGGACAACAACGACAACAACAACGACGACGACAACAACGGTGGTGAACATATACACAACACGATGGAGACGCGTACAATAATAAACGGCGGCCATTGCACTACTGCTGAACGAAGACCCTCTCCATGAGATTGTCGGTTGTGGGGATTGATGATGTGACCATATTTCACCACGCTGGTCATTGTGGGTTGGTGAGGGGAACAAGAGCGGTTCAGGCACTCATTTAAGGCTGAGCCGACCTAGGGGAGGCCCAGAACCGGTTCAGATATCTCTCACCACCGATGGGTTCATTGTGGAGTGCGCTAACCACTGCGCCACGGCTCCATCCCAAATACATATCCAGGCCAACCTCACCTCGTCTCGATAGTCATCGTCTCTCGCGGGTCGGAGGGTGGTAGTTTTGGAGATGGTCAGGGGTTATGGATGGTGGTGGGGCTAAAGTCAGGGCGCCACGGTGGCTGCGAGATGTTAACTACCTCGCCTGGTTTACAGGATGTCGTGGGTTAGATCCTGACCCTGACGCCAGCCGTATATTTGGAGTTTGCACTTGTCTCTCTCTCTCCCCGTGGTCGTGCGGATTTTTCTCCGTGTCCTCTGGTCTTTCCCACCACGTTTAGAATCAACATCACGCATTTAGAGTATTTGGCTGCTACTATAAATTTCCACGTGGCGATAAGCCACTTCGTTGAGCTGTCACTTGTGAAAGCCAGGTCGCTTCTACAAAAAAGAACTACATCGCTCAGTGGGCCTTACCTGGTAAAATGATAAAAATTGTTTCGTTTAGTTCTCACGACCTTTGCCCCCCGACCATGACCCTGACCGTGGTGAGCTTGACCTTGGGGTCGTGGCAGATTTGTGTCCACGAGGCTTCGAGGTCGGGCAGCGGCTCGCTCCACTCGGCGGCGTCGCGAGGCCGGGGAAGGCCGTGAAGCTCGAAGGCCGAGAGGCGGCCCCGGAGGATCTCCAGCCGGTCCGAGTCCTGCGCACAAAGACAAAGGTCCCCCCTCCCCTCTTATAGCCTCCACCAGGCTGTTGGGGCAAGTGCTTTTGTCGAGCACATATCGAAGCTGGCGTGGCACAGGAGGGAGGCGGGTGGCCAGTTACCACGCCCGACCACCTTTGTCTCCCCCGTGCTCATGTTTGCACACCGCACCAGGTACGATACGCAATTAAGGCCGAGTCGACCTAGGGGAGGCACAGGACCGGTTCGAATATTCTTCAACGATGTTGGCCGTGAGCGGAAATCGAACTCGGGTCATCGGGGTTGATAGCGCAGAGTGTTAACCACTGCAGACATACACACAATTGACACATTGACACACATACATACACACACGTACACAGAGATATACAGATATACGATCAACAAAGACAAAGATCCCCCATATAGCTTTAACAGACTGTTGGGACAAGTGTTGTTAGCGAGCACCACACCAGGTACTCATTTGTTGCTCAAGATCTGCGTCTCGAACCGCGACGACCGTCGCTCAAAAATCCCGGCGGCGGCGAGCGTTCGGTGGCGATGAGTGCCGCAGTAGAGGTCCAGGGTGGCTGCGTGCGTCGGCGGGTGGGCCTTGGAGCGGGTGGGCGATGGAGCGGGTGGGAGATGGAGCGGGTGGGCGATGGAGCGGGTGGGCGTTGAAACGGGTGGGCGATGGAGCGAGTGGGCGTTGGAGCGGGTGGGCGGTGGAGCGGGTGGGAGATGGAGCGGGTGGGAGATGGAGCAGGTGGGCGATGGAGCGAGTGGGCGGTGGAGCGGGTGGGAGATGGAGCGGGTGGGAGATGGAGCGGGTGGGAGATGGAGCAGGTGGGCAATGGAGCGGGTGGGCGTTGGAGCGGGTGGGAGATGGAGAGGGTGGGCGATGGAGCGGGTGGGAGATGGAGCGGGTGGGAGATGGAGCGAGTGGGAGATGGAGCGGGTGGGCGATGGAGCGGGTGGGAGATGGAGCGGGTGGGCGATGGAGCGGATGGGAGATGGAGCGGGTGGGCGATGGAGCGGGTGGGCGATGGATCGGGTGGGCGGTGGAGCGGGTGGGCGATGGAGCGGGTGGGCGATGGAGTGGGTGGGCGATGGAGCGGGTGGGCGATGGAGTGGGTGGGAGATGCAGCGGGTGGGATATGGAGCGGGTGGGAGATGGAGCGGGTGGGCGATGGAGCGGGTGGGAGATGGAGCGGGTGGGAGATGGAGCGGGTGGGAGATGGAGCGGGTGGCAGATGGAGCGGGTGGGAGATGGAGCGGGTGGGCGATGGAGCGGGTGGGAGATGGAGCGGGTGGGAGATGGAGCAGGTGGGCGATGGAGCGGGTGGGCGATGGAGCGGGTGGGAGGTGGAGCGGGTGGGCGGTGGAGCGGGTGGGCGATGGAGCGGTGGGGCGATGGAGCGGGTGGGCGGTGGAGCGGGTGGGCGGTGGAGCGGGTGGACAAGCCGTGGAGCGGTAGCGCAGTGCTCGGCACGGTGGCGCCACAAACCCGGTAGCCCAAGTTCGATTGACGCTCGTGGCCAACAACATGAGCGAATATTTGAGCCAGTGCCGGGCCTCCCCTAGGTCGACTCAGCCTTAATTTAATACCTCGTGCGGCACATACACATCCTGGTGGGACACAGCCCGGTGGCACACAGCCTGCCGGCGATGTGTTATTCACTGGCAGTGGGCCACATTTATCTCCGTGTGGTAACCACATAAACATGCGAACGTTGGGCCAAAGTTGGCATGGGGTTAGAACCGTGGGCCCCACGTTCCATGTTTACTGGGAAGACGTCGTAGCCTCCATTCGTTACTAACGCAGGCCGATGCGCGGCTGACGCTGGGTCGACTTTTTATCGACTCGGCATTCTGGGTGATTTCGGTCAGATCTTTCCTCGTGCATCCGAAACAAGGCGGCGGGATTGGTCTCATTAACTCAGGAAAGCCACACTGCGCGCGCACACCGAGCCTGAAGACTCTTTTGGCAAGAGGGTCTCTGCTATATTGAGATGATGTTTGGCCAACATGAATCATATTGTATGTTTTTTTGTTTAGCTTTTGGGAGAAAACCGGATAACCCGGAGGAAATCCATGCAGACCACGGGGGGGAGAACACACAAACTCTACAGTGCGTGGTGTGCGAGCGTGCGAGCGAATGTTCCGTTGCCTTGGTAAGGCCCGCAGGCTGCTGACGGCCCCTGACAAAACACAAATGGTGAAAACACAACCCCCATCATGATGCTGCTGCTGTCAAACCCCAATGGTTTCAAATGTGTAGCGGCCCTCACGCTTGATGTCTTATCAGCGAAAGTGCCCCACTCCCCCTCCTGAAAATTAGTGAACAATACTGCCATAGCGGCTCGCTTAGTGGCCTGGCTTGCCGCCTTGCCATTGTATTTCTCAAGACTCTGTGGGGGTTTTCCAGCCGTGACTGTGACCTCCTCAAGCGCAGGGTCACAGTCGCTTACAGTCTCAGCCGGGAGCGGGAGAGTGGAGGGGATGGAGGTGGGGGGCATAGACCCCCACAGTGATCACGCGGAATAGAGCGAGGTATGAAGACTCATTAGAGACTTGTACCCCTCCATCATCATCATCATCAACCTAACATCACAATCACCGCGTCTCCATAACATTATCGTCATGACCACCATCATCAACATCATCGTTTCAACGTATGAGATTACAATCACATAATCACCACATCATCATCATTAATCGGAAGGTCTCAATGTTATAGTATCCTCGTCGTCACGAGCACATCATCGTAAATAAATAATCATCGCACCAAGATCGTCACCAGCCACACAATGTTCCCATCGCATCGCCTTCAATCATTATCATCCCAATGATATCCTAACAGCAATCGCATCAATCGTCTACAATCATCCAAACATCACAGACCCTCGCTCCTCATCTGCCTCTCCCCACCATCACCGACATTTTCCCATCACAATCTTCAATTCACCCCCCCGCCCCCGTTCCTCCCCACCAAGTCTTACCGCAAGGGTCACCCCCCCCACGCAATACATTTACAGTGAGGCATTGCCAACAAATCAACAAACAGAAGACACCACGGATACACGCTCGTCCTTCCCATGTTAGGAAGCCACTGGAGTTGTGCACTTTTAAATCTCGACCGAAACTCATTCCGTTGCGTTTAATTTCGCCGCCCTTCCCGCGCACCTCCGATTAGCACGGTGGGCTACGTACGGTGCAAAAGAAGTTCAAGGTACGCGTCGTAGCGAGAGGTACTCGTTTGAGGCCCATAACCGGTTCTGAGATAACCGTCACTGTTTTTGGCCGTGAGCAGGAATCGAACTTGGGTGGACGGGTTCGTAGTGCAGCGTAGCGCTAACTGCTGCGCCACCGCTCCCCAATGAACCACAGATAAAGATCCCCCGTGTATCCTGAACAGACCGTTGGGGCAAGTGCCGTTAAGCGAGCACCTATGAAGGCCGGCACGGCACACGAGGGGGTGGGTGGCCAGCACCACGCCCGTCCGCCTTTGTCTCCCCAGTGGCGATGTTTACAGTCGGGGAGGCCCAGGGCTGGTTCAGGTAATCGTCACTTGGTTTCGCCGGGTTCGCAGCGCGCTAACCGCTGCGCCACCGCTCCCCACACAGACACACACGGCAACACAAACAAATACATACGTGCACAAATAAACACATGGAGATGCGCAAAAACAAACACAATACGCGTACACAGACACACTTACGGGCACACAAATACACACACACACGTGCACAGATGAATTCCTCGAGCAAACACAAACGTATGCGCGCACGTGAACGCACACACTTCAATGGACACACACAAAGACAAATATCCCCCGTATAGCCTGAACAGACTGCTGAGGGGCAAGTGCCATATTTGAGGCCACACTCGCGCACAGACACCCACACGCGACCCCCACGAAACAGCCGCCATGCGTGCCAACGTGGCCGAGACGTCCACGTGGGGCGCGCGTGCCAGGCTCGGTGCACTCCGAGGCCGTCACGCACAAAGTGCGCAAAGTGTGGAAGCCTCGGCCGCTGGCGGGGGGTCACGGGACAGGCCCAGGGGGTCACGTGACAGGCCCAGGGGGTCACGGGACAGGCCCAGGGGGTCACGGGACTGGCCCAGGGGGTCACGGGACTGGCCCAGGGGGTCACGGGACAGGCCCAGGGGGTCACGTGACAGGCCCAGGGGGTCACGTGACAGGCCCAGGGGGTCACGTGACAGGCCCAGGTGTTCTGCGTTACGAGGGAGCTGGAAACCACCTGGTGTCATCTCTGCGGTGTTTTAGCCGCCCCAGGGTGGAGAAGAGACGCTCACAATAACCAGCAGAGCACACACACACACTGACACACACACTGACTCACACACTCACATACACACTCTACATACACACACTCACAGACATACACACATACATACACACACACTCACAGACATACACACATACATACACACACACTCACAGACATACACACATACATACACACACACTCACAGACAGACATACACACATACACACACACTCACAGACAGACACACACACATACACACACACTCACAGACATACATACACACTCACAGACATACACAGTTCCCCCGTATAGCCTACACGGGCTGTTGGGGCAAGTGCCGTTAGCGAGCACCTATGAAGGCCGGCACGGCACACGAGGGGATGGGTGGCCAGCACCACGCCCGGCCGCCTTTGTCTTCCCAGTGGCGATTTATACAGTTGAGGCCGAATCGACCTACTGTGCCAGCACACACACTCACTCTCACACTCACTCACCCTCACACACACTCACTCACACCCTCACACACACTTCCACTGAGCTCACACACTCACACCCTCACACACTCTCACACACGCACTCATACACTCACACACACACCCACTCACACACACTCACACACTCACTCACTCACACACTCTCACACTCTCTCACACACACTCTCACACACTCTCACACTCTCTCACACACACACACTCACACCCTCACTCTCTCACACACACACACTCACACCCTCACTCTCTCACACACACACACTCACACACTCTCACACTCACCCTCACACTCTCTCACACACACACAAACACTCTCACACTCACTCACACACTCACACACCCTCACACACACACCCTCACACTCTCTGACACACACACACACACTCTCACACACACACACTCACACTCTCACACACACACCCTCACACTCTCTCACACACACACTCACACACTCTCACACTCACCCACACACTCTCTCTCACACACACACACTCTCACACTCTCTCACACACTCACACACTCACACCCTCACTCTCTCACACACACACTCACACACTCTCACACACACACTCACACACTCTCACACTCACCCACACACTCTCTCACACACACACAAACACTCTCACACTCACTCACACACTCACACACACACTCACACCCTCACTCTCTCACACACACACAACACTCTCACACACACTCACACCCTCACTCTCTCACACACACAACACTCACACACTCACACACTCTCACACTCACACACTCACACACTCTCACACTCACACACTCTCACACTCACACTCTCTGACACACACACAAACACACTCACACACTCTCACACTCACCCCCACACTCTCTCACACACACACAAACACTCTCACACACACTCTCACACTCACCCACACACTCACTCTCACACACACAAACACTCTCACACTCACTCACACACACACCCACACACTCTCTCACACACACACAAACACTCTCACACTCACTCACACACTCACACACACTCACACCCTCACTCTCTCACACACAAACACTCTCACACTCACTCACACACAAACACTCTCACACTCACTCACACACACACCCTCACACTCTCTGACACACACACACACACTCTCACACTCACTCACACACACAGACCACCGCCCACCTTCACCACGGCTCCTCCGGGCCCGAAGATGCCACCGATGCGAGCCCCCCCCTGCCGCACCTTGCTCCCGTCCACGGGGCTCCCCGCGGGGGTCGGGGCGGCCCCCTCGGGGGGCCCCCACTTCTCCAAGGGGACCATCACGTCCCCCAGGTACGACGCCATGTTCTTGCGCCTCCGGCAGGGGGTCTGCGGGGGGGGGGGGGGTAGAAGGAGGGGGATCAGTGGAAGTAATTAGGGGGGCGAGACGAGGGATGGGGGTGGAGGGGTATAGGGGGACGAGATGAGTAATTATAGGGGGGTGGCAAGCGAGTTCTCATCTTTGGAGTGGGGGGTTACGGGGGTGGTCGATGAATGGAGTAATTAGTCTAAGAGACAGCTAAAGAGGGGGGGGGGCTCATCATCGTGTTGGCCACGTGCTGGGTAGGGGTCGTCTGTCCCTATCTCCCCCTAATAGCTCAGCTCGCGGGCTGGGCGGTGGTGGGTGGGGGGTTAATTGCCGCTGATGGGTAATTGCCTCTGCTTGCTCGTGACTAATGACAATGAAATTGCCCCATTAAAAAGGGTGCCAGCAATTCTCAGCAGGTAAATTAAGCAACGTCAAACAGGGTCACAACTCCTTGCCAAAGGGCACCGCGACTCAGAGACTGGCTGCAGCAAGCGGGTGGCTCGGATACTGCTGCTGCTTCTGCTGCTGCTGCTGATACTGCTGCTGATACTGCTGCGTTCCCACGCGAGTTGGAAAGCGTGCCGAGCCGTGCCGTGCCGAGCCAGCCCACTTATGGTTTCTGGAATGGCGCGCAGAGAGAATAAGCCAGACAGAGGACGTGCTAACTTTATTGGACACACTCGTTTTCCCCAGGAAATCCTCACACCGAGTCTCAACACTCATTGTCAGGAGGGTCATGTTGTTGCAGTAGGGGGCGATGCTGCTGCTGCTGCTGCTGCAGTGGTGTGTGTAGCTCCAATTGAGTCAAATGTTGCGGGTAGTTTCTGCGGCATTGGGATGCTTTGGCCAATCCGAGTGACATTACAGTCATGTGTTGGCTCCTTGCGGGGAGGGGGGAGAGTTAGCGACGGAAGGAAATTGAAAAATGATGAAAACCACACAAAGCATACAAACGCATTTGGTTCTTAACTTAAAATTGACCAAAATACCAGTTCTGAGAAATAAAAAAGAATATCGCTTTGACTGCCACGTGATGAACATTTCTCTGCAGCGGGCTCGTGCGGAATTTTCCTGTGCCCTCATTTGTGGATTAACAACAACAACAAATCCTCAGTAAACATGCAACGTTGGGCTCACGTCCCACCCCCCCCCCCCCCCCCCCACGTCGACCCAACGTTCCGTGCCTACTGGCTCGGATGTAGTTCCTGGAGACCTCCTTCCACGACGCACGGCTGACCGCGAGAATTCCGCGCGGGCTCGGCATTGTACACAATTGTGAACACAGCCGACGATCACAACGGCCACGAGATAATGACAGATCACAAAACACGCCCGTCAACGCTCTCCTAATTGCCACTGGAAATGCGACTTCTTTATCATCCTCGTGAGCCTGACACAGCTCGAGTCGTAAGACAATGTTCTTGTTGAAGGTGGCAGAAGACGTCTTGTCAGATCGAGGCAGCTGTGGCGGGGGTTGGGGGGGGCTGTGACAAGGAGGTCAAGAGGAGGAGCCTTGCTTTAGCAGGGCAGGTGAGCGATGGGGCCGGGGGGGGGGGCTAGGGACACCGGTTTGGATGAGATTGCAGTGTACAGAGAAGCGACATTGACACTGGGGGGGGGGGGGGGGAGCTGTCTGTGTACACTGAGAGCCGTCGCTAGGGTAACAGCGAATCGGGGCGACCGCCCTGGGCCCCAAGCTTTGCTACCCCCCCCCCTCCCGTCCTCCGACATCAACGGAGTCAGACGTAGTACTTTGCCCCCCCCCCTCCCCTACTACGGACTGCCCCCTGTGCGTTGTTGTGACTCCATGCAAAATGCATCGGAGTGTTGGGCCCCCCTTTTAATTACGCGGCGGCTCGAATATTCACATCGCGCACAGAGGTGTGCGGCTGGCTCGGCTCGGAGACGGACGATGCGACACGTCGTGAGAGAGCGTCGGGCGCGCGTGTTGCAGGTGCGAGCAGGCGGACGCAGGGGGGAGCCCTGGGTAGGACACGTGTGTGTGCGTGCGTGTGTGCAGGGTGGGCTGGTGAGCTCCACGAGTCGGGCGACCGAGGGGAAGAGTAGGCCAAAGGACAGACGGTGTGATGGTGCGAGTGAGAGGGCATTTCTCTACTGCGCGCGGCAAGCTACGGGATCTGGCAAGGTGGTGGCATCACAGTCGATTTGGCCATAAACTTCAACCATCACTCACCACCCATCACCAAATATCCACATTATGCCACCCATCACCCACCAACGATCCACTCGTCACTCATTAATTACCTATAACCGATTATGCATATTCCCGTTATTCATTAATCCCACACGACTCATCACCCATCACCCATTACTCACCGCACCTCACTGATCAACCACCACCCATCTTCCCACACTAATCGCTCATCACCCACTACTCACCAATCACCCACTACTCACCAATCATCCACTACTCACCTATCACCCATCTCTCATCACCCACCACTCTCCAACCAACACCCTTCATCCATCTCCCATCACTCATCATCCACCACCCATCCACTCTTCACCCATCGCTCACCTCCCTTCACCCGCCACCCATTACCGATCACGCGTATCCCATCACCGGTGACCCGCCATCCCATCATCACCCTGACCGTGACATCTTTGAGCGATCGATGGCCCGACTCGGCTTGCATGACTCCCGTATCGCGTCCCCTCGCCTCGGGGAGAGACACGAGCCGAGACACGAGCCGAGACACGGGGGCGATGCGGAGACAGGGAGACAGAGGCACGGATACACACACAGACGCAGACACACGGAGACATAGGAGTGACACTGGGACACCAAGACAGAGAGACACACACAAAGACAGACACAGGAGCGCCATTAAGACACAAGGAGACACCGACTGTGTATGTGTCCGAGACACACACACAGACACATTAGACACACTTATACATAGCCGTGCGCGCACACACACACATCATACAGACACGCGCGTAACGCGCGCACGAACAACACACATACAATTAAATCACGAACACACACACAGGTAACACGCACAATAAACATACACAAAGCCACACGCACAGACCCAGACAGTTACACACTCACACACAGGTACACACACACGCATAACACAGACACAGGTACACACAACCACACACACACGCATAACACACACACAGGTACACCCACACACGCATAACACACACACAGGTACACACACACGCATAATACAGACACAGGTACACACAATCACACACACAAGCGGACAATCACACACACACAGGTGGACAATCGCACAGGTGGACAAGGACACACAGGTGAACAATCACACACACACACAGGGGGACAATCACACACACAGGTGGACAATCACACACACACAGGTGGACAATCGCACAGGTGAACAATCACACAGGTGGACAAGAACGCACACAGGTAGAAAAAAATCGTCGCTCACTGAGACCTCCGGGAAGAACTCCGCTTCTCCCTCCATGTCTGCGCGTCCCGTCGCCTCCCACTTTCACCTCCCCTCCCACCTCCTCCTCCTAACCCTCCACCTCGTCCACCACCACCACCACCTCGTCCGAGTGGCTACCGCTCAGCGCCCCGCGCGTGGTTTGCCGAGCGAGGGGCACGTGGCGAAGAGAGACGGAGCGAGCAGCGGAGCTGACGACGACAACGACGCCGATGCAGCAGCAGCAGCAGCGAGACTCCGGGATGGGAGCGAGACAGGGAGGCAGCGAGGTGGGAGGCGGGGGGAGGCGGCGGGGGGGGGGGAGCGAGGTGGATGGGTGGGTGGGAGGGAGAGAGGAGAAGGGGAAGCGAGGGACGAAGCTAAGGGAGACGGAGCGGGGAGGAGCGAGGGAGCGAGGCCGCACATGAAAGCGCCGCGGTAGAGGTCACTACCTCCCCGCACCGCCTCTGAAGCCCCCACTTCAAATGGGCCCCCCCCTCTGGTGCGCCCGCGTCAGCGAGGGGGTCTCGTGTCCATCCTCCCCCCTCCCCCATCCCCCTCCCCCCACGTCCCGTGGCTCCTCATCCCGATCCTAGACTGGAGCGGGATATGGACGGGGTCCCGAGTGTGTCTCGGGGTCATGTCCAGGACGGTGGAGGATAAGGGCGGTGGGGAGCGGTGCAGAGTGCTGCTGCTGCTGAGTGCAGGGGGTGGGTGCAGGGTGTGGGGAGCAGGGTGCAGGGGGCAGGGTGCAGAGTGCAGGGTGCTGAGTGCAGGCTGCTGAGTGCAGGCTGCTGAGTGCGGGGTGCTGAGTGCGGGTGCTGAGTGCGGGGTGCTGAGTGCAGGGTGCTGAGTGCGGGGTGCTGAGTGCGGGGTGCTGAGTGCAGGCTGCTGAGTGCGGGGTGCTGAGTGCGGGGTGCTGAGTGCAGGGTGCTGAGTGCAGGGTGCTGAGTGCAGGGTGCTGAGTGCAGGGTGCCGAGTGCGGGGTGCTGAGTGCAGGGTGCTGAGTGCAGGGTGCTGAGTGCAGGGTGCCGAGTGCTGAGTGCAGGGTGCTGAGTGCGGGGTGCTGAGTGCTGAGTGCAGGGTGCTGAGTGCGGGGTGCTGAGTGCTGAGTGCAGGGTGCTGAGTGCGGGGTGCTGAGTGCTGAGTGCAGGGTGCTGCGTGCAGGGTGCAGGGTGCTGAGTGCAGGGTGCTGAGTGCAGGGTGCTGAGTGCAGGGTGCTGAGTGCAGGGTGCTGAGTGGTGAGTGCAGGGTGCTGAGTGCAGGCTGATGTACACGCACTCTCGCGGCACCATCAGCTCCCTCTCAGGCCTCTTCGTGTTTATTCCACATCCATCACCTCCCACTGTGCCCCCCACCCCCCACCAGCGCACTGCCCCAGCCCCCCCCCCCCCCACCAGCGCACTAATTCCAGTCTAAAAATAGCTCCAACCCCCCCCCCGCGACCCCGCCAATAAAATGAGTGACAACCACCCAGTGTAGAGAAATCAAATAAATAAAAATACAATATGAATAAAACACACAACAAACACGCGCACACACACACATCTCCTGTGGCTGCCTGTACCCCCACCCCCCACGTTCGTATTCATCCCTCTGCAGACCCCTTCAAGGGCAAGGGGGACACGGGGAGTTTCGGGGTTCCAGGCTCCCCTCGGGGGGGGGGGGGGGGGTGGGGGATCAAGGTGGGGTCAAGGTAGTGGTACAGTTAAACCACGAGATTCGCTCGGTTCATACATTACCAGCGCGCTGGCTCGTTGGCTCATTTACCAGCTTATTCCATTCGCTGGTTGTGTTCACACACGCATCGGATTCGTTATCTCATGCAAAACGTTCGGCCATTCATTCCATCACACATTCGTTCAATCACTTATTCACACTCATTCTCTCACATTCTCGTGCACTCGTTCCTCCAGTCATTCACACACCCGCGGACGTACTCGCGAGGTCGTTCACCAACGGATGCACCCATTCATTCGCAAATACACTCACTCGTCAAATCATTTGCCCGATCATCATCACCACCATCATCACCATGAGCCCAGGGTAGAACACGCAACACATACCATCCATTGATCTCATCATCACCACGATCATCATCACCACCATCATCGCCATGAGCCCAGGGTAGAACACGCAACACATACCATCCATTGATCTCATCATCATCACGATCATCATCACCACCATCATCACCATGAGACCAGGGTAAAACACGAAACACATACCATCCATCGATCTCATCATCACCACGATCATCATCACCATCATCCTCATCATGTCTGCTATTTAAATGACTCAAGTTGACAACACCTGCTAATCATCACTCCATACACTCAGAATAACGCTCACTGCTACACAGGGACAGCTGCCAAACATTAGACGGTACCCGTCTAATGTTTGCGATGAGATGTGATGCAATGCACAGGCTTTTGGGCTGTGTAGGCTGTTACGCAAGCTGCCATATCCATGCAAAAGATCGTTACGGATCAGACTGCTGCACAACTAATTCTTTGGCTCAGGCATCATGAAAAATCGATGGGGAATCATAATATTGGCTGCAAATAACCACGTGTTTAAATAAAGATGATGATTGCATCATCATAATCTACCTCCATCGCTTCTCACCCGTGCTATCATCCCACGCGTACCCCCTAATAAGAGAGTAGGAGGCTCGTTTGGAATAGGGGGGGGGGGATCCCGCACCCACCTACCCCCCCTCTCTACCACCACTTACCGACGGCTCGAGTCCCGGTGCCGCTGGTTCCGCGGGCACCGCTGGGACCCCCCCCTCGCCGGCTTGGGGGGGCTCCCTCGAGGGGCTCCTCCCCGCCACGGGGGTCGTCTGTTCCGAGCGGGGTCTCCTCCCGGAGCGCGTTGATCCGGGCCGGTCCCCCGGGTGTCGCGGGGGTCCGTTGAGCGCAGTGCTGCTCACACTGCGGAGACGCAGGGAGCTGAGCAGGAAGGAGGGACACGCCACGCTCATGCGCCGGGACTTGCTGCTGCTGCTGCTGCTGCCCTCGGGAACCTTGGCTGCTCCCATCGGGGGCAGTCGTCACCATCACACGGAGATAGAACAATGGGGTCGTGAATATCGGAGAGATGGAACAATGGGATTGGACTCAGAGAGATATATAACAATGGGATCCTCAATATCATGGAGATATAACAATAGGAGTGTGAATATCAGTGAGAGAGAACAATAGGATTGGCATTGTGGCCGAGATGGAACAATGGAATCGTTCATTCATTCAGACTCTTCCTTCTCGACAGACCTGTTCTTCACCTGAGGACGACTGCTTGCGTTGTGGCCGAAACGTCGTGAGAATTATTTTATTATGTTCTATTTTTATTATTTTATTACTTCCATTCTACGTGACTTTACCGAAAGAACCAAGATAATGGAATCGTCAATATCAAGAAGAACGAACAATTGTGATTGGCATCATCATAGAGGTGAAACAATGGGGATATAACAATAGGATGTATGTATGTATTGTGTTGAACTTATTTCGCATCAACGTCAAAGACATACAACCGTGAGAACATCATGGTGACAGTGAGACCTTCAATAGCCATCATCTCCTCCCATCGCTTCTGACCTGTCCCATCTGTGCCGGACCCACGGAGCCATTTCACTCGTTCCAATTCGATGCGTTCAAATTAATTTGGCAGCATTTGCTCTCGGTTTGTTGTCCTTCCACCGCACCACCGATTAACAACACGGTTGGCTACGTACGGCGCGAAAGAAATGCAACATACACTAGAGGAATCGCCTGGCCCTAGTATTTGTAAAATAAATAAACAACGATGCACGGCCCTGGATGAAGGCCTCCCCAACACCATGCCGGTCGTGTTGGGGGTTGTTTGGCTATACTTCACCACACTGGTCCGTGCGGGTTGTCTCCCCAGTGGCGATGTTTACACATCGCACCAGGTACTCATTTGAGGCCGAGTCGACCTAGGGGAGGCCCAGGACCAGTTCAGATAATCGTCACTGGAATTGGCCGTGAGCGGGAATCGAACCCGGGTCGCCGGGTTCGTAGCACAACGCGCTAACCGCTACACCACCGCTCCCCACTATACACACAGACACACACACAGACACCCACACACACCTACACACAGAGACACACACAGACACCCAGAGACAGCCACCCACACCGACACACACACAGACACCCACACACACCTACACACAGACACCCACACAGCCACCCAGAGACACACACACACAGACACCCACACAGCCACCCACACCGACACACACACAGACACCCACACACAGACACCCACACAGCCACCCACACAGCCACCCAGAGACACACACACAGACACCCACACAGCCACCCACACAGCCACCCACACACACCTACACACAGACACCCACACAGCCACCCAGAGACACACACACAGACACCCACACAGCCACTCACACCGACACACACACACAGGCACACACACACACAGACACCCACACAGCCACCCACACCGACACACACACACCGACACACACGCACGTGCAGGGAGCGTGGTGGCGTCCCCCCTCGGGGGAGGATCTCAAAGCAAACGCAGCTGTGGGAGTGCGCGCAGCCCACCAGCTCGGCTTAGGTAACGGCCCCGAGCTGCAAGGCAGCGGCAGCAACTGGCGCTGTTAGCGAGCACCTATTGGGGCCGGAACGCCGCACGAAGGGGGCAGGGGGGAGGTGGGGGGGTAGCACCACGCCCAGACACCTTTGTCTCCCCAGTCCTTGATCTTTACACGCCGCGCCAGTGCCGGATTAAGCTGGTGCGGGGCCTGTAGCATATGTTGTTATTAAGGGGCCCTACATTAAAAAAACGTAAATATTAAAACACACACACATTTTTTATTTGCATAGTAAAGTAATTGTATTTTTTTTCATTTGCTATACGGCCAGATAATACGACAAATCGCTAACCTTAAACACGCAGTTGTTCGTAAAAGTTGAAGGCGGTATAGTACTATAGTGATAGAACATTTAGCGCGGGGGCCCTTGAAAGTGCGGGGCCCGTAGCACGTGTAGCTACTTGTGCTACGAGGGTCATCCAGCACCACACCAGGTTCTCGGTTAAGGCGTGGGAGGCGTTTGGGGGGCGGGGGGGGGATGGGGGGGCACGGGGGGGGTGTAGGGGGCGCAACGCCCCCGCCCAAACTGGGACACCTTCATCAATTTATTTTCAGCCGTTTACAATTAAGATTTTTGTTTAAAATATGAATTACTTATACGCACACGCGATTTCCAATGTGCGGGAGAAAACGAACCGCCCCCCCCTGCCCCCACCACCCGCACCCAAATATAGAAATCACAAACTCCGCCCGTGTGTTAAGGCCGAGTCAACCTAGGGCGAGGTGTAGGGGACCGGTTCAGATGCTCGCCACCTTTATTGGCCGCGGGCAGGAGGCGAACTCGGCTCGCCGGTTCGCTTCGCTGAGGCCGCTGCGCTCCTCGGGAACAACCCAAAACACGTGGACACGGATGCCGTGAAACGGCGCAGCCCTGCAATGTCTCGCTGCCAGAGGAAGTCCCTCCACTTTAGTGCGGAGCTCGAGAGAGAACCTCTACGCGTGCATTTACTAACTACGACTACGCGGTATTTTTTTGTTCTACCAGGTAAGGCCCACTGAGCTACATGGATTTTTTTAGAAGCGACGTGGATATCACAAATGATAGCTCAGCGATGGTGGAAATGTTTAGTAGCAGCCAAATACTTTAAACTCGTGTTCTTGTGGAGGGAAAACCCAGAGGACCCGGAGATAAAAAACCACGCGACCATCGGGGAAGAGAGACACGCAAACTCCAAATATACAGCAGGCGTCAGGGTCGGGATCGAACCCACGACCTCCTGTAGACCAGGCGAGGTAGTTAACATCTCCTAGCCACCGTGGCGTCCTATTCATTACTTGGACTACCCTTCCACGTTGGCCTGGCGTTTTGAAAAAGGTGGCAGTACCCACACTTTACCGCACCACACACAACCTGGGTGGACAGAGGCGACCTCTTTGATCGCAAGTCAAGTTTGTTGACGGGAATCGAACTCGGGTCGCCGGGTTCGTAGCACTCCCTGACCTGTCCAGTGTGCCACAGGGAATCCCGGGCTCGGATTGGCCTCTTCAGCCATCTGCGCACTCATCAAAACCCAACATAATGATAAAAGTGCCATGGTCATCATCAACTTTGATGGACGAACAAGAGAGAGCACAGCCTAGCGCTAACCGCTGCACCACCGCTCCCCACAGTTTCTCTCTATCCACTGAGGCAGAGCCTCACCACGACATGGCGATGCTCCCCCTACAGGGACCACCAGGCAATGCATCGCGATGTGGAATTAGCGGAGTCTGGATGGGAGGTGGCATCGCTCGACGCGAATTATTGAGTAGTTAAAAAGAGGCAGTTAGTTTTATGGGTCTTTGTGAGCGTCTATGGGTCTCTGTGTGAGTCTATGGGTCTTTGTGTGAGTCTATGGGTCTTAGTGTGAGTGTATGGGTCTTTGTAAGAATATACGGGTCTCTGTGTGAGTCTATGGGTCTCTGTGAGTGTGTATGGGTCTTTGTGAGAGTCTATGGGTCTTTGTGTGAGTCTATGGGTCTTTGTGAGAGTCTATGGGTCTGTGTGAGTCTCTGGGTCTTGGTGAGAGTCTATGGGTCTCTGTGTGAGTCTATGGGTCTCTGTGTGAGTGTCTATTAGTCTCTGTTCGAGTCTATGGGTCTTTGCGTGAGTCTATGGGTCTCAGTGTGAGTCTATGGGTTTCAGTGTGAGTCTATGGGTCTTTGTGAGAGTCTATGGGTCTTTGTGTGAGTCTATGGGTTTTTGTGAGAGTCTATGGGTCTCTGTGTGAGTCTATGGGTTTTTGCGTGAGTCTATGGGTCTCAGTGTAAGTCTATGGGTCTCAGTGTGAGTCTATGGGTCTTTGTGAGAGTCTATGGGTCTCTGTGTGAGTCTATGGGTCTTTGTGAGAGTATATGGGTCTCTGTGAGAGTATATGGGTCTCTGTGTGAGTCTAAGGGTCTCTGTGTGAGTCTATGGGTCTCTGTGAGAGTCTATGGGTCTATGTGTGAGTGTCTATTAGTCTCTGTTCGAGTTTATGGGTCTTTGCGTGAGTTTATGGGTCTCAGTGTGAGTCTATGGGTCTCAGTGCGAGTCTATGGGTCTTTGTGAGAGTCTATGGGTCTTTGTGTGAGTCTATGGGTCTTTGTGTGAGTCTATGGGTCTTAGTGTGAGTGTATGGGTCTTTGTAAGAATATATGGGTCTCTGTGTGAGTCTATGGGTCTCTGTGAGAGTGTATGGGTCTTTGTGAGAGTCTATGGGTCTCTGTGTGAGTCTATGGGTTTTTGCGTGAGTCTATGGGTCTCAGTGTAAGTCTATGGGTCTCAGTGTGAGTCTATGGGTCTTTGTGAGAGTCTATGGGTCTCTGTGTGAGTCTATGGGTCTTTGTGAGAGTATATGGGTCTCTGTGAGAGTATATGGGTCTCTGTGTGAGTCTATGGGTCTCTGTGTGAGTCTATGGGTCTATGTGAGAGTCTATGGGTCTATGTGTGAGTGTCTATTAGTCTCTTTTCGAGTCTATGGGTCTTTGCGTGAGTTTATGGGTCTCAGTGTGAGTCTATGGGTCTCAGTGTGAGTCTATGGGTCTCTGTGAGAGTCTATGGGTCTTTGTGTGAGTCTATGGGTCTTTGTGTGAGTCTATGGGTCTTAGTGTGAGTGTATGGGTCTTTGTAAGAATATATGGGTCTCTGTGTGAGTCTATGGGTCTCTGTGAGAGTGTATGGGTCTTTGTGAGAGTCTATGGGTCTTTGTGTGAGTCTATGAATCTTTGTGAGAGTCTATGGGTCTGTGTGAGTCTCTGGGTCTTGGTGAGAGTCTATGGGTCTCTGTGTGAGTCTATGGGTCTCTGTGTGAGTGTCTATTAGTCTCTGTTCGAGTCTATGGGTCTTTGCGTGAGTCTATGGGTCTCAGTGTGAGTCTATGGGTTTCAGTGTGAGTCTATGGGTCTTTGTGAGAGTCTATGGGTCTTTGTGTGAGTCTATGGGTTTTTGTGAGAGTCTATGGGTCTCTGTGTGACTCTATGGGTTTTTGCGTGAGTCTATGGGTCTCAGTGTAAGTCTATGGGTCTCAGTGTGAGTCTATGGGTCTTTGTGAGAGTCTATGGGTCTCTGTGTGAGTCTATGGGTCTTTGTGAGAGTATATGGGTCTTTGTGAGAGTCTATGGGTCTCTGTGAGAGTATATGGGTCTCTGTGTGAGTCTATGGGTCTCTGTGTGAGTCTATGGGTCTCTGTGAGAGTCTATGGGTCTATGTGTGAGTGTCTATTAGTCTCTGTTCGAGTCTATGGGTCTTTGCGTGAGTTTATGGGTCTCAGTGTGAGTCTATGGGTCTCAGTGCGAGTCTATGGGTCTTTGTGAGAGTCTATGGGTCTTTGTGTGAGTCTATGGGTTTTTGTGAGAGTTTATGGGTCTCTGTGTGAGTCTATGGGTCTTTGTGTGAGTCTATGGGTTTTTGTGAGAGTCTATGGGTCTCTGTGTGAGTCTATGGGTCTCTGTGCGAGTCGACGGTTCTATGTGAATCCATGGGTCTATATATGGGCATCTATGTAAGTCTGTGGGTCTCTTATAATCTATGCGTCGCTATGTGTCTATGGGGGTCTCTGATGCATTTTTTTCAATAATTGTACGTTGTTTTCTTTAAACCAATTAACGACGAGTTGTGCTGATTATACCACGTGGTAGGAAACCGAATCACCTGGAGAAACCCCACGCCTTTCGCGAGGGGGCAACGCTCTATCCCCCACACAGATGGAAACTCATGGCGACTCGTGTCACGTGCTTGTACCGCCTTCTCCTGGCGTGCCCCGGGGTATGACGGGCACCTCCTCGACAAGCCACGGCAAAGAAGGGAGTTTCACAACAACATTTGCGCGGCCATCCACACAACAACCCATCGATGCTGCCTCCACTCACGGCGCTGGATCGCAGGACACGTGGTCACGTGTGGCCTAGCCGCCGCCCCGCGTGTATAATGGTGAGGAATTCCGAGTGAGATGCTCTGGTGGTGCCGGTGAGAATGTGCAGTGGTGAGGAGGTATGGTTGGTGCAGGTGAGCCTGTTGAGGAGGTCCTCTCACTGACCCTTGACCGCGAGGTGCCGTCCTCCGAAAGGGAACGTCTCAAAGTCGAGGCAGAGCGGCGTGCTCGAGTGGTCCAGGAAGACATCGACGCGGCCCAGACTCAGGCCCCTCCGTAAGAAGATGGGACTCAGCGTCTCCCTGCGACACACAAAGACAAAGATCCCCCCCCCCCCCGTGAACCTACACAGGCTGTTGGGGCAAGTGCTGTTAGAGAACACTCGATATCAAGGCCAGCAAGGCACACGGGCGGTTGGGTGGCCAGCATAACACCCGGCCGCCTTTGTCTCCCCAGTGCTAATGTTTTACACACACCACACCAGGCATTCATTTTAACCAGGCCCAGGACTGGTTAAAATAATCGCCATCGTTAACGGGTCACCGGGTTCGTTGAGTAGTGTGCGAAGTACGTCAACCACGACACCGCCGCTCCACTTACAAGGACACAAGGACACACACAGGAGATGCTCCACGTGGTGGCCCTCGCCTAGTCAGGACAACAACAACCGCCATTCACCACAAAGCGGCGGTGACATCACCACGGCGCTTGTGCCAGGCTATGTGCACTTTAAGGCCACGTGAAGTGTCGAACGCCTGCTGGCACGAGGTCACAGGACACACCCAGGTGCCATGGGTTGACTGAGATGACTGGCCGATGCACCACCTGTGCCCCCTATTGTGGAAAATTGCTGTGTTTAATCTGCGTGGCGCTCCGCTCGTTGTTGTGAGCGTCGCTCCTCCGCCCTCTGTTGTTGCTGGAGGGCGACTGCCTCCAACTGCCCAGTAGCGTCCTTCACGAGCCTCCTCCACAGAGGTCGATCTTGACACCGCTGGTACCGGTCGTCAGCAAGTCCACTCAGCTCCACATCCTCTCGCACCGCATCCACGTAGCCAGGAGTCACTGCTGCCACCTGCAATCCAGGTCTCACCTGAGCGACTTCTCCTTGACAGCTGGGACCACTTCCGTTCCCTGGTCTTTGGGCAAATCGAACTTGAGCGTGAACCACTCCCTGCCAGGGTCCTGGGACAGGGCAGGGGTGGGGGGGGGGATACGGCACATCACGGGAGGATGGGTCAGGACGTGGATCGATAGTTCAATGTTAACGTACAATTTAATTGAGGGATTGATGTGTACCGTTGTCTCGATGTGGTCTGGGACTGTTGTTGTTGTTGCTGTTTTGTTGCTGTTTCATTGTTGGTTTGCTGCCCTGTCCAAGCTTGCATTGGGTGTCGACACATCGGCAGGAATGTATGTTCTCATGGAATTTGTCCTTCACACTTGATTCATGTTAACATCTACTTTGTAATATTTATTTGCAGCGACTTGCTTACCTTCTCTCTGATTTGCACTCCTATCGTTGCTCTTAGTCGTGTCTCTCGCTGACCCGCCCCCGCAGTGGACATTTTGTGAAGAAGAGCTTCATAGCTCATCGGATTCCTTCTTCGGTCTAAACAAAGATTCTGATCCTGAAATGCGCATGCAATTGCATGTGGGAGTTTATTACAACAACAAACAAGACGAAGAGGTGTGGGCCGTACCATCACCACGCTCGCATGCCCCGAATATAAAGCACCTGCCTGGGTATTTTATGCCATCAAACACTCCCCCCCCCCCCCACCCTCTATTCTCCACGAGTAAATAGGGCAATTGTGGATAGCATGGAGATATTATCGTACCTGGGCAGTTTGTTCATGACCAGCTCCGGTTTCGGTCGTCATCTTTTCTTTGGCAGCGTAATGCTGCTGTGTGGAAGCAACCTGGCCTGTCGCTCCGCACGGAGCTCAGGGTCTGTTCGGCCCCAGCTATGCCTCTCTTATTCTCTGTGATTAAGTAACGTGGGCCCTGTTAAAAGGCACATCTGCGCTGACCTGCCTGCGAGCCACCCTGGGGTTTAGCCCGACTGAAATGTGTGAGAAGCTCACAAATCCTTAATAGATCTGGATATCGGAACCAGATTATTTCTTTTCGTGGATGAATCCGATGAGCTAAGAATCTATTTTTCACATATGTCGAGTAGGGCAGGGTCAGCGAGTTACGTCAACATCAGTAAGCGCCTCCGGCAGGCGAGGGATCGTGTAACCCACACAGCCAGTCACCGCGTGAACCAAGCAGTGTCTGTTTGGCTGGATAGAGGGAGCATGGTTGTTTGACACAACCCACCCACTGGCAGAGGTCGCAACCGGGTACCCGATACCCGGCTACCCGTACCCGGCCGGGTACGGGTACCCGTTTGCGACCCTGGTACGGCCGGGTACGGGTAGACCGTGAGTCACTGGTGAGTAACTGTTTGTCACTCATTTCCCAACGTCTTGTCTCTTCTCACAATTCAAGTTCCTAGAATCAACCCACCCGCGCCTGCAACATGGCTTCATCCCAGAGGTCGTAATCAGGTACCCGATACCCGTATCCTACCCGTACCCGGCCGGGTACGGGTAGGGTACGGGTACGGCCGGGTACGGGTACCCGTTTGCGACCCTGGTGCGGCCGGGTATGGGTACGGGTAAGGAATCAAAACCCGTTTGCGACCTCTGCCCACTGGTGTTCCGTGTCGGCCTTCCTCGGTGCTTGCTAGCACAAGTCTGCCTGGTTACACGGGGGATCTGTGTCGTTGTGGTGCGAGTGTGTCCGAGTGCGTGTCCTCACGTCTGTGTAATGCCTCCGACCTCCCTTCTTCTTCCGCACCTTGACTCCCAAGTAGCGCTCCTCACTGCAGTGACACCAGGGCGACAGAGACAGAGACACCTGGAATACCAATCTTCAGTGTCACACCTGTGTTGCCTAGGTTACCAATCTTCAGTGTCACACCTGTGTTGCCTAGGTTACCAATCTTCAGTGTCACACCTGTGTTGCCTAGGCTACCAATCTTCAGTGTCACACCTGTGTTACCTAGGCTACCAATCTTCAATGTCACACCTGTGTTACCTAGGTTACCAATATTCAATGTCACACCTGTGTTACCTAGGTTACCAATCTTCAGTGTCACACCTGTGTTACCTAGGTTACCAATCTTCAGTGTCACACCTGTGTTACCTAGGCTACCAATCTTCAATGTCACACCTGTGTTACCTAGGTTACCAATCTTCAGTGTCACATCTGTGTTACCTAGGTTACCAATCTTCAGTGTCACACCCGTGTTGCCTAGGTTACCAATCTTCAGTGTCACACCTGTGTTACCTAGGTTACCAATCTTCAGTGTCACACCTGTGTTACCTAGGTTACCAATCTTCAGTGTCACACCTGCGTTACCTAGGCTACCAATCTTCAGTGTCACACCTGTGTTACCTAGGCTACCAATCTTCAGTGTCACACCTGTGTTACCTAGGTTACCAATCTTCAGTGTCACACCTGTGTTACCTAGGTTACCAATCTTCAGTGTCACACATGTGTTACCTAGGTTACCAATCTTCAGTGTCACACCTGTGTTACCTAGGTTACCAATCTTCAGTGTCACACCTGTGTTACCTAGGTTACCAATCTTCAGTGTCACACCTGCGTTACCTCGGCTACCAATCTTCAGTGTCACACCTGTGTTACGTAGGCTACCAATCTTCAATGTCACACCTGTGTTACCTAGGCTACCAATCCTCAGTGTCACACCTGTGTTACCTAGGCTACCAATCCTCAGTGTCACACCTGTGTTACCTAGGCTACCAATCTTCAGTGTCACACCTGTGTTACCTAGGCTACCAATCTTCAGTGTCACACCTGTGTTACCTAGGTTACCAATCTTCAGTGTCACACCTGTGTTACCTAGGCTACCAATCCACAGTGTCACACCTGTGTTACCTAGGCTACCAATCTTCAGTGTCACACCTGCGTTACCTGGGTTACCACTCGTCATGTTTATTAGCTTAATGTTCATATGCTTACAGTTGTATCGTCGTCATCATCATAACAGTACAATGACGTAGTCAGTGTGATGACGTGGACCGTGTGACGAGGTGGCCCCCACCTCTCCCATTCTTGAGCCCACGTCTTGGGGGGCACCGTGGAGGGTCTCGCGCGGGACCAGTTGAGCTGGCCCATCTCCCTCTCCGCGGTGGGGGGATCTGCGAACATCCCCGGCTCAATTGGTATGGTCCAGGTCATTCACCTCTCTCCACCTTCCCTCCCCCTTCGAGAATAATGGAAAAGTCCAAAATTTTGATAGCAACCACAGTGGGTTGCCACGCCCCTGTCTCCTCTATGCCTTAACAGGAGGGTCCCACACGGGTTCCCAGGCCGTCACCCCTTCACTCACATAATGGTACAGGCCATAGTGGATGATTCCCTCCACATGGGTCCGTCCACTCAGCCTGGTAGGGACGCGTTTCAGATATCATTTTTTTTTTACTTTCGGACTTTTAAGGTCCGGTTATGGATTTTATTTGGTATTGTTATATTTTTAGGATTTAAATGGACCTACATTTCAATATCATCCAGTGTCTATGCACAAACATCTCATCATTTCCATAACGTTAAATATCAGTAATTTAATCCAAATGTTTAACGATCCATCAGTAAATCAGTAAATTTATTGGGAAAAATGTTTGATCGTCAAAGTGACGTCATGAAACTCGTCGGCAGCAATGCCGCAGAAGCGACGTCACTTCAAGTGACGTCACATTTATGTCGTTTAAAGTGACGTCACAGTCATGTTATTTCACGTGACGTCACATTTTCGGATCGATCCCGAATTAATTAAATTAATTTTATTTAGGATTAACCCCCCCCCCCCCCCCCCCCCCCCCCCCGAGACAGGGGACCCCCTCACCGTCATCGGGGCCCCCACGGACTCCCGCCGCTTCCGTGGTGGGCGATTGAGGCTCCATTGTGCGGTCTAGGTCCGCTCCGACGAAAACCGGAGCGGTGCCCTTCTGCGTCTGGCAGAACAAACAACGTGACATAGTCAAGGGGGAGGGGGTGTCACAACTCGCCATCGCTTCCTTCCCTCTGCTCGAAAAACGCAGTTCTATGCGCGAAATTGACAACTAATCTCCGAGGAGCACGAGTAGTCTTATCACCACCACCACCGTCTGCTGGCTTTAGGTCTTGTCGATCATCCCTTCGGGGTCGATAAAATTAGTGCCACTCTATGGGGAAGTCAACAGTGATTGTCCTTGTTGGCGGACTCGACCCCGTCACACGAATGTGGAATTTCCACCGCTGGCTTTCCAGGGCTGAGATTAACACCAATTCCTCCCCGCGGCTCGTTTGAGCGGGAAAATCAGTTTCGTTTCATTTTCCGAATGCGCCCGACAGCATTCGGACGTCGGTGAGATCCTTCAATTGCGTGCAGCGGTGGCGTAAGCGGCGAGCGATATTCAACCTCCTCCTTCTCCTCCTGGACCCCTTCCCTCTGAACGTCGTCCGAGTCGTGGTTGCCTGTCTGACACCATGCGTCACCACGCTGGCCAGTGCGAGGTTGGCGGAAGGACAGGAGCACAGGAGACGTCGAGCACAACAACGACACCGAGGGATGTTCAGTGCCCCCCACCCCTGCCACCTCTACCGATGACCACGTGCATAGAGAGCCCCCCCCAGAGCTACCGATGGCAGCACCCCCCCCCCCCCCCCCGGGCATGCGGCGACAATTCCGTGGCAGCGCCTCGCAACGACTCGGGCTGCGTTTTCTTGCTCGGCCTTCCGTGGCCTTCCGTGGACGTGACCGGATCGGGCGCGTCCACGATGATTTGGCGACAGGCGATGACCTTTCACGGCGGACATTGGGGCACGGACGGCGGCGGTGTTCGCCGCTCATTTAGTTGGAGAACCGTCTGTGGAAGTGGATGTCACAGAGCTACTACGGAGATCCCTTCAAGCCGCCTCGAGTCCGCACGGCAGGGGGAGAAATCTTCACCGCGCGACAGTCAAAGCGATATTTATAAAATCCTCAAAGCTGTAAGCGAGGCTAAATTAAGTGCACGATCAAATTTCGCGTGATGGGGGGTTTCTTTTTTATTTCTTTCGTACAATCATTGGTGAACCCAGCTGAGATCATCACCTCACTCTACTTGAAAACCCGTTTTAATTACCGACAAAACATCACCAGCAGTGGGAGGACCGCCAACATAATTTGAAACCATCGGGGTTTCTTTGTTTGTGACAGAGCACGACGATGATGATGGGGTTGTGTGTTCACCATTTGTGTATTATTGGGGGGGGGGGCGCCAGGGGCCGCACTGGAGGCCACCAGGGGGGCCCGCGGGGGGTGGGGGGGCATAGCTAGGATATTTTGCGCCCGGGGACGAACTATAAAATTGGCGCCCCCTCCGTTTAATCACATACCAAAATGTAATTACATGACATGTAGGCTGTGTATGGCGGGATATATAAACTTTTAGGTTGAGGTGTAGTTTTGTGCAGTAGTTTCAGGCTGCCGCGCCCGCCGCAATAAGTTATAATGTAACGTCGTAAGCCTTATTTTGGCACCCCTTTACCTTGGCGCCCGGGGACATATGTACCCCCCTGCCCCCCCCTAGCTACGCCTCTGGGGGGGGGGGGGGGGCTCGCAATGAAGAACGTCGATGGCGATTTGCATTGAGAACAAACAAACAAAACTAATAACGGTGGCCTATTTTAATTGCGCTTATGGCGACGTTCGTTACAATGATGTTCATGCGAGTGATGCCGACGATGACGAGTGCGATGATTATCAGACAGACGCGGCACTGCCCTTGCCCTGCCATTGCCCCCCCCCTTCCCTTATTCCCCCCACAGGGCCCTGCCCCCCGCCCTCTATTCGCGGGGGGTCCAAGGTGAGAGGAGAGAATTGGAAGCGCGTTGCAGTCCCAGACGCAGCCCCAGTGCGTTTTGATTTTTCCGTGTGATTGACCTTTGTATGGAGTGACGCATTCTGCATTCGCATGCACACGACGCAAAGACAAAGATCCCCCCCCCCTTCCGTGTAGCCGGCACGGGCTGTCGGGGCAAGTGCTATCAGCGAGCACCTGCGAAGGCCAACGAACCGCCTTTGTCTCCCCAATAACTGATGTTTCACACATCTCACTCCCAGTTACTGATTTAGGGCCGAGTGGACCTGTGAGGCGGCCAGACCTAGTACAGACGTCATCTGCCACGGCTGCGCAAGGTCGTGGAAACAAAGACAAAGTTCCCCCGTATAGTTGTCACAAACTAGTGGGGCAAGTGCTGTTGGCGAGCACCTACGAAGGGCAACATGGCCACACCAGGGGGTGCTGTGGTTAGCACCAAGCCCAAGCCGCCTTTGTCTCACAGTGGGAAGGTTTACACACCGCACCAGGTACTCATCTTCAAGGCCGAGTAAACATAGGGGAGGCCCACCACAGGTTCAAATTGGTCGTGAGCGGGATCGATCTCTGGTCGTCGGTTTCGTAGTGCAGTGCGCTAACCACTGCACCACGGCTCCACCCCGTACAGAAGCACACGGGTTCCCCACGCAGATGTACACAAACACTCTCACATGTACACACACATATACTCTCACATGCACACACACACACTCTCACATGCGCACACACAAACACACACTCTCACATGCACACACACACACATACTCTCACATGCACACACACACACACACTCTCACATGCACACACACATATACTCTCACATGCACACACACACACACTCTCACATGCACACACACATACACTCTCACATGCACACACACACTCTCACATGCACACACACACTCTCACATGCACACACACACATACACTCTGACATGCACACACATACACACACACACTCTGACATGCGCACACACACACACATGCACTCTCACATGCACACACACATGCACTCTGACATGCACACACACATGCACTCTGACATGCACACACACACACACACATGCACTCTGACATGCACACACACACACACACATGCACTCTCACATGCACACACACACACACATGCACTCACATACACACACACACATGCACTCACATACACTGTGACATGCACACACACACGCGCGCACACATAGATGACACGTGCACGCTCATACAGATCCATGCACACGCTCTGTCACACAAGCTAAACATGATACAGACACATTATTAATGTATACACATACAGTATATACATATACTGTACACACACACAACAAATATCGTATTTGGTGATGTTCCTGCTGTTGCTGCGTTGGCAGTGGTACACAAACACAAACAACAACCTCAACACGTGCATCAATAGCATAATGCGGGGCCTTACAAGGACAAAGAGATACATTAGGCGACGATTCGGGAAATGACCCTCCTTCATGGCACGTTCACGCTAGGTGGATATATCTGTGTTTATGTATCTATGTGGATGTGCAATGATTATCACGGCTGGCTAACGACGGTGCAGCATACATACAAGAAGGGCCATTGCTAGAAATGTCGCATTTATACATGTGTTCTCATATTAAGGCCCCAGTAGCATGACGAGGTGTAGATGCCTCCATATATAGCAGTACAAAGACAAAGCTACCCTCCCCCCTTAGGGACTTAACATACGTTTGGGGCAAGTGCTGCTAACGAGCAACTACGAAGTCCGCCACGGCACACGAGGGGACGGGTGGCCAGCACCGTGCCAGGTCGCCTTTGTATTCCCAGCGTTGATGTTTGCACACCGCACCAGTATTTGAGGCCGAGTCGACCCAGGGGAGCGCCAGGACCGGTTTAGATAATCGCCACCTGGTGTCGTTGGGGGCTGTGAGCGGGAATCGAACTCGGGTCAGCCGGGTTCGTAGAGCAGCGTAGCGCTAACCGCTGCACCACCGCTCCCCGCGACAGAGAAGCCCATCATGACACTGCGCCCCCACAAAGATTGCGTTCATCACGCGACCTTGATCCTTTATGGCACACGTGGTTAATGAATGAATGTGGTTTAGAACCTGCACTACAACCCCCCCCCCGCCCGAGTTCCAATCCACGGTCACGGCTAACATCAGTGGCGAGTGACATCTGAAACCAGTCGTGAAGAAAGGGGCATTACCCCCCCCACCCGCCTTAGGTCGACTTAGCCGTAAACGAGTACCCGGTGAAGGGGTCTTACACCCGCCCCTAGTTTACCCCGCATCTTTCACCAACCCGCACTGACCAGCGTGGTGAAGTATGGTCAAACACCGTCAGCCGCCCACCCACGACTGGCACGGCCAGTAGTGGCTTGAGAAGCGGCTGATCTTTACTGCACCGTAGTATCGTTTTATGTTACCCAGGAGAGTCTCAAGACGAATTTACACGAGGGTGCTGCTACTTTGGATTGGCGTGCATGGCTTGGCATTCCGTGGGCAGAGACGATTTGGCTTCGCGCGGCAAGAAAGCGGAGACATCCCGGAGAAAACTCACCGCGCGTGCGAGGGGGAGACACTCAGAGCTCCGCACAGGTGGATTCAAGAATCCATTGCTGCACTGGCGTCTGTCGGGCACCTCGCATCCCAGGCATACAACACCTGGCATTCCCAGGCAGTCTCCCATCCAAACACTGGGAGCAGGCATCACACGCGCGCGCACTCATACCACGCACAGCACACGCACACACCACGCACAGCACACACACACACCACGAACGCATACCACGCACAGCACACCACGCACACGCCAAGCGCAGCACACACACACGCACAGCACACACACGCACGCCACGCACAGCACATCAAGCACACCACACACACACACGCCACGCACTCGCACCACACACACCACCCAAATTGGTTCTGTTGTGATCTTGCGCCCGACAGCAGCAGTAGCAGCAGCACCGTGAATGTTCAGACGCTCAATGCCAATGTGCAGGTCTGCTGCTGAGCACGAGAGGGAGTGGACAGAGCGGTCCAGATGCCTTAAAGTACAGTTTATTAAAATAAAACAGACATAAATATGCAAAGGATTTTTTAAAGCATCAATTAATGGGGAGG